AATGCAGCATGAAATGTGGCGTATCAGAGAGCGAGTCGGCGTGCTTGTTTATTTGAAAACACGCAGAATGTTGAGTAATTGCATAAAAAGGCTGTTGATGTGTGCTGAGAGTTTTTTAATTAGCCCTCGTTTCGCCCTCTCAACGACAAGCTCTCTGCGAATGACGAAGCAATTTTGCATCTATTAGGAAATTAATGACTTCCTTTCCAAATTGAGAGGCCAATGATGGGACTGCTGATGGGAGTCCAACTCCCTCTTAGCGTCCTGAATGGGATGGGAAACTGCACAAGTTGGACAAAGTCCAGAACACTGAAGGAGGAATAGTATCTCACACAGCCCTCCTGCTGGTGTAAAGAGACGCTGCTGACTGGCTACAGCTCTCTCCCCACCATCTCTCTCTCTCACCCTCTACTAATGCTTTCCCTGGCGTTCACACAGAGCTGCACACAAGCACACTCACTTTAAAAAAAAACAAAACATACAGTCGCTGACAAAGCTACAGCATCATCTCGCCATTTTAATGTCTGTCTCTTTCTCATGCAAAGCGGATGCGGCGTAGAGGAGCTCGGAGTCGTGGAAACACCTGCAGGCATCATTGTTGTCACTCCTGAAAGTGTGTGTGTGTGTTTGGATCCATGTGTGCATATGTGTGTGTGGAAGAATGCAGCTTTGAGTGGTGCTGCCATCTAGTGGTTGATGTATGACTTGGAGGTCTTATTGCATTTGATGTGTGGACATGGTTCATTCATCATGGAGTAAGCTGACGGATGAATAAGCACACTGCTCTAGTCTACCACATACTCATCTCTTGATTTATGTAAAAGGGGAACATGCAATTAAATAACTTTGCAATGGAGGTGATATTTCCGTATTACATCCCTTGACATGATACTTAGTTTGAGTTAGAGATTGTTCAGTTTGGAGTGTTTAATACTTGATCCACAACCTCAAACAGGCAGCAAAGAGTCGTGCATAAATGTGCTTCAGCTGTTTGCATCGCTGCATAAACTACATGGTCACAAACACTGAATCATCCGTTCTGCTGCAGACTTAATCATCCATTCCACTGACCTAATTATGTCCATAAGACAAATACAGACCCATTTTACCTTACAAAATAGCTCTGTGAAAACCAAATCAGACAGGTAAACACTCGTACACTAAGAGGAAGTGTGACGTTTTTACCGGCGTTTTAGCAGTGCATCATGCAGAGTCACCCCTCATCCCCTTCCTCTTCCTGCCTTTTCTTCAGGCCTCCTGTAGCGGCTTCCCTTTTAGATGTAATGCTCCAAAGGCAGTGCCTGCAGTTTGTTTCGCCCTCAAAGGCTGCGAGACCCTTTCTGTTGACCTTGAGTAGTCAGTTCTTTCACTGGACTCCATTCTGATGCTGGCAAAAGAGGAACGCTGTGCAGGAGTGCGTCCACTTCTGGGAAGGCCAGATAGCGCGGCCGCCTCTTTCAACAATGCCAGTTTGAGGTCAGTGGCAAAGGTTAAAGAGAATTTTGCAGCCATTTAAAAGATACAATCCATCTGTCTGCTCTGGTGTCTTTCATCTCTGTTATTTTGAGTGTGTCCATCTGGTTAGCTCCCATTTCTTTTTCATGGTCCAAAGCTTGGTTCAATATTTGGCTGTTACCTTCTTGTTTATTTGGACAAAGCAAGACTTGCAAGGCTTACGAGAAGCCAAAAACTCTCCAGTTGCTTTGCCACATTAGGTTGATTCCAAGAGTAAATGTCAATAGATTCCCTTGTCGATTTTTCTCTGGTAAGTTCCTTTTGGGGGATTTCCATGCAAATGTTTAACACTTAAAGGGATATTCCGGTGTAAAATTAATTAAGGGTCAAACACACAGTAACACTGAGTTAGACACCCCCTTGAGAGATGAATGTTGCTGACCACTTGCTTCTCTAGTTATACCAACTTTAGTAACGACCGCACGATAGTAATACACCACGGTCTGAGGAGCCATAAACAAACCTCAACCAAAACGCCACTCTATAGCCACAAATAATGCTCAGAGCAGCATCTAACTTCATCAACAGGACATATAGGGTCACAGCCACCAAACATCTTTTTAGCTTTGACTGATTTCTTTAGCAAAGAGACTAAACACAACTCACCTACTCTCTTCCGGCAGCCGCTTGGAAGAGAGTAGGTTAATGATCGTTTCTTTATCATTTCCTAGAAGTAATAATCACCATATTAATCATTTTGCACTGCAGACGCAGTAGCTCTTCTGCCTTAGCGTCTCGGTCTGATATCATTTCCATGAAGAAATGATCATAAATGTTCTTCGTTGAGCTGCGTCACCCCGCAGCAGTATGTAATAGATTGGCCCGTGGTCTCGCTACAAACAAGTGGCTGCTGGAAGAGAGTAGGTGAGTTGTGTTTCGTCTCTTTGCTAAAGAAATTGGGCAAAGTTAAAAAGATGTTTGATGGCTAGTACTGTGGCTGGGACCCTTTATGTACTGTTAATGAAGTTAGGTGCTGTTCTGAGCTAAGGTGACCAGACGTCCCCGAATTGGATGACCGGCAAAAGTTGTCCCGATTTAAGCGTTTTATGAATGAGAACAAAAATGTTGCGCGAAGGCTAGAGCAACGGTTATTACAGTAGCCGAATGGGTAGGAAGCACAAGTAAGCAGTCCTGAACAACAGTTCTTACGGGATACGGGGGTTATGACAATGGGCGTGTGCTGCTACTAAATAGTACCGAGATGTTGTCTGTGATCATGGAGACCATGCAACCATTACTTAATAAACACACCATGAAAAATAAAAGTACACATAAGATAAATAAATTATGGAGAAATCAATAATTAGCCAATGGACACCTACCTCTCTCCCTAGGGAGAAATTCACAAAAAGGTTCCATAGTCAATCACAAAAACACACAGGTATAATTTTGGTCATTATAAAAAGAATAATAATAATGCACATTTACACCTGTTGCATCTGTTTCCTGGTCATTTTGAAAGCAAAATTCCTGCATCGTTATATCAACATTCTTGCAGCATGTACTGCACTAAGAAACCAAAAGACAGTCTGAATACACCCATGAAATGTAGATACAGCTGTGACAAAAGGCTTTGAACAGGGAGGGTACCGCCAGCACACACACAGAGCCTCTCCATACCTGTCTCCTGGATTTACAAATGATGTTCTGCCCAATATACAAGAACATACATCTATGTAATTCAAACTGATCTCCTTCATCAAAACAGCTGCAGCGGGGAACAGCAACTACATTCACTGTGTAACCATATCTGACAGGTGAGGAGTGAATGGACCTAAACTAATCTAAGACCATCATCCTGCCATCTGTAATCTAAGGTGACACTCAGTTAGGCAGCTTGGTGAGATTGTTGTATCAGGTGGAGGGCTGTGGTCCAACAATGAATAAGCACAGTGCCACCATGGCCTTGCTACACTTTGTCAAACATGCTCATACAGTAAACACCTTCTCCAGTATCTCTGTGTGTGTGTCTGTGTGAGAGAGCTTTTACACATGTATGTGTGCACCTGTGCATGTGCATTCACCAGACCAGAAACTAGAAGAGGCTGCTGACCCACTTTCAGTTATTTTCATTCATCATTCACTCCTCCTGTGGAGCCACGAGGCTTTTGCTTTCTCTCTTTTCTTTTCTTTTTCCAGCTCCTTCCTGTTCTCCTCCCTGTATTTACCTGGTAATAATTGAGACATGAATTGTTTCCGACAGGGGAGGAGCTCCGTTTTGAGAACAAACTCCCCGCTACGAGAGCCGGGGAGAGGAAGAGAAACTTTCTTTTGATTCCCACAGCACGAGCAACGGATGAGTTTACAAGAGCTCCCTGTGAGTCTGTGTTTACCTTCTGACTGATTTTTGCAGGGGAACATTGTCTGAGGTGGGCAGAACACAAGATGCTCTATGTTGGGAAAAGATGGCGACATGTTCTTTTTATGTCTTCAAACAAAAGTTTTGATCCGACTCACAGTCACATCACCAATCCTCTTTTATTCAGACACGTCGTCCAAAAAGGACTACAGGTGTTAAAAATATATTCTGAATTAGGGGTGTCCGGATACAACTTTTGACTTCCAATACGATACCGATATTGTAGCCTACAATACTGACCGATACCGATATTGATCTGATATTGGCACAAAATTGTAAATGACAAGTTTTTCACTCAGGAAAAAAAAGACACAAGGTCTTAAATGTTTGATTCAATGTTTGATTCAACGTTTCTTTGGTTTTGAGGTTTTCAGAGCTCCTGAGGTCTTATTTCAACAATGCCATTTGACAGATAATTCGAGAAATATCACTGTATTACAATGCTCTGCTTTAGCTCTTTAAACCCCACAGGTCTATTCTGACCAAAAAAACTGTAGTAACCTCACATAAAACCCATTTTTTCCACCATTCACCTCATGCCTATCACTCAAATCCCACTGGCGTTGTAGGTATGAGAAACCTGCACTGATGCGATACTCAGATCCTCTTGGACTTGCTCTCTCTGGACCTGTTCTCCCACACTTCTATCTCTGATACAATGCTGTGATTTCATTGGTTGAAAGAAGCATGTGTCTCTTGATGCTATCAGCCCTCTCTGGTGGGAGAGGATAGGAACCGACCACAGTGGAGGCTTTATCTACCGCGTAAAGACACAATCGCCGGTCCAGAGGTCTAGATAGAAGCCAGTGAAAAGTCCAAAGGGATCTTGAGGGTGAGAGTGGCCTATCTGGATGTCAAAACAGACATCTGAGCAGTTTCATCCATGCTACAGCTGGTTGTGAATCCTCAAGGAGTATGTTAAAACTATCTTTTCCAAAATGTGCTTCTACCTTCCTCATGATAGCAATCAAAAATTTAAAGCATTGCTCTCAAACTCCCTGAAGAGTGATTTTAGCTGAGTGGGGAAAGGATGCCCACTCCATCAGTTATCCTGCAGCAGGGACAGGCAGACAGACAGAGCAGTAAAAAGCTCTTCAATGCCAGATGCCAGGCACAGTCTCAAAGAGAAGCACCCTGATGATTGGGTTTATTAAAAGCTTCCGTGTCCCGTGCCACGGCCCTGTGATTGATCTCCTTTGACGTGTCCTTTTACCCTGTGTCACATTAATACACTGCGTCTCTGCTGAGCGACTGACAGACTGCCTCCTCCTCTGAGAAACAGAGAGAGAGAGGAAGGAAGAAAGATGGCGAGAGAGCAGAGACAGAGGTGAAGAAGAGGTGGAAAAGATGCAGACTCAGGTGAAATAATTAATGTGGAAAGAAAGAAAGAAAGAAAGAAAGAAAGAAAGAAAGAAAGAAAGAAAGAACAACTCCTCATGTCACCTTTATTGCTGATCATGATGGCAGCAGTTCCTGAGTCACCATATTCATCACACCCGTCATGACTGCAGGGTCTATAGAGGTGAACTTTCATATTTCTCCTATATGATAGCAAAAACAAATCAAGCCTTTCATAGTCTTCCTTCTGTTAAGTTTCTTTGAAAAAAAACATTTTCGCCTCACTTGCATCTGGGACAGCGATAGCTTCAGGGTTTTCTTCTTTCCATCTTACAGAAGATAATGTTGACGGCCCTTCCTGTGCATGCTGCTGTACTGCACTGTGCAGGAACCAGGTGGGATCAGTTAGCTGTAACGAAAAAGGCAGAGTTGGTATCAGAGTGGTGGCCTCATCAGTATAGAACAAGTAAAGCCATGGTGATTATACAGATGTCTTTTGTCTACACAAATATGGCATTTTGAGTCTCACGTTTTTGTATATTTTCATGCACCAGCTTGCTTGAAGTTTTCTTCATGTTTTTCTTGTTTGTTGATACACTTTAGACTAAAAGGGATCAATTTAGGGTCAAATACACCGTAACACCGAGTTAGACACCCCGTCGCGAGATAAATGTTGCCGACTGCTCGCTTCTCTAGTTATACCAACTTTAGTACCAACCGCACGATAGCAATACACCGTGGTCTGAGGAGCCATAAACAAACCTCAACAAAAACGCCACTCTATAGCCACAAATATTGCTCAGAACAGCACCTAACTTCATCCATAGTACTAGCCACCAAACATCTTTTTAACTTTGGTCAATTTCTTTAGCAAAGAGACTTAACACAACTCACTTACTCTCTTCCAGCAGCTGCTTGTTTGTAGCGAGACCTCAGGCCAGTCCACTACGGACTGCTGCAGGGTGACACAGGGCACAGAAGATGGCGGTAAAAAGCACACAAAGCGAAATCAAACATTAACCTTTTCACTAACTTCTTTGCTCGTCTTCTCACCGTCATCTTCCGTGCCTAAATTGTAAAACACTGGTGCATCGTCATTATTGACAGCTCACTTCCGTTGTGGCTTTTTTTATTTGCATCCTTTTATTTTTTGCAGTAAGTAACTTTTTTTTCCATTACCACTTTTTTTTTCGTCTTTAATTTTCGTTGTGGCTTTTTTACCTGCATCGTTTTTTTTTTGTTTGTTTGTTTTGTTTTTTTGCAGTGGGCTTCGGTTTCTTTCTTTTCTTTTTTTTTTTGCATTCTTTTTTTATTTGCAGCAGTGGCGGTTCTCGGCCACCGTAACAAGGGCATCCAAAAGACGATTTTGTAATGTTTTATACATAGTCATGTTTCAGACATAAACATCTAAAGAGCATTTCTAAGTGCATTTATCTGAATTTTTGCCTTTCTTAGTGGAAAGCGTTATTGACATAAATTATGATGTTAAACTGACACTTAGAAATCACATTTTTACATTTGTTTGTTTTTCTCTGAGAGCAAAATTGAGCAATATGATCCCTCATAAATAATCAAACAGGATATTGGTAGATATTGATCCGACACGCGAACGTTTTCCTCTCGTCTTCCATCACTGCGCATGCTCAGTTCCTTGCTAAGGAAGAAAGGAGAAGATGTCTCTAACGAGGTGAGTTCCACGAAAAGGCCTTTCTTGTTTGAATTTCACAAAACTTGATGATATTTCGTATCCACGTTATAGTAAGAAGTGGATATGTCAAAGTCAGTGTTACAGAACGGCGCTTTGGTTAGTCCCATCATTGTTATTTCGGTTCAAATGTGGCTAACAGTAGCAGCTAATGCTAGTTAGCTAATGCTAGTTAGCCAGAACCGTGCGTCGGTATCTAAACATTAGCTAGACTAGCAACATGGACCCGTGGTGATGAAACTTAAGTCTTTAGCTTGTTTAGAAGTTGCGTCCTGAATTCATGAATTCGTCCAGTTTTGTTAAAAAACACTCTAAAGATTCGTCTCTTATTTGTTGGTTCGTTGACTGGCTGTAATAACGTTATGGTGCTAATACGAGCTGTCGCTGTAGGCTAACGGTAGCATACACAGGCTTAAACCAACCAGCCCAGGATTAGCCAAGAGTCACACTGTTTTGTGTTGTTTTTAGCTTTCTACCTGCGCCGACCCAGTTGTCCCAGGACCAGCTGGAGGCAGAAGAGAGGCTCCGGACCCAGAAGTCGTACTCCAACGCCCTGGTTTCATCCCGGAGAGAGCCTCCTCCTTATGGACACAGAAAAGGCTGGGTGCCCCGCACCCTGGAGGTAAATCCAGTTACTTTTAAAGTTCGTAACACAATAAATGAAGGGTTACAAGGCTTGACACTAACTTTTTTTCCCACAAGGAGCACACAAAGAACTTTAAAGGCACAATGAAAATTGATCAAATAATATTTGCCTTATTGCTGGATATTGATACTATTATTTGAAATCAATTTTCGGTCTTTTGGTCACATGACATGGAAGCTATTGAAGAAAATGTTCATAATATGCCTAGAAAATTGAAAAAAAAATTTTTAGAAGACAAATTATGGAAATAAAGATGTGTGTCCAAGTACTATTATTTGAAATCTATTTTAGCTAAATTGGTCACATGACATGGAAGCTATTGAAGACAAAACAGCCTTTTTTTTTGTGAACATCAACCAGTAATTTATTGACCGTCCCTTATTCAACTCCCGATGTTGACAGTGAGGGTGCAGAGTAGATTTAACTGCTGCTGTTGCTATTCCCAGTTGGGGAAAGTCCCGACTCTTTCGCCTCTGATTGGCTAGAAAAGCTGAAAACGTCATCACACACTCAAGCCGAATGTGGGCTGTCAACTCTGTACATCAAACAGAACATAATAGAACATTATCGCACTTCTGAATGCACTAACCCTAACCTTTACCCTAACCCTAACCCACGTGTGCCCCTAAATACATTTTACAATTCGCACACGCCTATTTTTAGTTGCAAATGCAAGTGAAACAATCGCACTGTCAAGCCCTGGGTTATCTATCTAAATGATGTTGAAGAGGATGCATAAGTGTCATTCAAGACTTCTCGCCACTAGCCAACCATTATCCAAATGATTTCACTTCTGTGTTTTTGTAGGACTTTGGAGATGGGGGAGCGTTCCCAGAGATCCATGTGGCCCAGTTTCCTCTGGAGATGGGCAGGAAGAAAAAGACGTCAAATGCTCTAGCGGTACAGGTGGACGCAGAAGGAAAGATCAAATATGACGCCATAGCAAGACAAGGACAGGGCAAAGATAAGGTAAGCAAGTTTCAAATGCTAAATCAGCTGCAATCTTCCTTTATGTGACATCATCTTGGGACAAAGACTTGATCAATTTTTTTAAGGTTGCTTTGTGTCAATATTACATGTTACCACAGTGTAAATTTGTTTTTATTCCTGCATCTTCTGACACTAGAATTTAAGAACACACATCTTAGAGAATTCTCACTTTGTCTCCTTACAAATTTGTTTTATAAAAGTGAAGGTAATTTGTTCATTTTCAAGTTGCTTAAAAAGATTCTTGTGTTGTTGCAGGTGGTTTTCAGTAAGTACACAGACCTTCTACCAAAGGAGGTTTTGAATGAAGATGCTGCTGAGCTTCAAAAGCCAGATGAGGAGGCTGTAAAAGAGGTAAGTCAGTCATTCAGGTGCAAGACCGATTGTATAGAACATTCACTTTATTTACTTTTCCTTTAACTTCATGATTAAGAATCATGTGTATGACATTTACATAAAAACAATAAGTATTCAGACATGTGTATTTTTTTTGTAGCTGACAGAGAAGACCAGGGCTGCCCTGGACAAGCAAGTTTCACAAAAGATTGCAGCTGCTATGCCTGTAAGAGCTGCAGACAAACAAGCACCAGCACAGTATATCAGGTATGTGTCATTTTAAACTGTTTTTGTACAATTATGAACCGCACGATTAAAGGTAGCTGATGGAATCATTTTCAGATGGGTCATGAGAAACTGATGTAAAAACTTTAATAGTTTGATCGTCTTTTTGCCTGTATTTGTGTTTGTGGATTAAGGTAAACTGTTTGGACATCATAACACATTTTCCCTCTTTTGTCTCTTCCGCAGATACACTCCGTCTCAGCAGGGGGTGGCATTCAACTCAGGGGCCAAACAGAGGGTGATCCGCATGGTAGAAATGCAGAAAGATCCAATGGAGCCACCACGTTTCAAGTAAGTAAACCAGTGTTATTTTACTTTCATTGACTTAACAACCAATCGGCACTAAGGAGCAGCGTCCGTCTCACAACCAATCAGGATGGGGGAGGCGGAGAACGGCTTTGTTTACAGCCAGAAAGAGCGGACAGCTCAAGAAATTTTAAAATGTTGACCACACAGACATAACAAAACACAGCGATATTGTTATATTACCAAATGTCATCAATAACTAATATCTATTGACTGATATTAGAAGCTTTTTTGTATATACACCACAAAAAAGACGCTTCTTTAACGGGTTCCTGCCTACCCCACCTTTAAGAATAGAGACACGGCCAAAGGAAATATAAGCGAGATACAAGTAATGAAAGACAAAATGATCTAAAAGAAGCTTTAAAAAATTAAAACCCATCTGCAAGGTTATGATTCATCTTGTGTCCAAATTAAGTTCCCCGAGAGTAAATCACCTTCAAACGTCTTAATAAGTATTGTTAATGAATGCACATTTCCCTCTTGATATATTTATTGAAATATTCAAAGTTTGAACCGATTCATTAAGACTTTTCCTCGATGAGGTAATTTTAGACCAAAGTGTTCAATTATACTCGACAGTTTTATGGTTATAATTTGTTGCAACAATCCTCTTGACAATTTTTCTTGTGCGAACCAGGTTCTGCTTGACTATTTATTCATCAAATAAAAGTAATTTCCTTCCCCTCGGCTTAACAAATATGATGAAGTGAAACAGATCTGATTGTGTGTTTCAGAATCAACAAGAAGATTCCTCGGGGACCTCCATCTCCACCTGCTCCAGTCATGCATTCCCCAAGCAGAAAGGTACATTCGGCTGAAATGTTTGTCTTCTCTGAGCGCCTCTTTTTATGCCGTGGAGGAGGAAAAAAATAGATATTTGCACATTTCAAAAGAAATCATGTTTGACAGTTTCTCCTTTTGTTTTTAGATGACAGTAAAGGAGCAGCAGGAGTGGAAGATTCCTCCATGCATCTCCAACTGGAAAAACGCTAAGGTAATGTGACATCAGAATCAGTCTGAACCCTTCTCTTAATGTCAAACACAAGGGGGCAGGTCATGCTGTCATTTTCTTATACCGGGCTTATTTGTAAGTTTGGGTTTGATGCATGGCGTGTGGAGTATTGGAGTTTCAGGATGCCAGATCTTATGATTGTAATTCCAGCTCGCCTCTTTCTCCTCAACTTATTTCTTTTGTTTGATGTGCCTGTCATCTCTCAGGGTTACACCATTCCTCTCGACAAACGTCTGGCTGCCGACGGCAGAGGGCTGCAAACAGTTCACATCAACGAAAACTTCGCCAAGCTCGCCGAGGCGCTCTACATCGCCGACAGAAAGGTACAACGCCGTCGATACTGATTGAAATGTGCCAGCGGATCATTTTTTTAACCATTAGGGATGTATATGTACATGTATTTCATGTGCATCGCCAGGTTCGTTGCTGTTCGTTGCTGCACAGCATTGTTTGCAAACTGCGTGCGCCTTGTCAAGTTGACCTCCTCGCTTGAAAAACCTGAAATATCGCCACACCTTCGTTTTGTGTGCCTTTTTTTGGTGCATGAAATATCTTGCCGCTGCTCTCGTCATTATCGTTTGCCTCCATATTTGTTGTGTACAACACCTGCTCGCGTCAGTGCCCGAGGACGCGATGGTGCGTTCAGGTTGCCTCGGAAAAGACGACAGGACGGGGAATAGATTCTAGAACATGAATTTATCAATCTAACAGAAGAGATGCACCACAAATTCACCCCGCTTTGCAAACGTTGAATCTGTGAATCTTGACATCCCTAGTAACCATATATTATGTAACATGTGTTTCCATAGGCCAGAGAGGCAGTGGAGATGAGAGCCCAGGTTGAGAAGAAGATGGCTCAGAAGGAGAAGGAGAAGAAGGAGGAGAAACTGAGAGAGCTGGCTCAGATGGCTCGAGACCGCAGGGCAGGGATCAAAAGTCACGGAGACAAAGGTAAGTCCAACCAGAAGAGGGTTTCCTCTGTCTGTTTCTTACTTGTGTTTTTCCCAAGCGGGTGGAAAACTTGTTGTCAGTAATGTCGCCACTTCTAAATCTGGCATGGCGAGAGGCAGAAGTGATGACAATGCTTCTCACCACTCCAGCTCAGAACCAGCCGAGTGTGAAGTGTTTTTCGCCTCCCCGCTGATAATTCACGTTCAGATTTTGAAGAAAGATAACCCGTGTTGCATGTCCTGTCTTTCTGAACGACGGAAACAGAAATCAAATTCTTATTGCGTGTTTTTTTTTTCTTCTGTTTTGAATTTCAACATCTGTCAGCTGTGTTTGTTTTTATAAGTTAATCTTCTCTCCTCTACCGAGTCTCAACCACCTGCCTCATATTTCTGCCATGCCTATACCATCTGTTTTTTTCATTACCCCTAACACCACCTAACATCCGCTTTCCTCACCTCTCGCTCCTCATTTCTCCCTCCATCTGTCTCCCTCTTTATCGCAATGTTTCTTTTCACCTCTGCGCATCATCTGCGACTTGTCCCATTATCTGTCTCTCACTTTTCTCCTCATGTCGATTTAAAAAAAAATCTTTTTGTGTCTTTTCAACCCCTGTCGTCCCTCCCCCCGTCCCACGCAGCAGGTGGCGAGGACAGCGAGGCCAGAGAGCGTGACGAGATCCGCCACGACAGACGGAAAGAGAGACAGCACGACAGGAACATTTCCAGGGCGGCTCCTGATAAGAGGTGCTGGACACGCACTTTAGATGCACACACCGCACGTGAACTCGCCTTACACACACATATACACATACACGCTGCTGAATCATTCATGGTACCAGCAGTAACACCGAACAAACCCAGCAGGATCCAGCAGAGTACCCAGGCAGTAGTCCTTGTCTGCAGTGATCCGCATACTGTGCATGAGATATGAGTGATCAGTATGTGTGTGTGTCTGTGTGTGAACCGTCAGGTTGTCATTTGATCGAACTGAGGGACCCTAGAGAAGTGGAGGGATTGAAATTCAGAGGAGAGCTCATTACAATCACAATTCCAGCTGTCAGAAAGCACAAACCTTGTTATCTTAAAATTACCTTTCACTTCACTTTGAGCCTCCGCTCGCTGAAGGACAGTCGAGATGTTAAAGTCACCAAGAACTTAATAAACAAAGTCACACATTACATAATAAACCAATGCCTCAAAAGCGAAATGGTTTTACTCTTTTTGATGTAGGGGTGTTTTTATTCTTCGTTAATGTCCGCTGTGGTTCTGTCTCACAGGTCGAAGCTGCAGAGAGATCAGGACAGGGACATCAGCGAGCTCATCGCTCTGGGTATGCCCAACCCTCGGTCTGGTAGTGAGGCTCAATACGACCAGAGACTCTTCAATCAGAGCAAGGTAAGAATCGTAGATGTATCAGCCGGTATCTGTTATGCTGCCTAAGTATGGATTTGGAAGCTTCGAGTTGGCCGGACAGAAGAATTAACATTGAATCCAGAATCAATGTTGCAGGAGAACACCTCTCCCTGCAGGTTATACTGGTTTATTGATCACAGTGGTGTTAGTGGTGCAGCTAATATTGTAAATGTAGCTAAAGTGCGTCTTATACACCAACTCTTACAGCATTTTTGTACCTCAGGCTCTTTAAAAATCCGTAATAAACTAATGAACTAACTAATAAAAAGATAGAAAACTGAATCGAGGAGTACAGAAACTCCCCAAACTAGACACCACTGTGACACCTCTGTGTGTCTCTTTCCAGGGTATGGACAGCGGTTTCGCCGGCGGTGAGGATGACACATACAACGTGTACGACCAGCCGTTCCGCGGCGGCAGAGACATGGCCGCAAACATCTACAGACCCAGCAAGAATATTGAAAAGGACGCCTACGCCGACGACTTTGACACACTCATGCAAAACAACAGGTACGACAGATTGTTCTGTTTTTGTTTGATCCTGAATGACATATTTGTTTATTTTATACTAATATTGTCACATTTGTGCCAGGTTGCTTTTTCAGAGATCTGTCAAAATATAGTTGACTTTCACCAAGAGGAAGTCACGAGTAACAAGTTTAATATGTGTGTTTGTGTTCCTGTCTTTCTATATTTTTGCAGACTTTGGCTCTCAGACACTCAAAAAAAATACTGTTACAATTTCTATAAGAATAAATAAGGACGACCTCATTTTTTAAAATTTGCTTAAACGTAAGGTAACACCCGAGACCTAATGAGTTTGAGACAGTGAAAATACATATGGTATGTTGTATCTGAACAGGTTAGCTTATGAGCTAAAGTTACTTAGCACAGATGAAAGTTAAAACAAACGTCGCTGATGTGAACGCTTGTATTGACAGGATACGGGTTCCGAAAAAAATCTTGACGTCTGAAATAATCACACGAAAAAAAACGGTCACGGTGTGAAAAGACCTTTACTTATACGATTAAAACCCACAGGATCTGGAACAGCTGCGCTCCGATCCGGCACGGCAGGCAGATCAAATATGCAAGCATTATAATCAGTGTGTGCGATTTCACAGAATCCGTCCACCGTCCGCCTCCGCTGCGGATCTGCTCCGGCGGCCAGATCAGCTACGCAAGGGTTCTATTTTTGCCAGACGCGGCAGCACGGCACAAGCAGCAGCGGAAGTTTTGTGCACCTCAAGTGAATACCTTGATCTGTTCACTTGATAATAGGAGAAGCCAGAATTGTGTGTTTATATACACCGACGGACGGATCTCATTCAATGTCTTAAGGGAAAACACGCAAGATCTCGCCCAGTTTTGTGAGAAATATCTGTATTCTCGCGAGCGCTTCTCCTCCGATGGCAGTGGTGCATCGCATCCGGTGGGTGCTGTATTTTTGCGTATTTGATCCACCTGCTGGTCCAGAACTGTGCAGAGCCGTTACGGATCCAGTGGAATCCCCGGGTTAGACAGATTTATCAGACAATCCGAACCTGTCTCCAAGGTGACACTGTGAATGTTTATCGACCCGTTAATCAAGTTTGGAGGCAAAGTGAATCAGACTGCGAACAGAACAGCAAAAGTTTTAACCTTCTCATCATCATAATCACCAAAAATAACAAAAGCCTGATTTATTCTGAGGTCACTGTGGCATTATGTCGAAGCACGAGGTAAGAGTGCACATGACGCCCCAGCAGGAGCTCTTGTCCTTGGGGGCAGCAGTGCCACACTCCACCAGTCGAGCATGGCCTGTCCCATATGTTTAGTCACCAGCTTGTCATTGTCCTCTAGGAATGTTGTCTGGCTGCGGGGTGTTACACCGCCGTGCGAAAACAATGAGCGAAAATCTTCGACTTAAACAGATTTCCTCAGACAGAAAAACAGATGTTCCACGGAAAACCTGATAGTTTAGATGCAGCCTAGTAATTCTCCTCATGAGAAAGTCGTCTGCTTTCCTGCTCCGACGATACCGGAATAACAAAAACAACAGCAAGACTCTAATGATCTTATATTTCCTGTCCTCCACGCCAGGTTTGTACCGGACAAAGAGTTCTCAGGTGCCGATCACGGGCAGAGGCGAGAGGGTCCTGTGCAGTTCGAGGAGGATCCCTTCGGTCTGGATAAGTTCTTGAAGGAGGCGAAGCAGCACGGAGGCTCCAAGAGGCCCTCCACCAGCGGCCGCTCAAAGGAAGACTACCACGACAAGAAACGCAGGAAGGAGTAAGAGCGAGGCGGCGCAGAGGGCGGTGTCAGGCTGCTGCTATCGTGTCGGAGGTCAGGGAGGTGCTCTGCATCCCCCCAGTGGTTGACAAGTTTTTGAGTAAACTAAACTCGATCAGGAATCATCTGCCAGGTGTTTGTTTCTTTAGTGTGAGGAAGGTGAAATGCTGCGTTCGAGTTACCTCGGAAGTCGGAGCTGAAAATCACGGCACACCAAAGTTACCAACGTTTCAGGCACCGAGTCGGAAGAAAGCAAAATTGGAAAGTTATTTTAGAGCTTGCCTTGTCTTTGTTAGCCATCTTGTTTCCACCTCCGATTTTGTTTTTTTCCGACTTTGTAACTAAAACGCTTATAACTCGTGTGTAACGTCGTTTTCGGCTCCAACATCTGACTTCTGAGGTAACTCAGTAAAGATTGTCAGAGATGCTCATGATTTCATCTTTTTTGCATTTGTAGTTTGCTCCTCGTTTCGATATCATTCAGCGTCATGATAAATACGACTAAAGTGGAGCTAAATTGATAGCTGTTGTACGTGCGAGGTCAGCCTCTGCATCTTTAAAAGTCTCACTGCAGCAAAGGCCATATTATATGTAAAGCCCAGATATTCGATGTTGTTTTTGTCATTGAAACCTGTAGATTTTAGTTATTTTATCTTTTTTTTTTACATCTGCAGAGTTAAAGAAGCCCAGCAGAAACTGTTCACACCCCTTTTTTTCTGATTTGTCCCTCTCCCTGTCAGCTGTGTTTTATTTAAGCCTCTGGTGTAACTGTGTGCGCATTCAAACCCCGTGTGTAATGGCAGATATGTACAGAAGTCTGAGCTTTTACCTGGAAGATGTTAAGCAAACTAGCTTTATAATTCTTGTACATTACTACCAGCGGATAAATAAATTTCATATAGCGTGTAATTGGTGCCCTGTTTGTGTTTATTATGGTGTAAACCGTCCGTTAACTTTCAAACTCCTAAATTTAACTTTACAACATAGTAGCTGAATGGAAAGTCCATTAGTTGTCTAATTATTGTAGTTTCCCTGCATTAGATTTCCATCACTTTAATCACATGCGAGTAATGCATCCCATTTACAAAGATGATTGAATGCCCAAAATGTATCTACAGCAGCCATCTATTTCAAAGCGTGTGTACTGACATCTTTTCTCCAGAAATGGGCTCTGCAATTTATGCGATGATTAGACCGAAACTGGTTCCATTAATTTCAATTAATTATGACTTATGCGGGCTGACAGTTTTATTTTCCCAGCCGTCAGAAAATACTCATTGCGGCATTACACAGCCCAGCAGACTCACAAATCTCTGCGCGGTGCCATCTTTCACTCATGCCTGAATGGGACTCAGACAGTTATGGCTTCCTGTATTAGTGCAGAGTTCTGGACCCGTACAGGATGTTTTACCGCTCGCCTTAAAAAGATTATGGAACTTAGAGCTGTGAAACAGCACTGGGGGAAACAAAGGCTCTGTTCACACCGCAGGTCAATTCTGATTTTTTTAACCATATGTGACTCATATCTGATTTTTTCATGTAAGTGTGAACAATGGAATTCCAATATTTTCAAATCCGACCCAGGCCTCTTTTGAATATGGATATAAATCAGATATTTATCCGATGTGACTGCAGTGTGGACGCTCAGGTCGCGTTCATCCGACTTATACGTCATCAATATGCGACAAACATCACCATTGTTCAACAACACAAACAGGCGGAAAGCAATTTGTGCGCATGCGGGTCACTTCACGGACGCATTCTGTTCATATTAGATGCTGCATTCGTTGTTTTAATGTGAACAACCGCACTAAAAGATCGGATTTAACAAAAAATTTGAACCGTGCATCATAACCTGCAGTGTGACACCCAAATGATTCATGCAAATATGATAAACTTGCTTATACTTACTGCATTTTTGATACTTTAGCCACTTTTTTTGCCTGTTCGTCTCCTAAAGTACTTAAAAAATTAATGTTTTCAGTAGCATCCTTTTTTTTCCTTCTTTATTTATCTCAAACGTTAAGAACAAGAAAAAACAACTAGAAACAAAAACACCGAACAAAATAATACATATGTACAACAAACAACTGTGCATGTCAGAGATAAATTTACACAACATATGTATGAAAAAATAAACAGTCTGAGAAGGAACAGAATGAAGCAGAGAGCTGATCTTGTCCTGCCCCTTCTTTGCAAATTAGAGATTTTTAAAAAATATATATATTTGTATAAATTACAGGGATCTGTATGAATATCTACATATTGTACCCAAAGATATCTGCTCAACACTAAAAGGTTACTTATTATAATTACTTGCATATTATAGTAATAATCAGTGTTACAATATTCAGAATTAATATTACTTTTAATGCAATCAAGTATATTTAGTGTATCTAGTATTAACCATATTTTTTGTTAGTTTACTTGTATGAATCTTTTAATACTTCTCTGTAGTTTGATTTAAATATTTTTAGGGTTTTAACACATTTTTAAAGTGACATCCAGTTCCACAGTTTAACACCACAAACAGAAATGCACGTACTTTTCAGAGTTGTACGGACAATCGGACAATTAAATTTATGTTCCCTCCCTCAGATTATAGCCCCCCTCTCTGGTTTTGAACATCTTTTGTGGGTTATTAGGTAACTTACTCTTCTTGAAATTTTTGAATACAGATATTTAATGTATGGTTTCCAGCAGAGCTTATGATCAATCAGAATGCACATACTTTTTCATAGAGTATCGGACAAGTAAATTATAATTATCAGATTATAGTTTTTCTATTTCCAAATAACATAAACTTTGTTTTACTTTAAAAAAGTAGAGTGTCACCTGTATTATCTCTACTGTCCAGCAGGGGGTGGATGTAATCTTATTCATGTGAGGACACCAAAAATATGGAAGCAGATTAAAAAATGATCCTTCTTCCCAGCTGATTTTCTTTTTCCACAGTCAAGACGAAGTTCAAGAAGTCACATGAGACTTTTCCACGAGCCACATTAGATTTGCTCAGTTATGACATGAATCTTCTATAAAGAGCTCAGTACATGTAATATTAACCAAACATCCTGCTCTGTTCTCTGTTGCGAGGGATTTTTTTTTTGTCCCTTTCCAAATTTAGCATCCAAAACATACGGCCGGATTTCATAACTTTTAAAACATTTCTAAAAAGATGAGAACAACTTTGCAGTGTGGCAGCAGGGGAAGAGGCTTCTGAAGAGCTGAGTGAAATGTTTCAGACCAGGGCCTCATTACGTCTGTCCCTGAATAGATCAAAAAAGACAAACTATGCCTGCAAATTGCTTGGGATTGCCTTTTGAACACCATTGAAATCCACGAAAGACCCTCAACCAAGGAGTGTAAACACATTTCATGGCTGCAAAGGATATGAAATGTGCTAAGACTGGGTTTTATGAGGTGACAACACTGTGGATTATAACTTAAAATTCATTCTTCTCAGTGTTTGTGATCACAGCGCTCAGCGGCTCTGTCGGGTCACTGCGAAGTACCTCCGATTACCCACGCTCCCTATCCCGAGGACAGCTAAGGAACCGAGCTAAAACAGATTAAACCCTCAGTCGATTACAGCAAAGTGGCTCTGATGTGATTTAACGTTGACCTTTACTCCCGTGGTGAGGAGCAGACACACTCGCAAAACAGAAAACAAGAAGAAAACCATGACTCTGACCTTTTTATCCTGATTTTTTTCTCCTCTTTTCTGCTTTTTCCTGGAGTTCGTCTTTTTAATCATCTCATACCTCAATCGTAATGACTCCTATTATTTACATAGCACCTTTTATGTCATGTTATATGCTGAGTAACAATGGAGGCGCGTCATCAGGAGTGTGTCCTTTCCTCTGTGTGTGTAAATGTTGAATGAACGGATGGATGGGAAGTCACTCTGCTCCCAGCGTGGGGTGGTTTCAGGACAGCGGGAGGTTATTGTGAGGGCCTGGTGCGAGTGTCAGTGTGAGAAAATCAATCTGACATGTACCATCTTAGCGTGACAGACTCATGATGGGAAAAGTGATTGTCGTGTATGCTTTTAGAGGAACATTTATGAGCATGATAAAAGGAGAAATATCACAATAATGGGAAGAAAAGAAAAACTCGAAGTAAACAGCCACTTCAAGATTTTTCTGTCTCAAAACAACAGGAAAGATTTGCTCCCTCTCGGCCCGCATTTGTCTCCGGACCATTGTGGAAATGTAGGGGACAGCTTGATAAAAGGTCTCCACTCAGCTCTTGTCTCCCTTTATGAATGCGCTCAGAGGAAGATGAATGAGATTCTTATTCATGAAGGTAGGAGGAAATTGGTTCCTTGGCATTGCTTTTGTGCGCCGCCTGATGTAAACGGTGCACATATTGTGTTTGGCCATAATGGAATCCTCAGGTTGCAGACAGAGAGGCCATGATGGATAACTCCTTATCTTTTCTCCACAAGGAAACAAACTCAGGGAAATAATAAAGAGTATTGAGTTGTTGTAGCGCATCTTTTCACTCTTTGGTCCGGCGAAAGCAGGACTTAAGTTGACTTTGTGATACCTTTTGTGATATTCCTTTCCTCCGTGGCAGTAAAGCAATAAGTTGTGTGATAAATGTCCTCGCTGCCACTGTTGACCTGTCAGGGACGCTGGCCAGAGAGAGATCTTATCGTACCCGATGAGATTTGTTCTTCTCTTCCACAGTGGTGAAGGCTGCGGCGGCTGTATCAGAGGAAGCCTTTTTGCTCTGTTCAAGAAGCACACCCACATCCAGGGAAAACAATGGCCCCATTACCTCCCGGACTGCATCAGCAATATGGAAAGATGAGTCATTTTCAAGAACAAGAAAAAGAAAGAAGAAAAACAAAAGTTTTTCATTTTAAAGCTCCTATGAGTAACTTTAAGTTTGTGTTGGTTTTGGTGCCCCCTGTGGTCCTGCTTTGTATTAACACCCAAATATCAATGAACAAATGTGTAACACACAAAAATATCAACAAATGGAGAGGTTGAGCAGGAGATTGACCAATAGGAGCTGTCCAGGACGCATTTTTTTTTTTTGTAGGATGGTAGTCCCGCCTTCTGCGCCTCTGATTGGCTAGAAAAGCTGAAAACGTCATCACACGCTCAATCAATTATCGCACTTCTGAATCTCCTAATCCTAATCCTAACCTGAGAGACGGTGATGTTTCACAGCCATAAGGAATAACCAATCGGAACCCATCACTTCTGACCAATCAGAGGCGAAGGAGGGCGGGACCTTCCCCTACCATCCCACAAAAAAAATTTGCGTCCGGGACAAATGGCTCCCATTGGTCAATGTTTTTGCAGCCCTGCACCTGCAAGGGTGAACGGATTTTTTCCATTCTTTTTTTTTTTACTTTCTCCCACTATAGGACCATGATCACCATAGAAACGAGGTTCATAATAATTACCAATCTCTCCAATCCTAAACCATGCCTTTAAGAGAAAACTCCTCAAAAGGAGCTTTAATACTTACATAGTATTGAACATTTATAACTCTTGTAGTATCACTAAATCCCATTTCTTCCCCACTCTGATGCTAAGTTCGAACTTCGGCGAGTCATTTTGACCACGTCTACACGCTTTAATGCTTTGAGTTGCTGCCATATGATTGGCTGATTAGCAAGTTGTGAAAATATAGTCTGAATGCAACAGGCTAAGCCAAAGTGTGCCAGTTTTATCTGTCAAACCTACATTCTCTCCCCACACCTGAGTAACCCACCTGTCCTCAGTCGCTCACTCACTTCCCTATCATTAGTTCCTCATCTGTGAATATTCAGGCCGGATTTCACTCATCATTACAGCAGCAGTCTGTGGAGTTGGACAGAGTCTACTGCTCTCTGGAAAATGGTCTGCCTGTCAATCCGTCCGCCCCCGTCTAACTCACCTGGATCCAGGAGAGCAGAATCGGGCGTCTCCTCAGTGGCTCCTTCTGCGGATAATCTATTATGCCGGGAAGACTAAGACAGGCGTAACAATCTCTAATGGTTGTGTCAGTCAGAAAGCAGCCTGCTGCACATACTTTGGCAGCGGGGTCCACCCAGCCGTGGTGGGAGTGCACATCGACTGCTCTGGGATTTGCTGTGACAGGGAGTGATTGACGCCTGGACTAATGTCTTTATCCGTGGAAAGAGCAGCGCTGTAGAGAGCGAGGGAACGGAAACTTGGGGTAGTAAAGTTAGAATTAATCGCTCGTATGTTGACGATGCCATGAAGTGTATTGCAGTATGGTTAAATTACTCCAATCTCTCTTTAGAAAGCCTCTGATGATGCTGGAATTATCAGGCACTTGGAAGCAGCACAGGTTTGGACCTGACCTGATTGTGCAGAGGTGTGATCCCTCACAATGAGCACCCTCATTCATACTCATTTGCATGGTTTCTTGTGAGCTATTGTGGTTTCATCATTTGTTTTCAACCACATTTAGACACCACTGAAGTATGAAGAATGGCTGCCTGCCTAGACTTCCTCTCTGGCAGCGTTGGGTCTTAATAGGTTGTCGTGGGAATAGGAGGAGAGATTGATTCTCCTGATGATTTCATTAGATGACATCAAAGCAGGGAAATTGCAACAGAGAGCGGGAATACATCTTCAGTGAATGAGAAATCATCTGTTGTTTGAATGATACTGTTAGAACTCAGGAGTGGCATCTGACCTTGTCAATAGAAACGCAGTAAATATGATGTTTTTCTCAGTGGTTAGGCTGTAAATGTGTTGCTCCATTGCAGGGGATGGGTAGCTGCCAACAGAGATCATTTAAAGAATAATAAATCTATAGTTTTTTGGATTATGAGCCCCTTTTACATTGCGTGTTTAAGAAGGACTCTTCCAGGAGCCGCTTGTTTGTACAGAGATCTCAGGCAAGACCATTACTACAGCGGGGTGATGCAGCTCAAGGAAGAACATTTATGATCATTACTTAATCTCAAGTAATAATCATCAAATTGATCATTTTGCTCTGCAGATGCAGTAGTTCTTCTGCCTTAGCGTCTCGGTCTGATTGCATTTTCATAAATGTTCTTCCTCGAGCTGCGTAACCCCGCTGCAGTCGATTGACGATGAAGTTAGGTGCTGTTCTGAGCATTATTTGTGGCTATAGAGTAGCTTTTTTATTAAAGTTGGTATAACTAGAGAAGCAATTGGTCGGCAACATTCATGTCTTAACGGGTGTCTAACTCAGTGTTTCGGTTTGTTTGACCCTAACTTAATTTTACGCCGGAGTATCTATGATACTATGGACAACTTGGTTCTGCCTTCCACCAGTATTCGCATTTAAAGCCGAAAAGTTCTTTGTATTTCTGCAATTTTTCTTCATTTCCTGAAACCAACATTGCACAGTGGCGTAGTACGCATTCGGCAGGAGAGTCGCTGTGATGACACTCAGCTCAAACAGCGTATCCCCCAGGTGAGCTACGCAATCTTCGTACGCCCATCGGCTGTATCAAGTGTCAATCATAGAAAACATGAACCCCCAAATAACTTTTAAAAACGGAGCTGTACAAAAAAAGGGGACTTGAGCACAAACCAGTCTTACGATAACTACATGTCAACATCACAAGCAGAGGTGAGAAAAATGTATATTTTGTGTAATGAACTATTAAAGTTTGTCCACAGCTCCATAAGCTTTGCTGGCGGAGGATGGATTTATGACCTATACTGCAGCCCGTCACCAGAGGGTGCTGTTCTCAGAGTGGCTTCACCCAGTGAGGAGGCAGATGGCGTCCATTCTATATACAGTCTATGGTTGCTACATCTCAAAACAGACAACAATTGCTCTAAATCTCTTATTTTAATTTGTTAAATGTGCCATTCAGAATCTTTTCGGAAAGTAACATCTGCCAGCAGGTTTGAGAGATTATAAACCAGGACATTTAAAGGCTTTTTTCAGTCAAGTCACTTTGATTTTCAGCATGTCATCAGAATGAATACCAATCTTTTTAAGCTCCTTGCTGTGTCTGTATCAATGAGAGCAGATCCTCTTTCCTTTTAACCCTGCCTCTGATCCTATTAAAGCTGGATCCTTATCACCTTCATCAGGTTTGGAATGGATGGGAGCTTAACTGCCTTTGGGCACACTTGGCAAGAGCTGACTGGACTAATGTTTCATTATTCCACGCTCAAGGTTGCAACCTTGAGACGAAACAAGAGGGAAAGGTTTGAGAATTGATTAGAGAATCAAGTCATCAGATGTTATCTCTTATGTCTTTATCATGGATGTCACACCTTATACAAACACCACCCTGCACAACAATGCGGCCCAACACTGAACTGTGTCCCACTGCAACAGCATTACCTCAGAGTCAAGGTCTGTTTACAGGATGGGCTCAACCTTTGTGTGGCCCAACAGTGCCATCTAGGTGGGCGGGAATGTAGAGCTGATATTGTATTTGCATCTCTGCATGAAAAATAAAAGCCCCCCAACACAAACAAACACATGCAAATAGAGAAAGGGGTGGGGGTGTGCTGCCTCACAGGTGGCGTGTTACACAAACAATCATACCTTATCTCATACAGACACACAAACACAGCAGGGGCCATGCTGACGGGCACGTTTCCCTGGACCATACTCACCAAACAGGAAGAGAAAAGTACAACCTCGAGGTCCACTGTGACTCCAGGAAACCCGCCTATTGTTGGTACGTTCTCTCACACCAGAGGCCCTCTCCCCCTCCTGATGTACCTGAAATATTTATAATGGCAGCCTCTGCCTGGTGGAACACCATAGCCATAATAAACCAGACTTATTTTATGTGTGATAATTATTATTTTGTCATTTTAAAAGGGAGAGGCTCTTTAGGCGTGGTGAGATTAAAGATAATGATGTTTGCATTAGCCTGAGCATTAGTCAGATAAGGGATTTGTTGTCTCAGGTTACAGTTTAACCAGGTCATACAGTCTCCCCAGTGTTAGTTTATGTTAATGAGAAGTCACACCGTCTACCTTTTCTTTTTTAAAGGAAAACACAAAATCTTAATGGAGATGTGCAGATGTTCTCCCCCTTTAAACAGGTTAGTAGCTCAGCCTTGTTTCTCTTCCTTTCCCTGCTGTGGGAGTTAACATGGAGTTAGCCTTGACCCTCGTTAGCATCTTCATCCGAGCCCAGGTGAGAAACGGCGTCACTGCAGAGGGGGTTTCAGCTGACGCCTGAGCAAAGGTTATTATGGGTTATTTCCATGGGTAAGGCTTTAGGACGTCCCACGCTGGAGAGAGGTTGACGCCTAGCGAAGAGTGGGGAATAAAGACAGATGCTTCACGCTGTGAAGTATCCACAAACCACAAACATTAGAGTTCCTAGTTCACTCACACTTTTCAAGTTGTATTGTTTTGTTTCAAAATAAATAAATAAATAAATAAAAATATAAATTTAACCAGGCTTTTCACTGATTGTCTTTTTATATTTCTCTTATTGCTCTCTCTAATTCCAGTATTAGAGGTTTTTTTTGTGTGTGTGTATGTGTAAGTGAGTGAGGGTGGGTGCGTGTCTGTGGGTGGTAGGGTCAGGTTTTATTGTTGTTTAATTGTTGTTTCTAGCCTCTGTGAGGCACTTTGAAATACATCTTTTTGTCTAAAAAGTGCCATACAAATAAAGCTGAATTTTAAATAAATAGTGCGTCTTAAAAAAGAACCCACACAAACAACATAAATATAAGATGAATCAAAAAACATCACACATAAAGGCTACAAAATGGAATAAGATTGTGTTTTGTGGGATGTCTTTCAGCTTCTTATTGAATTTCGGAAAATATTGAGTTTTAAAAGATTTTATGTGTTGTGTTTTTATTATTATTATTATTATTATTATTATTATTATTATTATTATTATTATTATTATTGATATATTTTTGATTTAATGGAGTATTTTGTAAAGTCACCAAAAATAAAAACAATAAAGACTAAAAACTAAGGGTAAGATTGCAGCACGTGAGTAATTTTGCATTTTCTGGAGGTAGTGGATTAAAAACCAAATAAATAAAGCATATATACAAAGATATATGTTCTTATTTAGTACCACTAGGATGCCTACTACCACCATAATACAATTTTTGGCTAAATAATTCATTATTGATTATGTATCAGACACATGATCATCAACCGTTGTCAGAGTTAGGATGTGTTCTGTTTTCATAGACGATCTTTGCAGTGGAGTCTCCGCATCGACCAATGAAAAAACCCCTGGGCGTGGATTTCCGGTAGGCTCGTGCGGTAACAGTGCAGAGTGGGCGTTTAATCCGTCTTCTCCCTCCAGCTCATACATGACTTCACGACGAACGTTACACAAGTTGGCCAACTCCAAACCGTGAAAAACCCACGAACAGACGGCTGTACGAAGATGACGGAAAGCTCCGCGAACAAGCTGCTAAACGGGGACGCCTGTCACCGGACCTCAAACGGGAAAAAATCGAGTAAAAATGGCTTCACGAAGAACCACTGTCTGTTTCAGCAACCGCACAAGTACCGTCGCCCCAGAGAGAAGGTGAGGAAGGCCCAACCGTCAACTGCTCGATACTGAGGGGGATTGTTGTGTTTTTGTACCGTGTGATGTAGACTAGTCTGAATTAAGACAATGTTACTATCTAACGTTTTAGACATTTATCAGTACTTTTAATTCTTATTTTAATCAGTGTTGAAAAGTGTCAGTTGCTATCATACAGTCTGTGGTTGCGATTGAATGACGGAAACATCACACCAGCCCTCATGTAAACTCTAACATTAGTGTTAATGTAATAATGAGTTTAGCCTGCTTTATATTACTGCTAATGCTCAGCCTTGTGTCTGCATCCCAGTGCAACATTCTTAACTTTCTGCTATTCAATATCCTCTCCTTCATTTGAATCACTAAATTTTAAGTATTTTAACCCTAGAACACTATGAATGAATGTGAATAAACTTTATTCTTCTCCAGAGGACAATTTAAAGGCCATTGAGAAGCAATATACATTTACAGAGACAGGATGGATGTGCATCAAAGAAAGTAACTTAGTGTACACAGTAAAAAGAGGGGGGGAAATGAAAAATGTATTTGTATTTTAACCCTGGAACACTTTGGCTAAAAATAGTAATACCATCACTATCGCCAGGTGTTTTTTACAACCAAGAAAAAGTACTTGTCATGAAAATATATCAGAATAGGACAATACATGACAAATTAAAGTAGTTTTCTTTTATTTTGAACTGTGCAATGCCCAAAGAGAGAGGGGAAAAAGTGCCATGAGGGGACCATGTATAGAAATGCAACAAAATAACTGAAATTAGGCATCATGAACAAAAAATTCCTATTTAGTTCTGATTAGACTCTAGTGTTGAGATGTCTGTCTGTCATGATAGCATGTACTGAGTCGGGCCAGTACCAGATAAGCACATTAAACTATAATCCATAAATAAAAGGTAACAACCGAGACCTAATGGTGCTGTGACAGCAACGCTGTGATTGAGTTTGAGACAGTGAAAATACATATGGTATGTTGTATCTGAACAGGTTAGCTTACGAGCTAAAGTTACTTAGCACAGATGAAAGACAGGGTACGCATTCGAAAAACAATTCCGATGTCCGAAATAATCGCACGACAAAAACGGTACCGGTGTGAAAGAACCTTTACTGACCTTATTCGCCTACATGCAGCTATCAAATCCATCGCTATTGCCAAGTGAAAATCACCCGAACACGTTTTGGATCAGGGAAACAAATATGCCTTCAAAGATGTCAAAAATCACGTCAATGTGTTTGGTCAGGGCGATAGTGTTCTCGGGATAAACATTTCCACTATTACAATGTTAACATTATGAAAACCTTGGCAACATAAACCGATCTAGTGTATCAGCTCCACTCCAAAAGTACATTATTAGAAGAGCGAGCAAAAAAGTAGCTTTCATTCTATTGCACTCCACTTCTAATATCAAGTTGAAGATCTGGCATCACCTGTGGGATCATATCAGCAAAACTGAAAGTGTAGAATCTGTCTAAACAGAGCTGTTGTAGTAGGTTGCGTTACATTGATTGCCCAGGTGCTCTGAATGCTATATCTGGTCAGTATGTATGTTTTGTAAGCAACACCCGTCTGCGTTAAACTTCATGTTTGGTGGTTACCTGCCACCTGATCAGGCCAGATTGTAGTGGTGGGTTGTTTGTAACCTTACACCCTGTTGTTTCTGCACTCCTGAGCATAGCTGGTGAAGTCGGACCGGTCTCTGTTTACACTGACTCTACTATGATGAAGAGTGGGGGGCCCCTGTTGTGTTATTGCAGAGTAGCTGTCTGTCTATCTGCATGTGTGTGTGTGTGAGTCTCCTGAGAGAGGAGGAGGGCTGGCCTGTCTCCACATGACACTTGAGCGGGAGAGGAATGTCTCCAGGCCGTAAAGGGTGTGGTCCCTCCTAGGGTTGAGAGAGAAACACCAAAAACAGTGTGTATATTGGTGGAGGTGGGGTATGCAGCGAGAGACACACATGCCTTTGTGTTTTTTGTTGTGATTTTTTAAAAGTTTAGATCTAAAGACAAATCTGACAAACACACCTGCTTTTAATGCTGAATGAAACGCATGACCTCTCGATTTTGTCAACAGTACATTCCAGACTCGCGACTGTTTAAAGCCACAGGGTTGCTGATTTCAACATACAGCATGCTTACACAATGAGGTCCAGATGTTATGGCTGTCATACCAGTTACATCCTTGTGCTCATAATGTCTTCATTTAGCCAGAAGTGAAGTCTGTGCTGCATGCTGTATATCAACGCCTATAACGCCATCTGATATTTGCTGTACTTCTAACTGAACCAAAGAGTTGGGGTTTAGTAGAATTCGTTACATCGGCAGTTGGAAGTGCAAGACGTACATTTGAAGAGTTGGTACTATGCTTTTTCGTACTTAATTAATAAATACATTTTAGTTGAAAAGGTTGAATGTCAAAACTAAAGGTCCTTACACAAAGGACATCGAATTTCGACGCGCCTGACTATACACATCAAGCCTGATGCCATTTTGCGACTTTCCGCGGGATAAAAGGCGCATCCCGGGGAAGACTTTTCCCGGGGAAAGTCCCGCCTCCTTCGCCTCTGATTGGCTAGAAAAGCTGGAAACGTCATCACACGCTCAAGCTAAATGGTCAGCACTTATAGCCAATCAAAGGCAAAGGAAGGCGGGACCTTCCCTCACCACCCTACAGCGTTCTAAAGTTCTATTTAGACTCTAGTGTTGAGATGGCTTTCTGTCATGATAGCATGTACCGAGTACCAGATAAGCACATGAAACTATGGTAACAACCGTTAGCATACGTTAGCACAGATGAAAGTTGAAACAAAGACGTTTAGCAAACTGTTAAAGCACACAAACCATCGTCATATGAGAAATCTGACGCTATGACTCTCCACAAGTTGTCCTTCAGGTCGTTATCTTTGTAATTTGATGTACGAAATAATCGCACAAAAAATAACACTTCCGATGTGTTGGGACCTTTATACATTTGAAGAGGTGGTACTATGCTTTTTTAGATTTAGAGTGGGGACAAAGTTTCAAACTGTAAGGTACGCAAAATAATTTGCTCAACTCATGACATCACTAGTTGATCAATATTCGTCAAAGAGCGTAATAGTTGTAGTGTTTAACAAAAAGTAACATCTTAACATTTTTTGTCCCTTTTTTCAAAAAATCCATAAAGCCATGTTTCATTATGTGTCCTTTTAAGTCAATGTATGGCAACAGTGGAGGGGGGTCCCAGAGTACTGGGTGAATTAAAGAGAGAGTAGCTGAATCTGTTTTTATCAAAGACATCATTCTGAATATGTGAAGTTTTTAAGCTGTAAATCATGTAAAACTTCTTTAAAGCTATCAAGAGGATTCATCATGAAAACAAGAATTCTTCCCCTCTTTATCATCGTTATTCAGTCATTGATCAGGCCAGCCTGAATGATACTGTGTTCAGTATTATGACACATACCTCCATGTTTGTATCAGCAGTGGAAAAAGGCCCTCATCGTACCTGAAATGACCTCTGCCGGCTGTTGATAAGGATACCGCATCAGGAGACCTATTCTCTTGTGAAACCAAGCCTCTTGAGTCACTCAAGCTTTTACTTTAAATCAACTGGTAACATTGGGATGTCTTTCCCTCACAAGTTAAGCACGGAATTCAGACCATTTTGCAAACCAGTGAAGAAACATCCTCGTGGGTCAGGGTCTGCAGCTGAAAAACTCTACTTAGAGGCCGGATTTTGATGAAGAGGCAGGAATAAATATCTAGCTAACAGCTTTCAGCGTCAATAAAAACAGTGTCAATAATTGCTCTCTGGTGGTTAGCTGCAGTTAAACTCGGTTTCTTGTTGTCAACACTTTGTAACAGGGTTATGAGCTGCAGAATAAGCAAAGTAAAGAGTAGTTGTAGTAGTATATTTCCACAGAAGTTGAACGCTGGATGCATTTTTCACAAGAGTTGCTCCATGAGCCAGTGGCACAGCTTTTATTTTCCAGTCTCTGTTTGTCCAATCAGGTATAAAAAAACTGAACAAACCTGACATCAGCCAATCTGTATTTAGCTGCCGTGGCGAGCGGCGTACCTGAATGTGAATGTGTTTTTGTGCTCGCTGTTTGATGCAGGCCAATAAAACCATGGCGTATGGTCTGCTGGTCTTTTAATTCAGAGAGGGGGACCTGTTTGACCGGCTTTTAAAACACACACACACACACACACACACACACACTCACAAAGTGCAGTGCCCTCCTGTTCTCTGGCTCAGAGGTATTTCTTGGAGAAGCATGACTGGTCACATGAGCCGTGGTTGCTAAGCTGCAGGCCAGAGTGTGTAATGAGTGACCGCCCTCATTTGTTTAATGTTGGTTTAGTAGACAGGAGCGAGTTCACAGTCCAGCTATAATGATGCTATTTTTTCTCCATTTAGTTTTTGAGGAGCTCCTCCGGTGTGTGACCACATTTATACAGCCCCATAATCCAAGATCAATATTGCTATTCATAAAACTCAGTGAATTAGAACCCTGGTCTGATGGCTTTTTACTGCTTACTGCTCCACAGGGGCTCAGACACGGTTAGGTCTCCAGGAATTAATGCGCTTATTGTGGCTTTTATTTAGGCTGTTACTCTTTTCCATGAGAAACACAATTTTGACAAACAGCCCTTCTGTCGTGGAGTGTGTGCCCAGCTTGTACCGAGGTAACTTTGCTGGTTTTATCACAATTTATTGGTCTGCTTAGTGAGGCAGATGAAAGTGTAAACAAAGTCGAGGTAAAGATAAACCCTGCCAGCTGACTGGGGTGGTTTTTTCAAGTGGAAAGTCATTGATTTAGCGAACATCATCACCACTAAGTCTGTGTTTTAGGGCTGGGCGATATGGGAAGAAGTTTATCATGATATATTTTTTTCATATCAGTCAATATCAATATCACAATATAAAAATTAGGGCTGAAACGTTTCCTCGAATACCTCAAGTACCTCGATTACAAATAATAATTTAGGAATTTTCTCTGCCTCAAGTCCTTGTTTATAAACTCAAATTGTCACTCTTTCACACGGATTCTTTTGAAGGTGACACAATACTCGTACGTCACCATGGTAGAAGGAGGAGTAAGCGCTGTTTAGGTTTTGCAGAGCGGACAAAATAAACGCTGAGAGGGGTTTTCTTGCAGTGTTGCCAACCTAGCAACTTGAGCGACTTTTCGCGCTTGTTCCGCGCTTGTCCTCTTTTTTTCTGAGTCTGACCTTCGTTGCGGGGCTATAGGAAATCTAACTTTATGTGAGTCTGCCGTTTGGGTCCAAGTACTCGAGTAATTGATGGAATATTCGGTAGAATGCTCGATTACTAAAATATGCGATAGCTGCAGCTCTAATAAAAATTCACAGCCTTTAAGACAACACTAAAGATGGGAGCTTCTACCTTTTGAAGACTAGTACTGACACTTATTTCCTTTGTTTTACCTCCAGAACCAAAATGTTTCCCACAACCCCAGCCTGTACAAGAAGCCCTTCTTGGAGTCATTCGAGGAGACTCCTCTTCTGGTGGCCGTGCTCACATACATGGGCTACGGCATCCTCACCGTCTTCGGTTACCTCCGAGACTTCCTCCGTCACTGGAACATCGAGAAGTGCCATGTGGCTCGAGAGCGAGAGGAGCAGAAGGTAATGTTGATATAGCGAACTGTAGGGTGTTTCACTTCACCTACAGAAGAACAAAGATGCCTTTTTGAAGTTCTGACACTAAGAGCTCTTGTAAACTCTCCTTTTGCAGGATTTTGTCCCTCTCTATCAGGACTTTGAGAACTTTTACAACAGGAACTTGTACATGAGGATCAGAGACAACTGGAATCGGCCCATCTGTAGCGTCCCTGGCGCCAAGATGGACCTGGTGGAAAGAGTGTCCCACGACTACAACTGGACCTTTGAGTAAGTCGCCGCATCATTGCGTGATAAGATTCTGTGGATATAGTATCGAGGTGTTGTCTTTGAAGGTCATTAGTCCCTCAGAGGCGTGTATTTATATGTTTCTGATACGTGACATGATGGGAAGCGCATTGATTTGTGCTAAAAGTCACTGACCTTGTATGTCTGATAATATGAATGACATCAGCAGTGAGTGAGATACTATCTTAGAAGCTGGAGTAAAGCTGAGATAGCACTGAGCAGAAAACAAACAAAAGGCAGTCCTGATAACACAGTTACAGAACTCATGTGAACTCAATCTAGTACCAACACAATAAAGGAAGAACAAAACTCAAACATATGTTTTTTTTTTTTGCTGCATTTCTTTCATTTGAGTGTTTTTTACTAGATTAAAAATCAAGAAGAACTGGTCAGAAAACTTCAGTTTGTAGGACCAAGAAGGACAAACATCAATTTATCTGCAGACATTCTGTTCTGATAGAAGTGAAGTTTGTGTCACGGCTTTAGATAGATGTGTGCGAAGAGTCAAATGTATTTAGGGGCACATGTGCGCATAAAAAAATCACCAGAGGCAACAAATGTTTTAGTTTTAGGTTGGATATTCGACGCACATTCACTGCGGATCTAACAGCAACGTGGTTAAATACACTCTGCACCCTCGCTGTCAATGTTGGGTGTTGAATAAGGGACCATCAATAAATTACCGGCTGATGTTCTCAAAAAAAGGCTGTTTTCCTTCCATAGCTTCCATGTCATGTGACCAAAAGACCTAAAATTGATTTCAAGTAATAGTACTTGTGTCGACCGATAAGACCGATTGTGCCCCTCAAGTTCTTTGTGTGCTCCTTGTGAAAGAAGTTAGTGTCAAGCCCTGTCTTCTCTGGATGTGAAGTGTAACATTCACTCAGCACACATATACACAAGGACTGAGACAGCTTCTCATGCAGGTGTGGTCCCACTCTCTGTTTCTCAGGCACACAGGCAAAGTGGTGAAGGACGTCATCAACATGGGCTCGTACAACTACCTCGGCTTCGCAGAGAACGTCGGGGCCTGCGCCGACGCTGCCATCGAGTCCACGCAGAAGTACGGCGCTGGAGTGAGCAGCACCCGCTGTGAGATGGGTAAGAGTCGAACTTAAGAGCTGCTTTGAAAGAGTAATCGTCTGAGATTCCCTTTGAGACCGACGACAAACCTCTGCAGGTATACGAGCGACTGCTCCCTCTTTTGTATGTCGTTCAGTCTTCAGGAGACAACAGAGGCCACAGGCAGGAGTGGTTTTTTCAAGGATCAAAAAATAGAGCGAGCTTTGAAGTTCACGTCCTCTCACTCCTGCCCATGAGTGGATGAAGCCTGTTTCTAAAGCTAGAGTGCATTCCTGTCCTCATAAAACATTTACAAAGCTGATTTTTATAGAAAGTAATTTTGAATCGAGCAATGTTTGCATCAATAATTTCCAGCTAGAAGTCTCTGCCTTTACTACAGTATGGCAGCTCTGTGCGGTTCTTAGTTTCCCTCGTTCTCAGCCTGTTTTTGATTAAATTCGACTAATGTTAATAATTAATTTTTAAGACATATACTCATGGTGTGTGAGGGAGGAATGTAAACTCTGTTAAGTTTGATAGATGGCTGAATCTGAATGCTCTACTAATGGACTGCAGTGCTATCCACTATTACTCTACCGTTGTTCTCAGATGACCTCACTGATTTTATTTCCTCCGTAGATCCCCTAAATTGACACGAGCGTATTCTTCTGTAATTAGAGAAGGTTTCTGTCACAGTATCTTATAGTACAAGTTCTCTCCCCCTGTACGTCAGTGGAAATGTGTGTCAGGAGGACAGTGTAGGAAGTATCCACGTCCTCATCTATCGAGTCTTTATGTCGCTGCTGGAAGGAAATTCCTTCACGTTGAAGTGGTCTGTTGGAGTTTCAACTGAGACTGTGCTGTTTCCAGGAAACCTGGACATCCACGAGGAGCTGGAGCAGTTGGTTGCCAGGTTCCTAGGTGTTGAGTCATCTATGGCTTTTGGCATGGGCTTCGCTACAAACTCTATGAACATTCCTGCTCTCACCGGGAAGGTAGGAATTTCATTTATTTCCTCTATTTGTTGTTCCTCTGGCACCACGCTCCTCTTGATTGGATTACTGTTACCCTGCTTTTTTAGGTTATGTTTGCTCCCGTACCCATCCTGTTATTGTACTGGGCGCCGTGATTACATTACCTGTTGGGTAAAAACAGAGTTTCCTGTGTAAAGTCAAAACACGCCACATTTTCAGATGTACGACCAAGCCTCGGAGAGTTCAGACCGTTCCACAACACGTCATTTTCCACCCAGAGCTTTCAAAACATTTTTCGAGCAGCAGGTTGGAGATAAATATTTGACAAGTCCCAGTCGCTGTTGTTCTAACCCCGACAAATCACACAGCAGTCGGGCACCTACGCTCTTCCTAGTTTTCTTCTCCCGCAATGTGACTCGAGCAGGATGTAGAAGTTTGAGCCGACAGGGGTGTGTAACCTTGTGAGCCGAAGAGCACACTTCCTGACACAGACACATGAGCGGAGAGCAGATAAGCAAAGCGCGAGGGTTAAACGTACGACCCGACAGTAAGGACTTGAGTCACTACTTTTGTCACATGGGTCCATAAATTCGTCACTATGCCTGTAACTTCTCTACCAGCTCACATCATGATGTTACAGCCGAAACCTGTGTTGTGTAAGGAGCCTATTCATTCATTAACCAGAAGAGGTGGTGTGATTTGTCAGCATGCTGGAGTGTGTTGACTCTGAGAAGTGTTTGCAATAGTTGTGTTGTAATGAAGGAAACACTTTTTTGACCAACATCAGACTCTTATTAAAGTTATTCAGCTTTTAATTACACAGTTAGAGCAGACTAAACTGAACTGTGCAATCTTAATCATAGCTAATTCTTCGTACTTTGATTTTTTTCCTTCCACACAGAACAATAACATGATTTTTATATGATTCTATCTCTGTTTTCTGATTGTAGAAACCATATTAGTACTCGGTGTAGCCCAAAGAGTATTAAACTGGCAGCCACACTGGGAGTGTGCGACAGAGACTTTCCGCCTCAGACAGGAATAATCAGTCTGAGCCAGAAAGGTGTTGCCTAACTTGAGAAAACTCAAACATGTGACGCCCTGGGGTGTAACAGTGATACGAGCGAAAAACTACCAAAGAGTGTTTTTTTTAACTTGAATATTTCCCACTCAGGAGTCATAAATCATAACTCTGTGATTTCTTTTGCTTTAGGGTTGTCTTATTCTGAGTGACGAGCTGAATCACGCCTCCCTGGTGCTGGGCGCCCGCCTGTCCGGCTCAACAATCCGGGTCTTCAAACACAATAGTGGGTGACCTTCAATACGGAGTACTTCTTCTCAGAACAGTTAGATAGAAATGTGTCAGAGCGTACGTTCAGGGAATGCAGGAATTCAGCTTACACAGAGTGAACGTGGACTTAGGAATGAGTGAATCAGTTATAATCTATATTACCCAACAGGAGACAGACTGCAAGTTACTTTAACAAATACAAATAAGTTTGTTTTTGCACTTCTAAATTTGTTTTATTCTAAATTCTAGAATATTTTAGTACCTGTCAATAAGTTTGGTGATAACAGGAATATTCAGACCCACATGCACAAGCTATCCTCAAGTTCCGCCTTTTAAGTCATCTAAATTCATACCGAGCAGCCAAGAACCAGGCAGGCTGGCCGCTAAGACAACACTGTGAAGCAAATCTTCGAAGGGCTGCCATCTTCCAGTACTGAAGAGAACCTCGTGTGTTTGTTCAAGAGGCAGCAGCACAGTAGCATCCGTCCTGACTGAGTCAATAAGCGTTCCTCTCTGTGTCATAGACATGCAAAGCCTGGAGAAGTTACTGAGAGACGCCATCGTTCACGGGCAGCCGAGAACCCACCGACCCTGGAAGAAAATCCTCATCGTGGTGGAGGGCATATACAGGTAATGTACACAGTAATCTTCTCCTTTGAGGACATTTGACCATTTATGTACATCTGAGAAAACACAAAAGGGAAAGCTTTTGACCACACTAGGGATCTTCCGGCGTAAGATTAATTTAGGGTCAAACAGACTCTAGTCATACCAACTTTAGTAACGACCGCAGGATAGCAATACACAGCGGTCTGAGGAGCCATAAACAAACCTCAACCAAAACGCCACTCTATAGCCACAAATAATGCTCAGAACAGCACCTAACTTCATCAATAGGACATATAGGGTCCCAGCCACAGCACTTACCACCAAACATCTTTTTAACTTCGCCTGATTTCTTTCGCAAAGAGACTAAACATAACTCACCTACTCTCTTCCAGAAGTTGCTTGTTTGTAGCGAGGCTTCAGGCCTGTCCATTATGGACTGCAGCGGGGTTACGCAGCTCAAGGAAGAACATTTGTGATCATTTCTTCATGGAAATGCAATCAGACCGAGACGCTAAGGCAGAAGAACTACCGCATCTGAAAATGAAAAATGATTAATATGATGATTATTACCTCAAGGAAATGATAAATTAATGATCGCAAATGTTCTTCCTTGAGCTGCGTCACCCCGCTGCATTCATCTCTCGACAGGGTGTCTAACTCGGTGTCGCGGTGTGTTTGACCCTAAATTAATTTTATGCTGGAGTATTCCTTTAAGTGTAAAAATTGTTCCTTGGGTCATATGTGCAACTTATCAGAGTTGTGTATGTAAACAAAAAAGCATTTCCTTACATTGATGTTTCTTAATGCTGCGTCCACATGCTGACAAAAAGTGAGTGAGGATAAGTCACACAGTTTCCATGTCAGTGTGTGAGCCGTGACGACAACACTCCCTTATATCATTTTGTTTAAAAAAAAGAAAATAACGTCTCTTTGAAAAATGCGCCCACTCTCCTTAAATCATAATGCATTCCTTGGTGTTGAAAGTGTACTTACTGTAAAAGCAATCAATCCTGTCGATCAATACAGTCGTCAGCCTGACATAATCAGTGCCCTTTACTAATGCAATGTTAATGGAGCTTCATTTCCTCTGGGGTTTGTGAAGCGAACACTCCGGCTGCCACGACAGACAGTGTCTACACAGGCGTTAACACCTTCATAAACACAGGATTTAAATGCAGGAAGAGAGACAGCTTATCACATATCAGCTGACTGATCATTGTCATGTCCTGCAGCATGGAGGGGTCTGTCGTGCGCCTGCCCGAGGTCATTGCACTAAAGAAGCGCTACAAGGCGTATCTGTACCTGGACGAGGCCCACAGTATCGGCGCCATGGGACCCAACGGTAAAGGAGTCGTGGACTACTTCGGCCTGGATCCTAAAGATGTCGACGTCATGATGGGGACTTTCACCAAGAGCTTTGGCGCTGCCGGAGGATACATCGGAGGAAAAAAGGTTGGTTATACAATTCACTCTCCTCCGCTGTAAGGAAAGACAGGAACAGTGATTACATTCGCTGGAACTTCCTCTTTAGGGAAACTAAAACAGTTCCAGACGTTCAGCAGACTGTGTCATTCACTCTCAGTGTTGGTCATAATGCTTACCAGCAGAGGGAAACTGAACTTCCTGTTTTTTTTTTCAAAGGCAGAGTTTTGCTGCAATCAAGGCGAGCGCTTATTACGAAAGATACATCCAGTTCTGAGGAATCTTGTGTTTGTTTTATGTCATCATGTGCCAATTTGTACACACCCATATATATATATATATATATATATATATATATATATATATATATATATATATATATACAGGGTGATGTAATTTTGAGAGTAAACCTGCAGCCATTTTTCAGTAATAGGTAACAATATAACAAAATTTACACCATGTTAACTTTGCAAAGACAGCACACAAAAGGCATTGGATATTCCTCTCAGCAGAGGAAAAAAAACAACCCACTCCTCAATATGCAACCGGTGGATAAAACCGAAATGAAAAGTAAACCTCACTGATTTCATCATTCCGAATGATTCTGCAGGGCCTCGTGTCTTCAAGTGAGGGAAAAAAATCAAATGAAAAACTCGATTATTGTCCCACCTCAGTGTCTCATTTCCTTTGCCTGCCTTTTCCCATAGATGCAGTGCTACTGAACGGCCTTTATCCATTCAGATGCATATAAACTCACTTCTTCTTCTTCTCTGGGATTTATTTTGTCTGCAGTGCATCTCAACACGCAGATGCTTTTAAGAGTTATTCTGTTGTTGCCTAGCATCAGAAGTGTCCTGGAGGCACATTCTTGTAATACAAAGTCATTTAGAAAGCTGTGAATTGATTTCCCTCCAGTGTGGGCAGACTTAATTGTACCTTGTCGGTGTTTTCGGTCCCTGACAGAAATATTATGTTGTACTAAAACCAAAAACATGCCGTACATTCTGCTGCGGCACCTTTTTTTCAGTCAGTAATGTGACGATAAGTCCAGTGCTGCAACAGTGGAACCACTGCCTCTCTCTCTCTCTCTCTCTCTCTCTCTCTCTCTCTCCAGTCTTTCATGTCTCTGTTTTGCTAAATGGTGTAACTGTTATTCCTCCCCGTTGTAATAGGAAGATAAAGTTAGTAAGAACTGTAATTTCTCTGTCAGGAGCTGATCGACTACCTGAGGAGCCACTCTCACAGCGCCCTGTACGCCACATCCATGTCCCCTCCAGTGGCCCAGCAGATTATCACTTCCATGAGGATCATCATGGGAGAGGACGGGACAACACTGGGTAGGTGCCAGAACATGATACCAGTCACTTCAACTCAGTCACGATCATATCTGAAGAGAGTGAACAGATGCACATTCGAGATAGTTACTGTTTGCTGAGATTGCAGGAGATTCCTGAGAGTGTAAGACTCACACAGAGTAGAATATCATGATTAACACTTAGTACTATGCTGGATCACCGCCAATCCCATGTAACACCATTAATATTGTTTACAGTTTCTCAAGAACTATACCGTGTATCTCTATGGGAAGAAAAGTGTTCAAAAACGAACCCTTTTGGTGATCTATCGAGGGTCTCCAGGCATTTCTACACCTGCCACAAGGTTTACAATCCAGACTCAAAAACAGGTGTTTGATCAGAGACATTTGATGGTAAATCCGCGGTGATATATCGGTGAAAACATGATTATTTATCATATTGTTACGATAAATGCCGCTAATATCTTCTGGGTTTGAAAAGCTGTTTCGATGACGTCTTTTTCTGTCAAACTTTCGACCAATTACAAGGTCTCATATTCTTCTTTTATTGTTCCCTTGATGGTAGTGTCCAATAAGAGGCAACTAAAGATCAACAAGAGACAAGAAAGTTCCCTGCTTGTCTGTGAAATAAGAAATAATGGTCTTCAATGCTTGGAAACAAGCAAAGAAGAGATTCTGAGCAGAATGATGTGGCTCTCTGTCTCATCCCCGACAGGAACTGCTTCTAGGAGTAGCAAAAACAACTGTAAATAACAAAAAAACGCCTGGAAGAATTAGTGTAAATATGTAAATAGTTCCTGTTGTGTGTTTGTTCCAATCCCAGTATTTCTTCTCCTGATAGCCAAGACATAAGAGACTCATGTGCAGGTGAGAAAAGGCTTGGTCACTGTAGATTTATGTGTTTTTTGAGCAAAGTACTGTTGGTATCAATTTCCGTCTTTTTTGTTGACTTTGATGGTTCTGAATCTACAGTCACATTTATTTTACATAATTTTTACACCCATAAACTGACAGCTGAGATTGTCCTGACCAAAAAAGACGTGTATGAAAGGAAAGAGTTGCTATAAAGATTTTTGAAAAACAGGCAAAAACCAAAAATAGCAAAATCTAGCTGGGAGTTCTGAGGGTTAAAAGTAGAAAATTAATGGCGTTTTTGTTGCTATTACAACATCGTGAAAAGTCCGAGATGTCTCGGTCACTGGTTTGAGACTGCACTGTGGTTGGAGCCGGCATCAGCTTCCCTTAGACACCACAAGATGGCAGTATAACCCTTAGGCTGAAATATTCCTGAAGACCCAAGCGCTGCAGTTACCAAACCCCCTTTCTGCCTTTCCCTTCTTTTGTACTTTGGCATTTTCATGCAGATAGCGCTCGATAACCTCGCAAAGTTTTCCATCCCAGCCTAAAGATAAAAGCCTCTATCTGTGACCTGCTGGAAATAATTTACTAGTAAATAAAGGTGTGTAAGAAGCTCTTTCACGTATGCAAACTGTTTTTGGAGTATCATGTAAATGCCACACAGGTTTGCAATCTCAGCAGGTTAGATATGCCTTCAAAGTAGTGTGTGTAACTGGGTTGTTACGACGAGTATAAGTCGATTAAAACCCAACTTGTGTGAGCGTAAGATTCACTTTTGTGTCACTGCTGGTTTGGGATATTTGATGGTCTGTAAGTCTACATTTAAAGCTCCTCGGTGGACAGTTCCCTTCGTCTCCTCAGTTAAGCTCGGGCTGACAGAAGGTCTTCTTGAAGTGTTGGTATGCTGACTTCTCTACCCTTTCCTCTTTATGGCTTTCAGATGTGTGTTTCCTTGAGTATGTGCGCGCTCCTTTTGCCTTCACGCTGGGTACAAAGCAGCGTGGTGCCGAGGGCGAGAGATCTGCGCAGATCAAACCCTGTCGGACTCATCTCCTACACACACAAACAGAACCCCGAGTTTTGTTTTTCTTGCAGGGCGGCACCCCTTTACTCTTTTACGGGGCTTGATTGATGCCGGCTCCTTTAACATGGTGATTTAGGGTCCGATTACCTCGCTCCCCCCCCTCTCTCATTGAATCATTAGGTTCTGGAGTAAACACCTGAGGCAACCTAGTATAATATAGCTGCTCTACAATGTCATCAGCTCTTTTCTGGGCAGAGCAGGCCTGACTGTCTGACCTTTTAACATCTCCCAGTTTAGAGGACTAACAATGACAGTCTGATTGGTTGCAGCCCTGTCACTCTTTGAAATTCAGCCCTTTGAAGATCCAGACGCTGACGCAGACTTGAAGTGACAGTCGAGAGCTGCCTGCTAACAGTTTGTTTTCTGCGTCGGGGAGTCAGCGAGGACGGGATGCTCATGGTTCCCGGCATCGGTCCGCATCGAAATGTGACGTTTGTTGTTTGAAGCTCACATCAATCAAATATGTGGATGGGGAAGTAAAAGCAGAAGATGGGCAAAGCTTTTCATCAACATGAAAAGAACTCAAAACGCCTGCAAAGAAAAAAGTCTGAATATTATATACTGTTTTTTTTTTTGTTTCATCCATCAGTGCTGAGAATAGCTTTGGATTCCTTGACTGTGGAAAAAGACGTCTGGATAAATATAATGTCAGACTTTGTTGTGTCTCAGGACGCTTTGAAGTCGTGGTGTTTCTGCTCTGTTTTTCAGCACAGCAAGGCAGATGTGCGTTGCTGTTGGCGCTTTTCAGCCATATGGCTATTTGTTTGGTTAAGATGCTATCTCTGGAGGGTTGAGCCCCGGGGATTCGAGGAGTGAATCCGCCGTGTGCATCAGACTGACACGTGAGGATTGATGCCTTGACCCCGACTTTCAAGAATCACACTTGTCCTTAAATGCAGATAATGTCCGCCTCTGTCCAAAATGTGGGTTTGCTTAGAAGCGCCAGGCTAAATTGTGGATTTATTGGTTGTTTTGATGGCTGAGATGTCACTGGAGCAGGATTTCATGTTGGCTTCATGCAACTGTCGGTTTATTTGTCTAAGCAGAAAAAGTACAACGCCTGAAACAAATCCATCATTTAGTTTTCAAACTGGCTTTGTGCAAACGCAGAAATTATAACAAACGAACATAAAATTAAACCTGCAACTCAAAGTTGACCTGCTAGTTTTCAATAATCATTAATTCAGAGTTTCCTCTGCAGCTCTCCAAAGTTTCCTGGATTACTAGAACACCACAGTTGAAATGCACTCAAGTTTGGTGGTGGTGGGTAATTACAATCGTGCGTTATGTAATGCTTTGATTGGCAGCTAAACTGAAACAAACACAGCTCCATGAGGTGAACGAATCAGCACACACCTTCACATGTTTTAACTTTGGCTGAAAAGTTTCCAGACTAAGTTAATAGAAGCAGGAAAACGAAGGAGCACAATAGAAACAGAAAACAAGATGGGTACGTTCGTGCATCAGTCAGTGCGTTTACATGCACAGCTTAATCGGACTGAGCTCATAATTTGTTTTTTTTCACCGAATCAGACTTCTCTCCTTGTCTGCAGACACATGCAGCTGAGAATTGAGTTATTGACATGAACGTGTCCTCCTTCCCAAAACTAGAGGGTGATACAGGTCTTTCAGCGGCGCTGAGGTCTCCGCTCCTCGTTTTGCGACCGTCCTTATACGTTAAAATGTCCTTTTCTTTCAGGAGGGAAAGCATAACGGCACTCTCCTCGTCGTTCCAAAAGTGGACATTCTTTCGTGCTTCAGAGTTGAGTTCTTTAAATCAGTGGTTCTCAACCCGTCTCCCTCTGGGACCCACATTTTCCGGCGACACACTTTTATAGAATTCAAACCAAGAAAGTTTATTAAAAAATTAAAATAACCTTTAAAGACTCTAATCTTTAGTAATAATCCACTTTTTTTTACTGAGTAAAGTTCATTTCAGAGCACATGAAGGGGACGACATGAGGCCGACAACTACTGAAGTTGCATATACAGAAAATATCAAATATCGAATAAATATCGCATTAAATATTAATTTTTTTGACCAGCTGTTTGTGGCCCACCCAGAACACGTCTGTGACCCACTCTTGGGTCAGAACCCACCAGTTGAGAACCACTGCTTTAAATGATAGCGCCACTTCTTCTCCGGTGTTTTTGTTCCGGGGTTACGGGGGCGTGGCATATGCTTTGTCCGATCATCTTGCGACTACGCTGGTTACATGGTGGAGAACATCGAATTCCAGTCGCATTATATGGGTGTCTGAATCAAAGTCTCCGACTCCAATCCGAGTTCTTAAACTCTGATTATAGTCAGACTGAAGGTGTTTACAGGCAGTTCAACTGTCCAGTCCGAAGTGTCATGTAAACGTACTGAGTGAGTCCTTTAGGATTCTGAGGGTATGTGGGGGCTCTGAATCGTCAGAGATGCAACAAGAAAACCTCCATCACATGAACATCATCATAAATAAACTGAGTAACTATTTGATATTCATGTTGTTAACAGTCTGTGTGTCCTTCTGCTTTTTCCAGGCGCCGACCGCCTCCGACAGCTATCAGAGAACACCACCTACTTCCGCAGGAAACTCCACGACATGGGCTTCATCATCTACGGCAACGACGACTCCCCGGTTGTACCCATGATGCTCTACATGCCTGCCAAGATTGGGTGTGTGATTCTCCTCCTCCATTTGGGATCATTTAATATGTTTTAATTTATCGAGGATAATTAGTGTGAAATATTGGAAGAATCTTGTAGTGATTTCACATTTTTGGAACAAACATAAAGATGATTTTTCCTCACTCTTGTCCCCCGCCACAAATAGATCTGACTTCATGTGCGGAAAGCTGTTTATGGTTTTAGATTCACACATTAAAGGGGAAAAAAAACATGTAAGATGTGGCTGCGGTGTTGGTGGAGAAGTCGGACTTTCCGTGCGTTGCCCCGCATCTCATGTCGCCGTGTCTTTTCAGGGCGTTCGGTCGGGAGATGTTAAAGAGGAACATCGGAACGGTGGTCGTGGGCTTCCCAGCGACAACCATCATCGAGTCGAGGGCGCGTTTCTGTGTCTCAGCCGCCCATACCAGAGAGATGCTCGACACAGTAAGTCACCACCACATCCTCATCACTGTCTGAAACACAAACACGTTTAGAAGGCACGCTATAAAAGGGAAATAGATGGAGGATGTTCGTTTTTGTAAGAAACATCCTGTAGGTTTTATTCTGTCTGGTGATGGATGACACAGCTGACAGCTTCTCCATATTTTCATACCATTTTTTTCCCCCTCGCTTATTTTAAGCAGAAGCTCGTCTTAGATGTCCTGCCATAAAAGGACCATCTCCTTTTAAAGCAACGTGTGCGAAATTCCAAAATCAGCGTGAAAATGACTACCATCCAAAATGCAAAAGAGCGAAAACATCTGATCCGCCGAGCTGCGAGGATGTTGTTACAGAACAGACTTATATATCGCTGAAGACTTTATTTTATCCTCGACATGATAAAAGACTCGCCTCAGCTGTTGTCTGTCTGCGGAGTCGCGGCGTTAGCGCGTCTGCTGAATAATAAAGCTCCAAATATGTCCTTTATTATGAAACAACTCCGAAAGCCAAGCTGTCTTGAAGTATTACAGCGTGGCTCGGACAGAGACTTTTATTCGAGCTGCTCTGTCTCTCCGAAGACACTTCATTCATCTTCCTGAGGAGCACGTCAACACCGTTTGTAATAGTCCGTTTAAAGGGCAGCGGCCTGCCTTTGTAGAGCGCTCGGAGGAGCCGCTTTTTCCGTCTTTGGAAAAGCCAGCCTTCGCTATTTCTCCAAGCATGGAATCAGGAGAAGAAGGAAAAAAAAAAAAAAAAGGTCAGGAGGAAGGTAAATTGTTTCCAGGTGCTCTGCAGTGTTGCAATGCTGATACAGTTTCTTTGTGGAAAGAAGTGAAGGGAGTCAGCGTTCAGTTGTGGTCGACGCAGGGAGCCTTCTGTCATCTTTAGCGCCTGAAAATCCGTGTGTGATTAAAGCTTATCACTTAATTTGTCACCTTCAGAGGGAATCCTCTTTCTGTTTTTGTTTTGTGTGTAATCCTCTCATCTTTTGGCTGTCTTCGTTTGTTTTGATTGACAGAAATAATCCCGCCTTTTTCATTAATCGCTGTCTTCCTGTGCTTTTTTTTCCCCCCAGGCGTTGGCAGCCATTAGCGAAGTGGGCGACCTGCTGCAGCTTAAATACTCCAGACGTGAGCAGCCTCTTCCCTCACTCGGGTGGATGTCTGAGGAGAGTCTGCTTCAGGACTGAGCCTGACCCTTCACCACCACCACCATCACACCCTTTCTCTATCTTGTCTTACATCCCTTTTTTTTTTCTCTGAGCCACTCTCGTCAGACCCAAAAGAACCCAAACTTTTCACAGGTCACACTCACTCGACCAGAATCCTCCTCATGTACATGTCAAATGTTACAAAGTGCATTCAGCCTTTGAGTTTTTCTTTTTTTTTGTCCTAACTTATTGTGACTGCATCTGTCGGAGTCTTATCCCTGTGAGCACATCGAATGTGTATCTTATTTGTGCAATAACAACAACAATGTGGAGTTTCATTGTGATTCAAACAACCTAGAGCAGAGTAGACCGACTCCTACCACGAGTTAGTGCTCGTGCGCTTAGAAGAAATAAATCAGATCATAGCTATGACGAACACAGGAGGGGAAAAAAAACGATATGTGTAAATAATATTTATCCAGGAGTTTGTAAAATACGGCCTTAGGGTGGCATCCCAAACCTCGAAGAGAGATCCGTTTTTTTCACAGGGGTAACAGCCACATGTTCACTCCGTGTGTATTTATCCGATGGCTTTTTTTTTCTTTTCTAATCACTTTTACTTGAATAGAGAGTAGAGAATAACGGGTTCTTTCCCTAACCAAAGGATATATTGTATGTGTATAGATACGTTTTCTACCTGTTCTCTTCAAATGAAAAGCAGATGTTCAAAAAGTCAGAACTTTAAAGAGAGGGGAAGAATCCGCGGGGAGCAAAAGTCTTAAGGAATATTTTTTACTGCTTATTTTCTAGAAATATTTCTCAGCCTTATTTACTGTTTACACCTGCACTCAAAAACTTGAGCCCAGTGTCTTTAACATGTCTATAAACTAACCAACTCCATGTGTATTATATTCCCCCCTCACGCCAAGTCGCTCTCACTCAAGTGCTTTTATGTGAATCAGCGTCGACACGATCTCTGAGCATGATGACGCGCTGTACCCTCTCGGTCTGTATGTATGACGAAGAAGCTCCCTCTCTGATATACAGACGGCTTTATTTATTGAAAATGCGTTTGTCATCACTCAGCTTTTTGTTATTTTTGTAACGATTTTTCCGAAAGGCAGCTCCGAAACGGAAGGTGTGCATCCTCTCTCGACTACTTTAACGAGTCTTAACTTCAGTGCCGGCACTACTGACAGGCATCTCGATGCGCAGATGACGTAGTCACCGAAAACGGCGAGATATATTTGGGTATGCTTCAAACGTCATTGTGTTTTCTTCACTTAATTTATCGTCCGTGGTCTGGAATGACATTCCATATCAAAAAAACTGTAATTGTCTTGTTTTGTTTTCTGTGTGAGGTTACCCCAAACATCCTGGTCACCCATGTGTCTGTTGGAGGCTGTGTCACATCGTCTGGCGGTGTAACCATTCCTGTAAATGTTCCTCAGCTCCAGTTAAAGAGATATTTGATGTTTTTGGATTTCTAGCACAGCATGACGACTACCTGGGGGTCTCCTTTTTAAGTGTACGTTCACCACACACTGATTGCGTTTTTGTCTTTTTAAAGGGGGAGTCATTCCAACTTTTGTTTCTTTCGTTGTGTTAAACATGGCTTGAACAACTCAGTGATGCATTTGCTTTTAATAAATATACTGTAAAAGGTGGAACACACGACTATGATCTGGGATTGCAAACGTTCAAATCTTTGTTGAGCTTCTACGTTTCTGTCCATGGAGGCAGAAATGTAAATTACAAACAGCAACATGTCTGTTTCTCTACGCCAAGTTTCCCTCAATGAAACTGAGGTATTAAAGAAACTCGAGATAACTCAAATGTTTGAGTTGTCGAGCTCTTTGATGTCCCACACACCTGCACCAGTGACCATCGGAAACTTCCCGTTAGGTGTTGAGTTTTATTTGAGTTGAAGATAAACCACTTAGAGGAGTTTGCAAAGCCATGATGTTTGTCGACCATGCAGTTGGAAACAGTGCTGATTAAATCACTTTCTTTGTATCCAGACTAGAGCGAGGTTGTGTTTATTTTTAGTCGGCTCACACACAGAAGAGTCACTACTTGAAAGTTTGAAAGCCTTTTATACTGAAAGGTTACTCATATCCTGTTACTACTCAGCATTTCTCACTGTCCAGTCATCCACTACTGTCTCAGTGTAGTAAATATGAACCTAATGTCCACTGAGGAGATCATGACTCCTTCATGAACTGATTCTTCTACTCCTGTTCTCCTCGTTTGTAGCCCTTTGTAGTCCCTGTGTAAACTAAACCGTGTACCTTATCAGGAACCTCAGTGGCCCCACGCGCCCCCCCTCCTCACAGCTGTGAGCAATAAGCCTCCCACCCCCAACTCCTGCTGCACCAACCCTCCTGAATGCGTGCGTAAAAGCCGAGTTTACCGAAACCGGTTGGCTGGGCTGTACGCACACAAGCGCACGCACACATTCACTCGGATCAGCTGGATCGTGGATTAATGCATCAGACTGATAGCGAAGACGAACAGCAAACTATGAGCTCCAGATGTCAATGTATTGGAAGAAGACACCCACCCACCCACGACGGTATGACTCACAGTTTAAAATAGTTGAATAAGCGAGCGCCGGTGCGGACGGGGAGATTCTGCGTGGGGTATTTGACTTCTTTCTGGTACTTAAAGCTCCTCCAAGTGTGGTTTTATGGGGAAGAGAGGCGTTCAGCTCGAGCCGCCATACAGACTGACAGTTGCTGCGCAAGGCGCTGGTGCCAGATATGGATAGCGCGCGGGATACCTCTGGACGCTGGTGCGCATCTTCATAAAGTGCGACACTTCGAGACCGACGAGGCCCAAAGACTTCGCTGCCGAAGAGTGGACGTGCGGAGCAAAAAAAACCCGCAAAACTTCAACCGAGAAACTTTTTTTAAAGGTGAAAAGTTTGAGATAAGCCTCCGAAGTCACTTCTACGACTCCTCACAGGAAGCTTTGAAGATGCGTCAGGAGGGAGCGTGGAGATTTCAGATGCTGCTCGTGGTTTGGTCGACTCTTCTCGTTAGTTTGGGGACCGCGTTTCCAACCAGACACAAACATGCCGGTCATAAGGTAAGATTAATCGATTATTCTGATTTATCGAAAGTTTATCGAGAGGTCTCTAACTTCGGTTGCGCACAGATACGACGTTTTTATCAGCTAACATCGTGGTGCATCTTTGCTTACTGTTGTGAAATACCAAAAAACACTAAAATAGACAAATATTCCATAAGAAATAAAACAAAAATGTAAAGTTTTCTTATGAAAAAAGACAAAATTCCCATTCTACTTTTGTACGGAAGCCCAAGGCGGCACTCACCCATACATTTAAATTACTCAATCTTAAAAAATAGGTTGATTTCCATTCATATTTCTTTTATTTTCACCTGAGAACAACAAAAAGGTTTCGCTATCAACTTTTCACAGTAACTTAAACTTCTAGATTTGTTAAAGTCAGCTTCATTTTCTCTCTGAAATGAGAAAAATAGACAAAACCCAAAGAAAACACGAAATTTATTGGTCACCATGGAGACGATAAGAAGTGGAGATCCTAATAAAACAATGTGGATTTAGTTACTGTTGGGAAAATAAAGAAGATAAAATGTGTCGGTACATGTCGGCTTTTTTGAAACATTGAAAAAAAACAAATTATAGTTTTTTTTTTGTCTTATGTCACATAAAATAACTAACTATTAAAAGCAGTATTCATTCAATAAGTCAAGATTTTGTCAAATCTCATAATAATAAGAGATAACATGTTTATCCAGCCTTGTCATACGAATTCGGCTTGTTTAAAGTCTTAGTAGCTTTTTTTACAACAAAAAAAAGACGTAAACACTTGCAAAGCTTTATGTTTTGGCAGGTCATTGGGTAAAAATACATAAAAATTTAAGACGCCTTTGTTCATGAAGGGAAAAGAAGTCAACGAAAGGCTGAAAAAGTAACTTATATATAATATTAATGAAATATAACAATAAAAAAAGATCATGGAAGTCTTTTGTCGTACTTCCCTCTCCATGTATCGTCAGGGTTGCCATAACTGGGCATACTCCCTGCTATAATAAATCCAAACTCCTTACACACACACACACACACACACACACCCACAGGCTGTGCAGTGTGTGGTGGGTGTACTCCAGTGTTTGTGTTACGCACAGACATATTTGGATATCAAAGTCTGTTTGTGTGTGTTTGTGTCAGGGTTCAAGTTTTTGCCTTTGAACTCTCCTTCTTGTGTGGCCTCCCATGGATGCCCTGTTGGGACTCTCTCTCTCTCTCGCTCTCTCTGTCTCTCTCTCTCATCATGTGTCTGATTGATGTCCAAGCAAAGAGAGAGAGAGAGAGAGACAGGGGTGGAAAAAGAAGGAGGGAGAGGAGAGAAAGAAGGGCATGATTACTGAGGAGAAGAAAGAAAAAATCTCACTGCGGCTTGTGTGATAGTTCGTTTCATTCACCCCAAAAGGCTGCAGTTGGCGACTCGCTACTTTCGCCTGCGACCTGCTGGATGCGTGTCCGTAAGTGCTGGATGGAGGGGAGAGATTAGCAGAGGAAGAGAGGAAGGAGGAGGAGGAGGAGGAGGAGGGGAAGCTCAGTAAAGCGGGTGCCCAGTAACGAGATGCTTATGTAACCAGAATAAGGCGAGCCCTCGGCATCTCTCACGCTGGAGATGGGGGTCAAGTGTCATTCATCTGATTGTTTACACTGGCTTTTTTTGTGTTAATGTGGAATTTCCTGTTTTTAGTTTTACCCCCATCTCGCAGCAGAGAAGAAGAAAGAGGAGGGGGTGTTTGTGTTAAAGTGGCCCTCCTCCAAATATCATGACCTGTTTGCCCTAAATGTTTTGTACCTCCAACCTCCACAACTTCACCCTGATTCCACCAGGCATGCATTTGTTGTCCCGTTTCCATTTGCGAAAGGCGGCGATCAAAGCGCGTCTATAGTTTATTGTTCTTCTGTAATGGTTTGGAAACAGCCAAGTGCAAAGGCCTTTGATATCTGCGGGCGCATAAATCAGGCGCTGCCACAGCCTGCCTTCCCAGCCTGCCCCCCAGCCCCACCGGATCCCATCGCTGCCCCTTACCTCAGCCCCTGCTGCCCCCATCCAGACTCCCGACCCCCTCTCCCTAACCTGAATGTGTGTCACCGCCAGCAGTAGCTCTGCCAGTAGTCTAAATGGATCCACTTTTTCAGCCTAATGAAAGGAAGACTCAGTGTGTTGCCAAAAGGTTTGATTTAATGTTTCTCTTAGAAGAGAGAGAAGCTCTCCAGACCAGGCTGAGGTCCCCCACTGCATCCAGATAGTCTCTCCTGTTAAACACACCGCATGCCATCATCCTCGGAGCCTTTGATCAGAAGAGCCCCTCTACGGAGAGGAGGAGAGCAGGATCAGAGAAGAGGGGGAGGAAGAAAGGAGGAGGAGAGTGATATACAGGGCGAAGGAATACAGGATCCAGATGTGTAACAGGGCAAGATGAGGAGGGTGTGAAAGTATGTGGCCTTTCTCGTGGCTCCGGACCCTCCGTGTCTGTCTGTGTGAGTGTGATGGGCATGGATGATTTGGAAAGATTCGACAGTGACGCGTTATGATGGAGGATTTGATTCTTAAACCAAACATACTCAGACCTGAGAGAGAAGAGCTGAAGCCGTCGGACTCTCTTACTTGTTATCCTACCTATGCTAGGATAGGTGCTCTGCTAGCTTGGCCTTATATAGAAATCATCAATTCACATTTCTGATGCACATCCAGGCATTTCTTATCTATTGTTCAAATATGTCGCCAAATATATCATTAAGCTCATCTTTGACCGGACATAAACAAGTTTACAATGAATCACTAGATAGATTGATGATACCTAATGATGGAGGATTAGGGAAAAAAACAAAAGAGACTTCAAGAAAATTAAGACTTAAAGATTAATGTCATTACTTTACAAGAATAAGTCATTACTAACGAGAACGAAGTCATACTAAAAGCATTACTTACAAGAATAACTTCATAATAAAATCATTTCGGACAAGAATAAAGTCATAATTAAGTAATTACTTTGAGAGTTAAGTCCTACTAAAGTAATAATCTACGAGAATAAAGTCGTAACAAAATCATTACAAGAATGACCTCGTAATGAAATCATTACTTACGATAATAAAGTCGTAATGAAGTGATCACTGACAACAATTAAGTCGTAATATAATCATTACTTACAAGAATGAAGTTGTAATAAAATCAGTTCTTACGAGAATAAAGTCGTGATAAAGTAAGTAATTATGAGAATAAAGTCGTAAGGAAGTAATTATGAAAATAAAGTCGTGATCAACTAGTTCTACCACTATATGTATGATAATGTGGTGCTGACATACAAAAAGATGAAGTATCTTCTTGTTTGAAAAACATATATTGAAGTACTTTTTCACAAAGTGCTCCAAACTGTAATCTTAAACAACAGGTTAGAATATAAGGACTTTATTCTGACTTTACTCTCGAGGTGATGACTTTACTACGACTTTATTCTCGTAAGTAATGATTTTATTACAACTTTATTCTTGTTAGTAATGACTTTTTTTCCCCCTTAATGTGGCCCTAATACTCCGTCGTAATACCTGAACTGTATTGAGGATAAACTTTTTGTAACCTGTTTATTTTGACGATATCGAAGTTTTGAGTTTTGTATAAAAAGGCACAATCAAGTATGTGGCTGAAAGGTCAGATAAGGAGGCGCTAAAACCTGCCTCCGCCTCACTCCCGAGCCTCTTGTAGGGCTGACGGTAAAGTAAGATTAAGTCTGTATTTCCAACATAATGACCTCCACTGTTAGACTCCAAAACTTTGCTTTGAAAGTTCAGTATATTGATAACCTGAAACAAAAACAAGCAACACAACTCTGATCAAAGTGTGGATCTTATGTGTTGGATCATTAAACCCTAAAATCTAAACTTTACGTTCAAGTTTCACATTTACATCCACTACTTTGCTGACCTGTTTCTCAGCTTGCTTTTTATTTCGCAGTCTGTGCTCTACTTTCTCCACGGTTAATAAATGATATCACGCCTTATTGAAAAAAACATGCTACTGTGGTTGTAGCAGTCTGTGTAATATCTGCTCACAGTGGATATCATCCAAGAGAAAATGCTAAAGGGCCTCCAATAGGTTATCTACTTGTCACCACCCATTTACAGATATCTGGGGAAGGGGCCAACTTCTCTTCATCTATCATTTATCATGCTCGACTGGCTTCTCCTCTAAACAGCCATAATGTGTTCACATGCTTGAATTTGACCGACCACATAACTTCTTTATGGGACAATCACGGGCAGTCAGTGAAAAGTACGCGCCGTTCTAGAGGCCACGGCTATAAATCATCAACCGTCTGGTCATTAATTCAGACGTTTCTTCAGCTCTTTAGCCCTCGAACAGCGACTTTTTTTGCCCTTAGCAGACCGCAAACTAGCTCCAGTCAACTCTCAAGGTGCTGTCCAATCATGCTCGGACCAATTTGGCGTTTTAAGGATGATGTAAAGAAACAGAATAAAAAAGAAATGGCAACAAAGGGGTCAGTAAATTTATTTATGGTGTCTGCTGTCTGGCGTTAAACGAATACGCATCGCATTTAAGCAGCTTAAAGTTGATTCTTAGCGACTAGATTCTTATTGCGCTACCTATATCAACAATTTCCCACCATTATTCACAGACAACGATGTTTCCCCCTGTTTTTCTCAGTACTGTAAAATCCAAAAGGTCAAATTAAGTAGTGGCCGTAGTGGCGGCAGCACAGCAGGTTCAGACACGCTCGCACCAGCCCAGGGGTCCCACGCCTCCCAGGCCCTCTCATTAAAGCTAAAAGAGGATCTCTCTGGCACAGGCCCCTCTTTGTCCACGGCCTGGATGCCATGACTGTTGTGGGAAAAAAAAAGAATGAAATGAACGAAGGCTGGTTGGTCACTTGGCCGGTTAGTTGGATGCCTCAGGGGCTTTTTGGAATTGCTGACCAAGCTACAAAGTGCTACATGGTTTCAAGGTTTCTTCCTGGAAACAGAGCCCTGATTGTTTTTACTAGTCATCAGTGAGCCATTACTGAAAGACGCTTTTTTTGTTGTTGGCTCTACGACCGCCACCTTATACACATATATCAGTTTTTAGAGTTGGTTCCTGCAGAAAATCGTCATTAATGCAAAAAATCAGGAGAACTTCACTTCCTGAATTTCTCATTATTCATTTTTAAACTTGTTTTGATAATGATTTCAGTATTGGCAATGGTATTGGTAATGTTGCCAACTGCTTGCTTCTCTAGTTAAACCAACTTTAGTAACAACCTCAGGATAGCAATACACAGCGGTCTGAGGAGCCATAAACAAACATCAACCAAAACGCCACTCCATCGCCACAAATAATGCTCAGAACAGCACCTAACTTCATCTAACAGTACATACAGGGTCCCAGCCATAGTACTAGCCATCAAACATCTTTTTAACTTTGACTAATTTCTTTAGCAAAGAGACTAAACACAACTCAGCTACTGTCTTCCAGCAGCCGCTTGTTTGTTGCAAGACCTCGGGCCAGTCCATTACAGACTGCTGTGGGGTGACACAGCTCAAGGAAGAACATTAATGATCATTACCTTATCATTTCCTTGAAGTAATAATCACCATATTGTTTAATTTGCACTTCAGACGCTGTAGTTCTTCTGTCTTAGCGTCTCCGTCTGATTGCATTTCCATGAAGAAATGATCATAAATGTTCTTCCTTGAGCTGCGAAACTCCGCTGTAGTCTATAATGGACTGGTCCGAGGTCTCGCTACAAACAAGCAGCTGCTGGAAGAGAGTAGGTGAGTTGTGTTTAGTCTCTTTGCTAAAGAAATTAGTCAAAGTTAAAAAGATGTTTGGTGTCTAGTACTATGTCTGTGACCCTATATGTCCTGTTGATGAAGTTAGGTGCTGTTCTGAGCATTATTTGTGGCTATAGAGTGGAGTTTTGGTTGATGTTTGTTTATGGCTCCTCAGACCGCTGTGTATTGCTATCCTGCGGTCGTTACTAAAGTTGGTTAAACTAGGGAAGCAAGCGTTCGGCAACATTAATCTCTCGAGGGGGTGCCTAACTCAGTGTTGCGGTGTATTTGACCCTAAATTAATTTTACACCGGAATTTCCCTTTAATGGACATGCTTCACTCGAGACCCCAAAATTACTTGTACCTCTTACAGTCCAATACGATATCTGATATTGGTCCAATACCAGCCAAAATACAAATATTGGATTATATCAGCCTGCATCTAAAATCTCTGATATCAGCACTCCGATACAAGCAGTCCAGTCCAGACTCGCGCTTCGAGCTAGAAGCACCCGGATCCAGCATGCAGAGCCCACGTGATCACAACAACAGTGTGTACTGAGGTACTAACAAAGTAGCAAGGAGTAGGAGTGATGTCGGTATCGGCCGATACTGAAGGCTACAATATCGGTATGGTATCGGGACACCCCTAACCTCTTAACTTGTCTCTACAGGCTCATGGCCACCAGATCCACAACGGTGGGGTCCAGAATGTCGCTGAAACTTTGGAGCAGCAGAACCAGGTCCAGAGTCTCTTGCCTGACCCCCACAGCCATCAGAGGAGGTGGTCCCATCCCCAGCATCGCTCAGTCGGCGTTCTTCCACAGCCGGAGCCCGAGGAGGAGACCAAACCTTTCATCCTGGATCTCAAGAACTTTCCAGACCTAGCCAACGCTGATATCAACTCACAGAACCCAAACATACAGGTGAGTTTGGAGATGAAATCATGTTGAGATGTCGAGCTGTGACGTGGAGTTGGACCAGAATAAGAGTTAACGTTTGATTGAAGCTCTAATCGCTCTTACATGAGTCTGTTGAGTTTTCTGTGTCCAAACAGTAACTTAAGAAGGCAAATTATGCGTTAAATTAAAACCGTTCGTGTAATGAGAGCCGGGGAATTTTCTCTTTCATTTGGAGAAATGATTTATTCCCCTTAATGTTGAACAAAATCAACAGTCTCCCCGTCTAATCTTAGAGGCCCGGCTGTGTGTTTTCATGCTACTATTTAATTAAAGTGTAATAAAGAAAAACAGACTCTGTAATCATAAGTGTTAGCCATTAAGTCCCCATCATCTCCGTCTAAATCGGACCAAAACATCAAAAAGTTGTTCTGTTGAACTTATCTCATGGCAGTTCTGCTCTCCAGCTCTGGTCAGTGCAATCAGGATGTGGTTAGAGGGACATAATGATGATGTGGACATTAAGTACAGAGACCGGTGACATTTCTGATGAGTTTTCATGTAGCGCGTGGACCAGATGTACCTTAATCCAGTTCAAAGACTTTACCCTGGCGTGTCCAAGCAAGACAAACGGGAGCGTCTCATCATAAACTTTAATTCGTTTAATGACCGCCACGAAAAAGAGCGGTTTCCTTTCGCCTTGTTGTCGAATCAGCTGAAGCGAGAGCTCAGAAGTATCTCAGATGAGTCATATTGAGGTAATGAGAGGTACTTATCCCGAGTAGATGCTCATATTCTTCCCCTGAGAGGATCGTTTACTTGTCTGAACGCTCATGCTTACTTCTGGATGACTGACTTACATCCGCTGAGCTGTTCCGCCTTCCTTCACATTTGTGATAGTCAATTTCCTGAGGAGAAAGTCTTGTGTATGGATGTTTCAGGAGCGCTTTGTTTTGTTTGGCGAGACGAGGAGAACGCAGTCGAGACTAAGATCGCCTCTTTCCCTACTCAGGTCACGATCGAGGTGGTAGACGACCCCCAGATGGAGGTCGAAATGGATCTGGCCAATGAAAAAGAGTGGCTGCCCTCCTCGTCCTCCTCCCCCTCCTCCACGGTCGATTGGCTCGGTGGCAAGAAGCTGTTCTGGCCCCTTTTCTGGAGTTACACCGACTCCAGTGAAGACAGCAACAGCCGGTCAGGCGCAGAAGAAACAGGCGAGGAAGAGGAGGAGGAAGACTACTCTCTGGATTATGGCAGCGAGGAGCCTTTACCTAGCGGAGTGGGCGGGGACTGGGATACACGCTGGAACGAAGGCTGGGATCCGGTGCAGAGCTACTATGGTAAGAACTGCCAAGTGTTACAGTCGCCGTTTGCCCGTACACGCACATGTTTATTCGAATTTAACCAAGATATGGGTTTTACCAAAAGCACCAATGAGGAAATACGATCCTGATCTCACAGCGATAAAAATAATGAGAAAGTCTGAAGTGAGAGAGAACAACAGAGCGGCTTTGGCTGCATGGTCGCCGCCACAGTCAGAGAGAGCCGCGCCAGCATGCAAGGCAGCATGAGCACTCGACCATCGGGACATTGCGGGTTGTGCGCGCTTTGAAGCCGACACTGGTCGTGCTGGTCGCAGAGGCCTGCCTTTTGAAGATGGGTCCGATGCGCTCGCTAATGGCAGCGTGAGGCCGGCACTGTTCCCTGGGACAAAACATCCCTCTGCTTGTGGACAATTAGAGGGCAGATTGGGAACACAGAATGACAGGGGCCATTCGGCCGACCCTTTTATCCTTCCCCAGGACCCCACGGGCCCCCCCCAGACCCTGGCGGCCCTCGCTGCCCTTTGCGGTTCGGCCTTTTTGAGCCAGTTCAAGAATTTCAGGGGGCTTTCAGGGCTCTGCATAACTTTTACAGTCCTTTCCCCCCCCCCTCTTGAATTTGCCCTCCTCCAGTGGGAAAAATGTTGTGTCTCATCTCGCACAGACCGCTAGTTGAAGAAATAGTAAATACATAGAGAAAGAGAGGTGAAGATAATGAATGAAAGAGAGTGAAGATGAAAAAAGAGAGGGAATGAAAAAGAAAGTTTGAAGGGTTTGGCAGTCAGCGGTTAGGTTAGTGTGTGTGAGGCCTACTGTAGATCAGAGCGCTGTCATGGGTTTACCACAAACTCGAGCTTTCATTCTTCACAGACGTTCCTCAAAGACACTAATCTGCGCATGATTGATCTATTTGTTTTCCTAAGGTTTTTGAGGGCTGCTGATGTGTGATCATAAAATGTGCAAACAGGTGGCTCGGCAAGTTTAAACTCTTAAACCTTTACGCTAATATATACGTCTTCTATCTGTTTAACTGCTGCGCGTAGAGCCGGCAAAGAGCAACAATGCCTATAAAGTGGTCACATCTAAAGACTCGCTCAACATAAATCAAGGATGTCTGCTCTTAGCTCTTTCTGTAATTACGACTCTCCTGAGACTTTATTCCCGTATGGCCACATGGCGAGTTGGCAGCGCCCACAAAGTCAAATTGGGTCCTCGCTACACCCAAGCTGGTATTTCTGCACCCACCTCGCCTTTAATCAAGAAGGACTTGTTTTCGGTGTTATTAACACCACAAGGAAGCATGGTGCACAGGCGGACAGCCACAGCACAGCTTCGCTCTTTAATTTAAAGTCGTCCTAAAAAGAATATGGGTTTGCATGGGAAAGGTCCGACCAGGAGAAAATTGTCATTTATATGAACTGAGTCTACCCAGAAATGTAACTGTTGAAGTACCAGCCGAGTGCAGCACCGAACTGTACGGTGAAGACTGACTTTCTGTTGTTGGTTTTTACTTTGTGGTTAGAATTAAACATCTGAAACAGCCGAACTTTAGCTGTTAAAGTCATTTAATTAAATATTTTCTTTGTTGAACTTTTCTGCGGATCTTGATCTGAGTTTTTTATATATTGATATAAATCATGTGGTTGTAATCCGGTGTGATACTAACCACTCTTGAACCGTGTTTCCGTTCGACAGAGAAAGACTCTGATGAGTGGACGCCCTGGTCTCCTTGTTCGGTGACATGTGGTCACGGTGAAAGGAAAAGGACCAAGTCCTGCGGATACTCCTGCACTCTGACAGAGGCCTCCAAGTGCGACTTAGAGCCGTGTCCTGGTACGATTATACTGCATATTCTTATTGAGAATTATTGAGGCTCATTTTCATATTTACTCTGTTTCCAGCTGATGCTCAGATGATGTTACACTCTCTCTTCTTAACAGGTGAAGTCAACACTGTGGCCGAGCCTTTTCCTTTCGAGATGGAGAATGGCACAGAGCCGTTTGGAACAGGTGTGTTTTTTTTGCTTGAGAAGTTTAACACGGCTAATTTTATGACACGCATTTACTGTCAGTAATTAATTATGTGTAATTATACAGACAAACAAAGGCTGACACACTCTGTAGTCTTTGGTTTATGATAAAATCCCCACAGTCGATAGATCTATCCTTCTGATTTCAGATTTGTCTGTGCTACAGCGTCTCAAAGTCTAACATGATATCACCGTCCTCTCTCTCTTAGATGTGGACAGCTGTGAAAAGTGGCTCAACTGCAAGAGCGATTTCCTGCAGAGGTACCTCCACCAGGTCTTGTCCGAGCTCCCCAGCTGTCCCTGCTCCTACCCCTCCGAGGTGGCGTACACCGTGGTCAGCATTTACGATGAGACTCATGGCCGGCAGTTCCGCTGGCGAGACGCCAGTGGCCCCAAGGAGCGCCTGGACATCTACAAGCCGTCGGCGCGTAGCTGCATACGATCGACACTGTCCAGTGACTCATCCACTCTGGCGGCGCAGCACTGTTGTTACGGTGTCGGCGGGCGGCTGATCACTCGAGGGAAAGGCGCGGGCACGCCGAACCTGATCAGCACGGAGTTCTCACCCGAGCTGCACTTCAAAGTGGACGTGCTGCCTTGGATCCTGTGCAAAGGAGACTGGAGTCGCTTCCATGCGGTGCGGCCACCCAATAACGGACTGAGCTGCCCAGAAAACCCCCACGAAGACGTGTTCATGAACGAACTTGAAGAAGCCAGGGAGTACTGAGGCGCTACAGCCAAAACTATCACTTCACTCCGAGAATTGAGCAGGTACTGCCCACCTTCAAAGTCTTGAAACGCAACATCCACTCCATACTTCACGCAATGACTCAGAGGAAATGCTAACTTGAGACTGGGAGATTTGAAGGCTTTATCGCTGATGGTGAAGTGTGGCTGCCCTAAGTTGGGATTTGGCACGGTGTCCTGATATCAGGCCTGACCGAACTGAACCGTATTGCAGGAATGGAAGAAAAAAAAAAATGCAGTGTTTTCCCATCGCTTGCCAACCTGTTCCACATCTGGCATGACATCGAGCTCTCTCTTTCATATTCGGTTCGCTCTCCTGGGTGCGTGTAAGCATGATGTCTACCTGCTGGCTTTCCTCATGGTTGTCCTGGAGTGCTTGTGATTGACAATAACAAAACATGTGGTAAACATCCTGATTGCGTTTTTTTTTTTTTTTAGGTTTTACATTTGTTTGAACGTGGGTTGGATATATTGATGAACAAACACACGCATGGGAAGAGTCCAACAGATAAATATCCCAACTATGCTGCTACAATAAAACTCCTTCAGGTTTTTCGAAAGGTTTTAAGACAACAGGACGGAAATAAACCCAAAAGATGCCACATGCAGTATTTGTAACGGACATTTTCAGTCGATAGGTTTAGAAAACACTAGAATTATTCGAGACGTAAACCAGAAAAAAGCTGCTGATGTTTTTAAGCTTATTAAACGAGTACTAAGAGAAAAGCCCTAAAGCTGTAGCGTTACAGAAACATCATATTTGACTTTATCACATATTTGGTGTCGTGTATTTCCTCACATTTCCAGGAAAATGTTTTATCTGGGTGCCAAAGAGTTAAAATTTCAGACTGTTGGTGCCTCTGTAAATCCAAACTCCTTCGTCTCTACAGTGAGTAGATCGTGCTCGTACATGTGTCTCTACAATGTTCTCAGGGGGGCTAACTTTTTCCACGATAAACACACTCGTTCATTTACCTCTACGGCAGAGCACTATTGGAAGTAGAAAAACAACGTTATCGGGGTTAAAGCGAAGATTACAGAGAACTGAATGTGTAATCCAGATTGAAATAAACGAACAGATGATGCTTTCAGAGAGCAGTCTGAACCCTTAAAAAAGAATAGTTGTGGCTGATTGTTGCAGAAAGATGTCATTGCTGTTTAAGCTTTTGGCTTAGGGTCTTTGGGTTTATGTACAGAACTAGATTGAATAGAAAGCCGAACGTGGGGGTTGAACGAGTGATTCGTCTCAAATTTGATCAGAAAGACCCTTAAATTCCAGGGGTCGCCCTTTCTATCCAGTCTAGTTCTATGTTTGCTCCAAACCTTTTTCAGGAATTCTGCTTCCAGATGTGAACGCGAACAAGCCTTTACATTTTGGAATCACCAATTTTTAAGGACGGCACTTTATTTAAGGAATATATAAATATATATAAATATACAAAAGATATATAAAAAAATGTATTCATGTTTGCCAATCGTTGAAGGGAAACTCGTTAGAAATGCTGCAAGTGCTTATATCAAGTGTTCTGTGGAGGAAGCATGATCTTGTGATTTCTGAATCTAGTATTACATATATGGTGTTGTACAGTATTTATTTGTCTGTTCTCTTTTTTTAAAGTTTGCTGAAGCTTTGAAATGTCTATACTCAACATGGTGCACTAATGGGACTGAAAAAAACAATGAAGGCATCCGTTATTCGAAAGGGAAACCACTCGCCTCATATCACTTCGAACAGCTGCATCAAGTGTGTGTTTTATTCGACTTTGTACTGCAGTGCTTGATGAATATGTTGTTGCAATTATTCTGAAGAAATATATAAAGACCTTGCATTCATCATTTGACTTTTCCGGTGTGTCGTTTCTTCAATCTGCGCGCCGAGAGCTGAACATAGTGTAGCACTGTATACCGAAATTCCTCGAACTGAGTCGCTACACTCTCTCCTGACCAGCATACCAAACTTTTCCATAGCTACGCTCTCCAACAAGACAGGTACAGTACTGCTGAGTGCAAACATGTCACTTTCTTATATGTATGAAGCAACAGCTCTAAGGGAAAGACAGCAAACAAGAGCGGTATAAACGCTCCAGGTTGCTTAATCGTCCGTTTCACAGATCTTTAACACACCAATGAGAGGATTAAATGAGGTAAGAGTTTTCCTCCTCGCACATGTTAACAGCATGTGCAGTCGCCGTCTGAACCACCAAACGTCCTCAGTTTACTCTTGTTTAATTGTCTGTGTGTTCTCAGTCCAACGTTGGTTTTCTTTACAAGTCGGGTTCAAATCTAAAAAGTCAAAAGTCGTACTAACAATTTCAGTCAGACCTCTAAACAATCCACCGCAGCTTTTTAAAGACATGCACGCTTCGGGCTTTTGCAAAAAAGTGTTGTGGCATTTCTCTGGTGATTCACAAGGGTGACACATGCATATTATACCGGATTGCGGTGAGGCCAGATAGAAATTCTTTTGGATTACAGTTAGAGGGTTTCCCTCATCCACTCAGACAAAGTAGCTCTGCTGAAACACAAATTTAACCCCTAAAACTCACACATGCTTCGACTAACAAGCGCCATCGCTGTCATCCATGTCCAATGTGGTATTCAGGTTGAAATATTCCTCTCATCACGCTCGCTGAAGCTTCACTCTTTCCAGAGGATTAAATTACATTGAGATTTAAAGCTCAGAGGTCAGAGTAATGCAAATCCATAGGCTTAGGCAATCCAAATAGTCCTCTTAGATACTCTAATTCCTGTAGGTCACAGTGTCTATCTTTCGCTTGCTCTCGGTGACCCAAGAGAGAAGAGGGAGGAAAAGCCTGGTTATGCATTCACAATAGAACATTAGGTCAAGAGCGGGACACAGTTAGCAGGGGATGTTCTCATGCTATGTGCATAACCAAGGAGGTACTTAGAAATCAATCTATCCGTCTATTTGTGTGTGCGGAACGATAAGGCGCTTGGTAGGTCTGCTGCGGTCCCTCAGTGATTCTTACGTTGACTACAGATGAGTGCCGCGTGGAGGGGAGCCAGACACATGTTGACCACATTGCCGCGGAATAACAGATAAATAACCACAGATGTGAAGACGGAGGAGAAAGCAGAAGGAGGAAAAACAAAAAGGAGGGAGAGAGAGAGAGTGGAGAGAGCAACATAAAAGAGAGGGGAGGGTTCAAAAACCTCTGTGGCTAAAAGATGTTATCTAAAATATTGAGTGAGGCAAGAGGTCCTGGGCGGATGTATTAAAAAAACAGGCGAATGCACTTCACGGCTTATGGAGGGCATGTGGATCATGTTGCAAAAGAACTACACTGTGGTTCTAAAAGTGGCCATAATCATTCGAGCTGAGTTTAACGTCCTTTAATTCAAACACAAAATATAATTAACTGGCCATCTAGAATGCTTTGAGCACGCTTCATCGTGCGTCTACATCTTTGCAATTGACTGTTTGTGTGATGTGATTCATTCCTTTTAGTTAAGGCGCCGGTGGCCCAGGCCAGGTGCCAGCGCTCGGTGGTTGCAGATCTGTTTACTTTTGTAGGCTGGCAGGAACATGAGATTTCCTCTGGGTGTACTGCGGCTGGTCGACCTGAAAACAACACGGCTCTTGAAGTCCCTGGCTGCTCCTGTTACGGGCAGCGGACCACTTGTGCTGAGGCTAACCCCACGCAAACAAACACACACTCATACAGGGACGGACAAGGGCTCGTTGAAGTTGTGTAAACCGGCAGATATTCTGCATTAATGCGGGCAAACATACACGGAATAAAACTGTATACATAACGTAAGTGATCCGCCAACATGGATCTCAGGATGTTACGGAATATGGAGAGTTTGACACAAAGTTTGTCCTGAAATGATATACAAGATCTTAACATGAATCATTATCATAAGAAGTCCCAAATAGAAGAGTAGAAGACCATGAATTACAACCAGTGTTGTGCTAGTTACTGTACTCAGGTACCGAAACCAAAAAGTAATGCATTACTGAGAAAGTAACTATTCAGCTACTGTAAAATACATAAAGAAGAACTGACTGTGTTCCCCTCTAGCCATCATTTAAGTTCTGTACTGATGCTGAATAAAACCAACTGTTGATTAAAACAACCAGTCCAATTCATTTGCATCCACATCACTGAGTCGAATCTGAATATGATCCGTTGTGCACCAACACAAACCTTGACTCTAAAGGTCCTTACATACTGGGAACGACGCAAATATATGACGCGAATTTAAGAAATATTCAGAGGCGAATTTTGACATGCCTGACTATACGCGATGTGATTTTGCAACTTTCCAGGGGGTAAAAAGACGCGTCCCGGGTGGAAGCGAGAAGACTGACCCAACAGCAGACTGAGTGTTTTCAGTTCTGATTAGACTCTAGTGTTGAGATGTCTGTCTGTCATGATAGCATGTACTGAGTCAGGGCCAGTACCAGATAAGAACAGTAAACTATAATCCATAATCGTAAGTTAACAACCGAGACCGATTGAGTTTGAGACAGTGAAAATACATATAACACAGGTTAGCTTACGAGCTAAAGTTACTTAGCACAGATGAAAGTTAAAACAAAGACGTTTATCAAACTGTTAAAGCACACAAACCATCGTCATATGAGAAATCCGACGCTATGACTCTCCACAAGTTGTCCTTCAGGTCGTTATCTTTGTAATGTTTGTGTCTGTTATCAAAAAGCACTCTGTTCTACGACACGTAAACAATCAGCCGGTCGGCCATATTGGATATACCGGTGAATCTGACATCGCAACAACATGCAATCTGATTGGTCAGAAGTGGACACACAGTATGCAAAACTTTAGAAGATTCGACCATGGTACGAAAAAAAATATTGACGTCCGAAATAATGGCACGAAAAAAATTATTCCTGTGTGTAAGGACCTTAACACCAAAATTTTACCATTGGACTCTTGGAACAAGGACCTTTAAGGACATTGAGAGGAGGTGCCAACTTTTTTTGTCTAGCAACAGAAAGCGTTGGTTGGAAAAAGCCCTGAAATTTGAGCTGCAGGTGCTGCCAGTGCAAAAACCACCATCAGTGGACACAGGCCCTTACGTCGGCCATGTATTCAAGATCAGTGACAGGTCGCTCTGCTGCTTTCATTGTAATGGAAACAATGTAGACACTATAACATCATGCTATTCAACTTACTGTAACTTAAACATGCTGAGGCTTTTCATGTGTCACATTTAGGCTCATTATGAAGAATTAGAGAGCTGCTAGAATAAGATTTGTCCAGTTTCATGATAAACATAGGGAGATTTATCCTCTGGAGGTTATGATCCCCTGTGAAATAAGTTCAGCTATTTCTTCTGACATTTCAGGGATGGGAGCTTACATGCTGTTATGGTATTGTTGGATGATATGATATGATGTGTTTGTTTAACTGTGGCTGTGTACGATCTCACTATACATGCAGGGAATGGCTATTTTATGATGCATAGTGTCAGAATATCCTCCCCTTTTAAATATTTTTCATGCTCCTCAATCTTCCAGACCAAGTAAAGGCAAATTGTTCTATCAAGGAGGAGCAATATTCAGCACGATAATCCCGCCACTGGACATCAATATCCTCAGAGGAGTCTGAATAACCGACATTCTTTGGATGAACCAGAGTCTACAAACTTTTGTTTGTTTACTTATGTCCAGTGGAAGACTTAATTTTCTCCATCTCTCCCTCTTTGTTGATAATATAATCAAAAGAGCAGCCAACACAATACCTTTGGACATGAGAGGGGCCTGCAGAGCCAGTAGTACTGAGGCGGCAGCCAGCCAGCCATAACAACATCAAACAGCCCCTAGCCTCTAGCGTTTACCCAGAGCCAAGACCCTGGACCAAAAATATGATTGCTCGTTCTTCGTAAGATAAGAATGCAGACAAGCTTGGAGGTTATTGCGAACAATATGTACAGGTATGAGGAGGCTGAAGTGGTGGAAGGAGACTGATTTGAGGAAACAAGTGGGAAGAAAGACGTACTTTAGGTCAGATGGTGCTTCTTGATAAAATGTGGGATTTTGTCTGGTAGAAACATTATTTAACTGGGAAATTTTGATGCTAGAAATAATCATATCATCTCTGCTGTTAAGAAGTGAGTCTTCAGTTTATGATCTAACAGAGAAAGCTTAAAAGTGAGAAGCAGGTCTTTGAAGAGACTGACAAAGAGCGACCTCTGGTGGACAACCAAGAGGAAAACACAGACCTCATTCAAGAAACCTTCAAATACTCTTCCTAAAACCTACTCAGATGTTAAAACACTGAAAGGTTTATTTAGATATTGTTCAATTACTTAATTAAATGTTAGATGGATTAAAAATAATTGATCATCAGTGACGATATAAGGGTTACCACTTTGTCATTAGGGGGCGCCAGATTGCATTTCCAGTATTCACTATTATAGCATGAAGATACACTGATTTGTCATCATTTCAAAAGTTGGTATCCTAGATAGACAGAAAAAGTAAAAGCATATCAAACAGACAGATTTCAGTGGATGGGACTATTTCCAGTTCATTTGGAGAGTTTAATAAGACTGAAATCACAAACACGTTTGTCTGTCTAAAAGACTGTTACCATGTTTTGTTTTCAGAGTGTTAAAAATTTACAGGGGGACACAAGATAAGAGATCTGAAATATTTACTACATGCATTCCAGCACACAAGCCATGCTGGTAAATCTGGCTGATGCACATTTTAACTTTCAGTTTTGTGTCAGCCTGAAGACAGTAAAGATAGGTTAGAGATAAAAACCTGTTGAGAGTCTTTCTGTTCAGCAGTGTTCGACCCAGTGTATCTGATTCACAATGTCCATCTGCCTGACTTGGTTTATCTCCTCTGTATGCATGTCCTCATTAAACCTATGTGAGATCCTGTGTTAACTCAAATAACCACACTTATTTCACCGCTCCTGGAGATGAGTGTAATTGTATCAAGTAAGTGATTGTGTCCTGATCCATCAGCTGAAGTGAGCGTAGGCGGGATCTGATGTGTGAAGTGCATCGACTTACGCACTTGTATGCTCAGATTGGCAAATTGCTCCTATTTCAAGTCATGGAGGAATTCCCTTGCTCCTGCGTGTTGAGACTGATTAGTGAGGGGTGAACTTTGAGCTGACGCAGTTCAATTTAAAGTTATAAAGTCATGAGAGGACTAAGTAACATACAAGAGACTTGAAAAACCAGCGGGCAAATTGGATGGTGTATATATATATATATATATATATATATATATATATATATATATATATATATATATATATATATATATATGTTTGTAAGACAGATAATGAGGTCAAATAAACTGAAGATTTCTCTTATTTTGTTTCTTTGTTTAGATGAACCAATATCTTTACTAAGATGGAGGGAAATAAAACACCTATGATTTTTTTCACTTTACACTTAATACATAAGTATACTTAAGCTTCACATAAAAATAATTTCAACTTTAGAAATCGTGCCCAAGGTTACGTTCACACTGCAGGTTATCAATCAATCAATCAATCAAATTTTATTTATATAGCACTTTACAATATCCCAAATGGTACCCAAAGTGCTTTACATAAAAGCAATAAAATAACACAAGAAAAAATACCATTATAAAATAATACAATAGAATAGAATAATACAAGAACGATGAAATAATAAAAATGAATATGAAAATAAAATAATACAATAAAATAGTATGTAGAAGTGCTAAAAACCTATAAGTACAGGACTACCTAGTCAGAGTTAAAAGCAAGTCTAAAAAGGTGCGTCTTTAACTTTGATTTAAATAAACTGAGGTCAGTGGTGGTGCGTACATCTAGCGGCAGTCTGTTCCACAGCCTAGGAGCTGCAACAGCAAAAGAACGATCACCCCACTGTTTGAGTTTTGACCTCGGGACCTCCAACAGGCGCTGACCGGAGGAACGGAGGGCCCTGCCATGATCGCGAACAGTTAAAATCTCTGACAGGTAGGAGGGGGCCAGGCCATTTATGGCATAAAAAGTAAATAATAAAAGTTTAAAGTCAATTCTATATAATGCACAATGCACAATTCACATTTTTTGTCAAATCTGATCTTTTTGTGCGGTCGTTCGCATTACAACAACGAATGCAGCATTTAATATGAACAGAGTGCGTCCGTGAAGTGACCCGCATGCACACAAATTGTTTTCGGCGCCTGTGTGTGTTGTCGAAAAATTGTGACGTTTGTCGCATATTGATGTATAGGTCAGATGAACGCGACCTGAGCGTCCACACTGTAGTCACATCGGATACACATCTGATTTATATCCACATACAAAAGAGGCCTGGGTTGGATTTGAAAAAGTCAGAATTGCACTGTTCACACTTACATGCAAAAATCAGATATGTGTCACAAATGGTTAAAAAGTTTGAATTGACCTGCCATGTGAACATAGACTGATTTACAGTTAGCCTAATTTTTTTTTTTGATTTTATAGACTCATCTGAATACATATTTACCTGCAACAAAATGATTATAAAGGCGATTTTGACATTGTAGAGTTAAATACCAACACAAAATAATTAAATATTTGAAGATACAAAACATATTCCATCACGCAGGCCCCAGCGAGGATCGAACTCGCGACCCCTGGTTTACAAGACCAGTGCTCTAACCACTGAGCTATGGAGCCCGTCGTGTTCGCTATGGAGTACGGTGTAATTTTGAAATGATAACTCTGACCATAAAAGGGACGTACTGACGTAGTTACTGCACCACAGCGCTTAAAAGCTTGCCTCTGACCGACTTTACTTCAGACTTTTCGAACTGCCGGGTGTGGATTTGCGATACGTTCCTCCAGAATGGCAGTTTTTCAGCTCCTACTCGGCTACTCGGCTCAAATACTAATGTTTCTGCTCGGTCTGGCTTTCTTCGCGTTTCTCGGTTACTGCTTGTATATTAAACACTTGCATGACAAATATGACCACATACCCGGACCACCAAGAGACAAGTAAGATATATATTTTTTTCTTTTGAAAGAGGGTTAACGAGGTTAGCTTACGTTTTCTGAAACTCGGGATTTAGCTAGCGTTGACCTGTCACTTCTGGTTTCTTCACAGTTTCTTACTGGGACACACTCCGTCGTTTCTGAAAGTGATGAAAGATGGCGGAAATGTTCACGACAAATTTCTGGAATGGTGAGTAAAAGCGACATTTTCACTTATATGTATAAGAAGTAGACCAACTATTGCTGCAAACACTGTTGAAATACACTACTGGAAAAGTTGTTAAAATTTTGCTCTCCTCATGTTTGCTAAAGTGAAAAAGTGGACAAAATAAATGGGACACCACCACCTATCATGTCTCTTATAATAAGTGTTTTGTTTATTAATCACCTGTTTGACAAAAGTCTCCTGAAAATCTCAGATAAAGCTGCCCAGGTGTTCATAAAGTCATGGCTGGTGGGTGTGAGTCCAGTAAATACAGCCTTTACTGCTGCATGTTCAAACCTGTTTAGTCCACAAACCTTTGTTTAACTAACTTTGATATATCTTCTATGTCTTTAGGCAGGTGTTTGCATTCTGACTTATTAAGTTGACATGTAGTGTGAAGCTTTAATGTACTATTTTAATCTACAGGTCTGAGACATATGGCCCTGTTTGCCGGATAAATGCCCTACATTACGTTTTACTACTTGTGTACTGTCCAGAGACAACCAAGGTAAATACCCTTTTGTACGGTGGCCTAGAACCGCCACTGCTGCAAATAAAAAAAGAATGGGGGGGGAAAAAAAGAGGTTGCAACAGAAGTTACTGATGGAAAAAATAAACTGAAGCCTGCTGCAAATAAAAAAGAAACGGTGCAGATTAAAAAAAGATGCAACAGAAAAGGAAACTTAAAAAAAAAAAAAAGTTAATAAAAGGATGCAAATTTTAAAAAGCCACAACGGAAGTGAGCTGCGGGGAACCAATGATGAAGATGCACCGGTGTTTTATGATCTAGGCACAGAAGACGACGGCGAAAAGACGAGCAAAGAAGTAGGTGGAAAGATTATAGTTTAATTTCACTTTGTGTGCTTTTCAATGTGTCATTTGGCCATGTAGCGCCTGAGTTGATATGAAGTTGAACTGGAGGATGCCGGTGTAGTGTTAGCTTCAGTTCAACTTCATATCGACTCAGTCGCTACAGGGCCTAACCAAATGACACATTAAAAAGTTTAAGAAGCAGAATTAAACAATAACCGTTCCACTTACTTCTTTGATCATCTTCTCGCCGTCGTCTTCTGTGGCTAGACTGAGCTGTTTACATAATCTGCAACAAACTGAAATCTACTAACTCACTGAATACAACAAATCATGGGTTTGAAGGATCTCTGTATTGACTTCTACTAATAATTTATATTGCTCTTTTTTGTAAAATGAAAATTGGCTGGATGGAAGTTTTGCTTTTGTTTTGTTTAATGTGTAAACATGTGCTCTGATAATAATTACTCAATTTATGATTTTATTCTAGGAAATCCTGATGTCACCAAAGTACCCTAAGGACAAATTCCTCTACAAGAGACTCTTCTACCTGTTTGACGAGAGGTTGTACAACACTTTTACTCAAGTGGTCTGGGAAGAAGTTAGCAGAACTTTGTCCACTGTGTGAAAATGTTTAAGCAGGATTATTAATGTGAATGACATTTTTCCAGTAGTTTCAGTTCACTATTTTATGTCAGCTTGTTTTTGTTTACCTGTAGGTTTCTTGGTAATGGCCTTGTAACAGCACAGGATCATGAACTGTGGTACAAACAGCGTCGGATCATGGACCCTGCATTCAGCAGCTTGTGAGTTATTGAAAAATCACACCAAAAACACAAAGAATGTGTTTGACCATGGAGAAAAAAAACTACACTGTTGAATCCGTTCTGGTATTTTCCTTGTCCTTTAAAAGAATTTGTGTGGAGCGTTGTATGGCTACGTTGTAAAGGTACCATTATTTCCAGGTATTTGAGAGGTCTTATGGGCACCTTCAATGAGAGGGCAGAGAAACTGATGACTAAACTTGCGGATGTGGCCGATAACAAAACAGAGGCCAACATGCTTCACCTAGTCAACTGTGTAACACTTGACGTTATTGCTAAGGTATCTTTCCATACGAGTAAAATCAGGACGTTCTGAAGAGCTAATTCAGTTAGTTTGATGTTTCTTCATGTTTGTTTTCATGGTAACTCTCAGGTTGCTTTTGGAGTGGATTTAGACCTGCTGCTTAATAATTCACCTTTACCTGATGCCATTGAGACGTGCCTGAAAGGGATGACGTTCTATGTAAGGGACACTTTGTTTGAGGTAAGAAGAGTTGTTTGGAGAACAAACCAAATCAAAACTGTTTACACAAATAAATGTTAAATTTAAAAAATCTTCAAATTCCAGTTTAAGCCTGGGAACCGCCCTTTCATTAATGAAGTGAGGAAAGCATGCCGCCTGCTGCGGAGTACAGGCGCTCGATGGATTCAAGACAGAAAGACCGCGTTGAAAAACGGAGACGACGTTCCCAAAGACATCCTCACACAAATCATCAAAACTGCTGGCAAAGGTTACTATCTCTAAAGTTCAGATTAAATCAGGTCAGATAAGAAGGAAGTTTTCACATCCTCATGTGCAACAGGGTCAAGACGGCTGTAAATGATATATGTAAAAGCTAGATAATAACTCTGTGTTTATTTTAAAGTGTAGGTTGTGATCTAATAATGTGGGAAAAGTAGAAAAAACAACATCTTCATATGTGTGTCATTTAATTACAACAATGTTGGATTTGTGGCAAAGGTGTGCAAAAGAGCTTTTTCCTTGTCGTATACAGTAAACATTGTCCGAGTAGGTGAAGTAGGTCAGTAAATGATCACATTTGACTTCAGTCCAACCCGTTAATAATTATCTTTTCATTCCTGACTGGATTTATTTTTAACTGTTTGTTTGTGTTTTTTTTTCATGAACAGAGGACAACATGTCTAAAGAAGATGAAGAGTTCATGCTGGACAATTTTGTGACATTTTTCATCGCGGGTGAGATTGAACTGCATCTGTGAGGTCTTTGTGTCTTTTCAACGTTTTGTCGTAAGGCGTTGCACTAGAGAAAGCAGACTGAATGGTCGGCTGTTTTCGATGTTAAAGTGCTATGGTTGCGTGTAGCTGCGGCCTGCTACTACGCAATTGTTTGCTACTTGATCCTAATTCAGCACATGATTGGTTCAGTGCAAAGAAACTCCCCTTTTCATTGGCTATTTGTATAGTGTACCAAAACATGGCAGAATGCCGACTATTAAAAAGAATGTTGACCATGTTTTATATTGATATTGAGGGAAATAAATTTTTGATATATATCGTTATGGTTTTATTGCCCAGCTCTTGTTAAACTTTGATAAAAACAGTATTTAATGGTTTGCAAATAATCTAAACCCTATATTGAATTAAAAATAGTGCAAAGACAACCTACCAAATGTTTAAGAAAGTGTTTAAATATGCAAGATTCACTCTGTAAAAGGATGGCATCATATTTCTTATGCTTTCCTGTTTGTGCAGTGATTCCCAACTTTTTGGGAGTTTGGGTTTGCTCGGATATTCAGTCATTCCGCTTGTGTTCATGATTCTGAACGGGCTTTGTCACCTGTAACATTTCAGGGCAAGAAACAACAGCAAATCAACTTGCTTTTTGCATCATGGAGCTTGCAAGACACCCTGACATACTGGAGAAGTAAAAACTTACGATACGAGCAGATTTGAAATATGAGTACACAGTGACGTTTTGTTTTTTTTAAGTTGTTTTTCTCCCGTAGAGCGAAGAAAGAGTTGGACGACGTCATCGGGATGAAACAGGATATCAGTTATGACGATTTGGGGAAGCTGGTCTACCTCTCCCAGGTACTATAAAGGGATATTTAAATTCAATAATTTGGCTTTTTATTCTTTTAGATTCTTTCATCTGTTTTTAACCTTCTGAATCCAAGACCTAAGATGGGCAATCTCCCACTATGACCTCTCCACAGGTGCTAAAAGAGACCCTGAGGATTTACCCCACAGCTCCAGGGACATCTCGTGATATACCTGAAGACATTGTCATCGATGGTATCCACATACCTGCAGGGGTTACAATCTTTGTGAGTGATTCAGAAAAGAAAGTTGGCCTAAACTACATAACCATTCATACAGCCGCTGACGTGTTCACATTGTTTTAACTTCAGTTCAGCTCCTATGTCTGTGGAAGAATGGAGAAGTTCTTCAAGGACCCGTTGAAATTCGACCCGGACAGATTTCACCCAGATGCTCCCAAGTAAGTCGCACAGAATATTCAGATAAAGAGGTTTTATCATTTGGGTCAGTATGCTAGGTCGTGATTATTTATCGAGGTTATCACTTCTATGTTTTTAAAGGCCTTATTACTGCTACTACCCTTTCGCCCTCGGCCCGCGTTCATGCCTGGGACAGAACTTTGCTCAGGTGGGTGGTATGATGAGTGAATACTCAACATAAACAAACACTGAAACCACGTGGTATTTATTCAATGCGCGATGGGATGATTGCAGATGGAGGCTAAAGTGGTGATGGCCAAGCTGCTGCAGCGGTTCGACTTCACCCTCGTGCCGGGACAGAGCTTCGAGGTGCGGGACTGTGGCACGCTCAGGCCGATGGGCGGAGTGGTGTGCACGATCAGGCACAGGGATTACAAAAAGGAGAAAATGAGTCAACAGTGACAGCTAGTAAAGAGACGTCACATTAGTCCATGTGGTGAAGGCCGGGTGATTGATTTTCTTTACTAACCAAACTCCTGATTGCTGCTCTAATGTAGTTTTTATACACTTTTCCTGTCCGTTTATAAGAATTCAACAGAATATAGGATGCTTGTTTTGACAATTTACAGTAAAAAATATAACCAAATAAATGTATATTATGATTTATTTTCTGTACAAGGATGACAGCGTGGTATTTTTTCATGTTTTCAGATGATATAAGCAGCCCTTAATTCTTCTAAGAGCTAATAATTAAGCACTGACTGATCACTTTTATAACCACTGAGAGTGAAAACTGCCTTTTTCTCTCAACACGAATGTAGGAGCCGCAGAAATAACATTTTACCAAGTTACTATTCTATATTTTTGTACTGATTAAAAGAAAAAAGATTGTTTTGCAGTTAAATAAATGATCATTTAATTGTGTACCGTCTGTTTATATTCTGTGGAGTTGGTATTCAGTTCCTGTTTCTTTGAAGGGAGCTGGTTGTTAGGGAGGTCACTTCAGCAGCCAAGCAAAACTAGTACAGCCTGCAACGACTAACAATGAGCACAAATCAACTGAATGGTATCTACAAAGTTGTTGCAATGCAAAACTCACACACACCACACAGTTTCATTGTGTGGACAAAGTGTGGACAAAGTTCATCTGCTTTGTGTTCACTCTGTTTGTTTAGGTGCGACTGAAATAGACGGCGCACCAGAGAGAAGCTTTGGAAATAATTTAAACCCTATATTGAATTAAAAATAGTGCAAAGACAACTTACATGATTAAGACAACCAAATTAAACTACGTGATTGTGTCCTGATTATTCAGTGATGGGTCCTTAGAGGCCACTGCTAATGGAATCGACCACATTAAAGGGATATTCCAGCGTGAAATTAAGTTAGGGTCAAACACACCGTAACACCGAGTTAGACACAGCGGTCTATGGAACCACACACAAACCTCAACCAAAACGCCACTCTATAGCCACAAATAATGCTCAGAACAGCACCTAACTTCATCAACAGGACATGTAGGGTCTCACCATAGACTGTATATACTATACTATACTATACTATTCTTTATACAGTCTATGGTTTGACCCAAAATTAATTTTGGCAAGAGAGTGTTTTCTCTCACCAGGGACTGTTTAGGTTTTTTTATCCTGAAAAAAGTAGAGGGAGTAGGTGACCCAACACCTGTGTTGCCCTCAGTGTCAGTGTATTATGTTTGCGCCACAATGACATTAAACTTAACAAGAAGAGTTACATTCATAAAACCAAGTAAACATGATAAATCATTCTTTGTGAGTGCTCAGATGGATTATAATCATTTTAGTCAACCACATCCATCACTGCTGCAATCACTGCTTGATCTGAATCAGGTTTGCTTTTCTTATCTGATTCATCCAGACTCGTGACATACAGGTAGGCTATGGCAACTCCACTGAGACAAAATACATGCACAACGAGAAAACACACAGAGAAGAAAAGAATATTTATAAAGTGACTTTAACACAAAAGTAGTTTTATCACCAACTTTTTCTTGTGCAGTGAATCCACTGTTCAGTTTGTTGCCATTGCAGCCAATATACACAGGATGGCGCTATATCATTGCCAAAAAATCCCAAAAGCACCTGTTAGACGACAAATTTATGAGGATTCAAATTCTGAAGTTGTCATTCATTTCGGGTCGGTTGAAAACTTAGTTTTTATGTGTTTTTACATCTAAGTTAAGGTTCTTGTTGCTGGTTTGTCAAAAAAGGGTTCAGGTTAAGTCTGGTTACGATAAAATGAGTGCAACAGATTGTTCAAACTTAGAGAAAAAATGCGGGAAGGGTTCATTTACCAACTACGAGGCTGTTTTGATTTGAAATAATAGCTTGACTTTATTTTAAGAAACCAAACGGCAAAGTTTTTGATGAATAAAATCCAAAAAGACGAGAAAACCTGGTCAAATATGTGTATTTTTAGGATGTAGAATAAAACATCCTTGAACATCCATGTTTAAACCACAGTTTTGTCTCTTTTGTTGTTATTTTTAAATAAAAAAACCTGTTTTCATAAGCGGCGGACTCGCTGTGTTACTGTTCCTTTAAGAGGGCTGAGCTCTCGCCTGCTGAGGCTGCACCGCACTCTTCATGTACCTGCTGCCCACTCCGCTCCTGCGTCTTGATTGGCCGTCTTGGCCGAAATCCTCTTGAATGATTTCAAACCCGAGTGTTTGGACGAGGGAGGAGGGGGGTCGGCTGCTAATTCCGAGCTGGCTGGCTGGCTGCAAGAGCTTTTGAATCCTCCGTCCACCACTAACAACAGCACCTTCAGTAAAGAGGCTTATCCGAGGAGAGCTGCCGTGGACGGCGAAACGCGCACAGGAGAGTCCCACCGACAGGAAAGTAGGCTTCTGGAGGTGTCGCGTTTGTGTTGATTTACAACCTTTTTCGCTTAGATTAGATTAAATCAGCGGTGAATGCGTAATTTATAGTGTTTGTGTGTGAATGGAGCGATGTCCAGTGGAGACGACGGCGCACATTGCGATGGGACGCGGTTTGTTGCGCTGACAGGACGCGCAGCCAGGACCTGATCCAAACAAAATCTCCGGTAATCGATTTGATATCATGTGTTTTGAGTGAATATCTGCGAAAAGATTAGTAAGGGTAAGCATTCAGTTCATGCTCGGGTTGCCATAGCATCACATTAATATTTTCCTTTTCATTATCGGCCTGTTGAAGCAGGAGGGCGCTCAGATTTTTGGACAATGTATTCCCACACAATCCCGCAACTGAGGTTAGGTTGAGTCTTGATAGATAATTCGAGCCGCTGATCAATAACTGAGACTTTAAGCCAAGGCAGTCATGGCTAAAAATCCATCCGAGGGGCAGAAGGATGAGCTGAGCCAGCTGACGGACGAGGAGCTGCTGCGCTTCAGCAAAGAGGAGCTGGTCCGGAGATTAAGGAGGGTTGACAGTGAGAAAATGAACTTGATGATTGAGCATGGCAACATGATGAAAGATATCAACCGGCGGCTGCAGGTGCACCTGCACGAAATCCGAAGCTTGAAGGAGATAAATCAGAAGCTGCAGGACGATAACCATGAGCTCCGGGAGCTCTGCTGCTTCCTGGACGACGACCGACAGAAGGGCAAGAAGCTGTCCCGGGAGTGGCAGCGCTTCGGCCGCTACACTGCCAGTGCCATGTGGAAGGAGGTGGGTACATACATGATGAAGCTGAAGGAGCTGGAGGCCAACCAGGAGACCGTGTTGAGGGAGAACTCTGAGCTGAAGGAGATCATCCTCATGCTGGATGAGGAGAGGAATGGAGCAGGGTCCAGGAGCTCCATAGACAGTCAGTCCAGTTTAACCAACCTGAATGGGGGCACCAGCACGGTCAGGGATGTTGGAGATGGGAGTAGCACGTCCAGTACGGGGAGTGCTGGTAGCCCTGACCACCACAACCACAACCACATACACAAGCCCAGCACAGAGAACAGTAAGCTGGGCCCCACCATGAGGAGGTCCATGGATGACCTGTCGGCGCCGCACCACCACAGGAGCATCCCCAACGGGCTGAATGGTGAGCAAACTTACAATCACACCTGTAAAAACACAACTTTTCAACACAATCACAAACAGAGGCCTAGTAAACAAACTCTCCTCGGCCTTCAGCCAGTCTGACCAATCAGGTAAAGGGATTAGTTTGGAAACACAAGCTGATTGGCCTTGTTTTCTTCAAGTAAACACTGATTACGTTTGTTGTTTTCATCATTGTGTTTCATGCAAAATAATATCCTCAAAATTTTAGATTTCTTGCGATGGTCAGTGCTGATGCTGATATTGAGTCTTCAGATATTATTTGTGTATTTTTTTAGCCCGAGCATTGATCAGTCTGCCTCACACACATGCAACCGACCTAAAGGCTAAAACATACAGGATGCGTATTTGGAGCGTGGCAGCATCGAATCGAGAGCAGCACCGTTAAGTCGATTAACGGCCAGTCGATCCACACAGAGAAGATCGCTCCAGACAGGAAATCATCACAAAAACCGCGCACTCAGTTCGTGTAGATGAGAAATACTCCCTGGTCCCTGATCCATGTGGACCCCAACAGGACTTTTAACTGCTATCTCTGTCAGCATAAAGGAACATAGTTTACTTTATTAAACACGAGTAAACCTGCCTTTTCTCAACCGGACCGGTTCGCGTTCACAAAGGCCAAACTCAGCAAAAGCCGTTTGGTGATTGCTTTGGTAGACGACAAATTCCTTGGAATTTTATCGATATCATTTTTATGTTGGTGCAGGAGACGCTTTACAATCAGACGGAACTAAACCAAAACTTTAAAATCACGTTGCTTTTTCACATACAGTAGAGGCTCAATGGTCACTGAATTATATCCAAATTAGCATGAAATCCACCACAGAAAGGGCAAAACAACCTGTTGTGAGCATGTTGTTGACTCTACACTGAGGGCTGCACTGCGCTGCTGCTACGCTCCAAATACGCTGATCCTGTGTGAGATACCCAATACACCCCAGTTTCATCGCTACTAGAGGATACAGTCGACATGTTGTGGTGTTACCATGCGCATCAGATTGTACCACCAGCAACATATGCTGATCAAAATTGCTGTGAAGGATTATCATGGGGGGGTCTGGGCTTAACCTCACTGTAAGTCTTGATTGGGGTGATTATTACACACACACACACACAGACACACACACAGCATCCTTAAGTGGCCTTTTCAGTCTCACACAACCTCGTCATTAGAATCGGCACTGATTTAGGTCACTGCACTCGTGGTCCTCAAGGAAGAGGACTTATCTAAATGGCTTTTAAAGATGGTGGGGCTCAAGCAAATTGATTTTTTGGGGTCATTCACTGATTATCATCGTCGTCTTTAGCTTTGGAAGAGCTCTCATGTCTGCTTAGGGCCCGTTTGAAAGGCATGGCGTGGGACCAGAAATCAATGTCCCTGTTTTAAGACCTAAATACACGGCTGAAAGCTCCGAGCCGGGGATGAAAAAGCCCTGATGGAACAGGAGGACACTAAGCCTCGTTTAGCTGGGACACTGGCTGATAACTCGCCATGATCTGTTTGGCATGGCGAGCAAATTCTGTTTCATAGAGGGAGGAAAAATCCCCCCTCCATCCAGTTGAAACTTTGTGTATTTTTATTTCACCCTGATTTACAAGGACGGGAGCCGCACATAGGAGCTCAAAGCAAGCAGCTACAAATCAGATTACGCAGGTCACTTGTTATTCATGGGACATTCTTGGCATGTAGTGGACTGAAAACCGTGAAGGTAACAAATGCTCAAGGATGCAACTAAGGACAGCTGAGGGAATCCGGAAAAACACACAAACACATATGCCCTCGCTGGCACACACACACACGTTTTAGGCAGTGTTTGGCTGTCATTACACAACATCAATATTGTGTCTGCAGCGGCCCAGCACCTCTCTAAGCCGCTGTTTTGCTGGATGTGTGTGACATTGTGTGTGTGCAGATAAACACAAAGATACACACATGTAAAAGCTAGCTAGCATGCATGGGAAAGACCTGGTTTACAGTGCGTTGTTAAAACCAATGCATTGCTAATGAGATCGATGATATCTCATCCCAAACAACCCAAACGACGGCTCTGGCTTTTATATATAGCAAACAACTCCATGTGGGTAGCAAACAGAGGCGCTGTTTACATGGCGCTGAATCACCCAAGATAGTAATCAATAAAAACAACAACAAAGCAAATACTGTATTGATTCTAATCTAATGTTACACAAGTTAGATGAGTGCACCCTGAGGCAGTATTTAACAAGTACAGAGTGTAAAGCGGCTCGTATTAAAAGTTTCATTTCCTGAAGTGTGGTGATTGTGTCAACAGGCCCTGACTTATTGGAAATTTCTCTCCCCCCCCCCTCCCCGAGCGCAGATTTACTCATTTGGCCGCTTGAAACCGGAGCAGAGTGACCATGTTGTGAGGTCAGATGTGCTCGCGGTGTGAGGTCTGCAGAGTCACTTTATTTAATGCTGTGTAAATGCCACGGGCTCCCCTGGGCATTTAGGAGACAAGCTCGAGGATCGCCGCGCAAGTGCTAAATGAACAGCATCTGTCAGGGTGCCAGACAGGGAGGAAGAGGAGGAGGAGGAGGAGGGTGGATTGTTGGTGTCCTGGTAGTGAAAAAAACTTATATTTTATGGATACAGACTTTTGTTTTGTTTATTTATGACCAGATTTGATGGCCTTTTCGTACATTTGTGAATCTAGGAGCGCACCCTTTTAGAGGAAGCAGAGGCATTTGGAGAGGAGTGTATAAAAGGGGGGCCCAGCGAAGGTCTCTCAATAGGTTTTGATGGTGTTGGGGGAGTGTCTGAGGGGTGGTAAGGGGTTGGCTGGGAGGCCTGGGGGAGGAGCAGTAGGGAGCTGTTGGAGGGCATATTGAGCTCCAAGGAGGCTGGGTTTCGGAGACATCCTGCTGTCTGCTTAATTGAATTTCTTGTGCGTTGACACGGTTGGCACCCCCCCTCTTTCCCCCAATCCTCTTCCTTGGGGGACACAAGCTGCGTGCTTCTGTGTGTGTGTGTGTGTGTGTGTGTGTGTGTGTGTGTGAGGGCACTGAAGGCTTCTGTTAAGACGAAATAAAAGAAGAGATCAGCGGGGGCTGCATTAAACCGCACAGTTTCATAACCTTTAGCTGTGACTTCTATTTCCGGACTTCTCTGTGCTTGCATTCACTTTAGGTGGTCTGGAACACAATTCCAGTCAAAGACCACCTGAAATATGATGCTGTAACCGAGAGCTAGCACTGGGTTCTCATATAGTTCAGACAAAGTGGCCGTGAAAAGACCCCAAAGTGCTGCTTTGACATTGTCCAGATGAAGTGATAAAGATCCTCTCTGCAGTAATGCTTGTTGACCTTTAGCGGACCCCCCCCCCCCCCATACGAGCTCCTGGCCTTGTAGCTGCCAAATGGCTTTAAAGGTAGTGTGTTTGTTACTCAGCAGGTAAAGTGACTCTTAACAAGCCAGGGAGCAAGGTTTCTCAAGCATGAAGCCGAGGAATTATTCATGTTTGGTTAACTTCAACATATCATGCTAATTTTACCACGGTTAAAAGGACAGTGCAGCGGGGGGACTCGATTTTGTATTCAAAGCCGCAGAAAGTTAACCCTTCGCATGATTTTACACACTTCTGATTTGCTTTCATTTTCAGTGCATGAATGCCGAACACTTCGACTCCCTTGTTGACTTAAGTTGAGTCATTGCATGCACATGGGGTGACACATGTAGTCGGCACTAATGCACGGAAATAAAATGTGTTAAATAAAACATTGATTCAGTGAATGGATTTTAGTCCCGCTGTGCAGGGCGCTGCTGAGGGTAGTTAAAGCACATGCATGCAGCTGTAATGGCTCCATCTTTCACTTTTACTCAAAGTGGTGTTTGTTTGTTTTTTCGTGTGCGTGCCAGAGGCCACAGAGATGTTAATTCAACACAACTTTTGTTGACTGATGGACTCAGCACACCGAAACAGAAAACCTGCTTTAATGAAAGAACAACAATGGCTCTCGTCCTCCCTCTCCTTCCCCTCGCTTCTCGGGGAGTGAAAGTGAACTTTGATTCTAGTTTAATGTCATTAACACTTACACACAATGAATATTGTTTACAGTTTCTCAGGAACTATACCGTGTATCACTATGGTATAAAAAGTGTTCAAAAGCTTACCCTCTTGGTGATCTATTTAGGGTTTCCAGGCATTTCTACACCTGCCACAAGGTTTACAATCCAGCCACAAAAATAGGTGTTTGATCAGAGATGTTTGATGGTAAATCCACAATGATATACTGGTAAAAACATAATTATTTAACATATTATGCTGCTAATATCTTCTGGGTTTGACAAGCTGTTTTGATGACGTCTTTTTCTGTCAAACTTTCGACCAATCACATGGCCTCATATTCTTCTTCTATTGTTCCCTTGATGGTAGTGTCCAATAAGAGGCAACTAAAGATCAACAAGAGGCTAGAAAGTTCCCTGCTTGTCTGCAAAATAAGAAATAATGGAGAGAAGCGATTATGAGCAGAATGATGTGGCCCTCGGTCTCATCCCAGACAGGAACTGCTTCAAAAAGTGGCAAAAACAACTGTAAATAGCAAAAAACGCCTGGAAGAACTAGTATAAATGTGTAAATAGTTTCTGTTGTGTTTTAGTTCCAATCCCAATATTTCTTATCCTGATAACCAAGACTTGATAGAATGATGTGCAGGTGAGAAAAGGCTTGGTCACTGTAGATTTATGTGTTTTTTGAGCAAAGTACTGTTGGTAACAATTTCGGTTTTTGTTTTTTGGTTGACTTTGATGGTTCTGAAACTAATGTCACATTCATTTTACATAATTTATGCACCAGTAAACTGACAGCTGAGGTTGTCCTGAAAGAAAAAAAATATGTGTATATATTACAATATCTGTAAAAACAGCAGGAAACTGTGGGAACCTGCTACTGCCGGTATCTGTCTTCCGGCTAGTTGATTAGCTCTTAGCCTCCCTGTTAACCACCAGTGCATCAATAATCTTCATAAGCCAGTTATTCCGCGTCGATAGATTTCCCTATCTTCCTGTGCCTGTTGTGACTTGGCCATAACACCGTGTTACGCTTCACGAGCCTGTCAGTACCTTCGTCTGCTCGTGGCTCTCCGAAACCAGTCCGATAGGTTGATGATTCACGGCGGACAGGGCTGATCAAACCCTCAGTCGAATTTGAGTCATGTGTTTAGTTTAGTTTGTGTTTGTACATTAAGCCCTTTACTTACCTGACTCCAGTAAACTGTGCCGGTCTTTCGCTCTGCTGAGTCACCCTTTAAAGCCACTCACTTAAGCCGAAATTAGGCTAAATTAGTGCCAATTAACCCACTGAGAGGTCATAAATCTGTGTGTTTGAACTGGGGTCATTATCACTCCGTCTGTATGCGTGTGTATGTGATGTTCGACTTTTTCCTCTTTCCTCTCTGTCACTTTTTTTTTTCCAGTTTACATTTCTTTTACCCCCGGGGAACGACATGACCTAAAAGCTCACAATGCAATCGTAAAACCAGCCCTCCCAGTCGGCCACCAGTGTGCGCCTCGTCTGTGTCAGTGACTTGATATTCCCATTCATGTTTGACTCGAGTGTTTAACCCTCTGAGGTTAATAATTAGTGGGCTTTTAAAGTCTCTTTCTGTAGAGCAATGAGGTTACTACTTATGAGACAATCACAGCAAAAGTCTTCAACACCTAGTTTGATTCTCAGTCAGGGCTCCCGGTATCTCTTGTGTTTTCCTCAAACAAACATCAATCAATTACAGGCAGCTTATCAAAGTGAGTTTCTCAGCGTGAGCTCTCTTCTCATTTCAAAGGAAACCCTTGCATCAACAAAACAATGGTGTTTTTCCTCATGGCTGTGGTTTCAAGTCTTTGTGTGGCATGTCTGCGGGCTGCGAGAGGCGTGCAAGCAGGAATAGGATGTGTCTGTCGCAAATTTCCTGTTTGTCCGCGCTCTCATTCATGTTTGTTGGTTCCAAGAAGCTGACTATGTTGTTTTTTTTGTTGTTGTTGCGGCCCCACCCTAATGGTTTCTTTTACACCTCTATCAAAACTCCAAGAGGTGCAACGTCAGCAAAAAAGGGCTTGGCAGCTCAACTAAAAGTACAACTTAGAGGATTAACGTAGTTTGGGAAATGATGAAGATGCTTTCGATCGTGTCAAAACATGCCGTAGCTGTAGTTAGGTTTGATCGTTTTTAAGTTTCTCTCTTTATTTCTGTTATGTTTTAGGAATTTTACGGTATTTAATTTTATGATAATAAGCACACAATATAGTATTGTATGTTACACTAAGATTATAATACAGTACAATATGAAAGGATTTGTTACAATGCAATATGATATCCCAAACACCTGATGCTCCCTATAATTATATTACTGCTCAATGACAATTGTACGATAATTATTCTGTCAATCGTAAAGATTAAATTAATCAAAGAGAACAAATGTCACGATACGATACGAGACATTACAATATGGTACGACATGATACAGTACAATATAACATGATACAATATGAGACCATACGATATGATACGATACAATACAAAACGGTATATGATACGATACGACACAGTACAATATGAGACGATATTATACGATATGATTTGATACAATACAATATGATATGAGACAGTACAATGATACGATAGGATATGAGACGATACGATACAATACAATACAATACGATACGAGACATTACAATACAGTACGATATGATATGATACAGTACAGTACGACATGATACAATACAATACAATATGATATGAGACAATACGATGATGGTTTGACATGATGCAATGATATATGACACGATACATTATGAGACGATGCGATACAATACAATACATTACGATATGATACGATACAATATGTCATGATATGATATGATACATTACGACACAGTACAATATGAGACAATACTATATGTTAAGATACGATACAATACGACTTGATATGATACAATACAATATGATATGAGACGATCCGATACGATACAATATGATATAATACAAAGTTAGGACAATGATATATTGCTTAGTTATATCTGTCCCTGCCCTGTTGTTTAGAGCTACAGTGTGTAAATTAACCTCACTGATGAACTGGTTTGGATTCTGTAATCTAAATTTGATTTCCTCTTTGGTTAAATCAATCCTCTCTCTAGTTTGCGCCCTGTACTTTGTTTGATAGTTTCCCCGGCTTGTATTTCCCAGCACCCAGTGTGCTGCACCCCGTGTGAGGCTTGGCCTACTGATAACACAGATAATGGAGTAGAAACACACTCACACACACATACATGCATGCACACACAATAGATACACACAGGAGAGTCTGAGAGAAAGAGCCATGGGGGGAGCTCTCAGCTGTGTACTGTCAATGAAAAGCCAGCCTGTCAGGACGTCCCACATTCCTGGATAAACAAAAGAGGAAGTGGGTCTCTCTCCTCATAGTGTCACAGCAGGAACTAGACTGCACGGAAAAGGGAAGAAAGCGTGTGTCTCGGGGTCACTTTTTGAACTCTTACCTCCCCCTGTCTTTCCTTATCTGAGACGCTCCTCCAGACTTTTCCTCTTCCTCCGGCTGCACTCATCTTTCCCTCCAGATTCCTGTGAACCTGCTGTCGGATCAGCGGTCCGTTCTTTCCCATCATTGCAACACTCAGCCGACAGAATGAGGTTATAGAGCCAGACTGATACGGACCCTCTGTGAAATGAAATGCCAGGGCCAAGTTTATGAAAACTTCTGTGTGGTCTCAGTGAAATATTTCTCTTTCTTACCACCAAGTGAAAACAAATGTTGCCCTTCATCCCAAACCCCCATTCCCTGTGCAGCTCTAAAAGTGTGGCCCTTTTTTCCCCAGTCGCTGGGCTGCTGGAGGGGCTGGGGTTGCTCAGTCGCCTAGGCAACAACAATGATCAGCGGGGCGAGTGGACGGCACCCACGCCTAGCCTCAGAGTCACTGGAGCGTAGGGGGAGAAAGAGATAGGGGGGATGGGGATACATTGGGGCATGGTCGGCCTCTGTGCTGGATGACCCGTGCAGAATAATGCTAGTAAGAGCTGGGTCAGCATTGTGTGTGTGTTAGTGTGTGTGTCTGCATGCTATAGCTCAATAACAGGAGAGACAAAAAGGGCGTGGACCAAGTAGACACAGAAGTTACCTTTACTTAGACGTAGCCTGCTTTTGTATCTAAAATGAGTACTTTAATCGCTAAATAGCCAGATTCAACAAATGTAATGCCCACCTTAATACCTTGGCTTAAAAGTAATTAAAAGAAGCTTTTTTCAACACTTAAAGGGATATTCTGGCGTAAAATTAATTTAGATTCAAAAACACAGCAACAACTAGTTAGACACCCCCTCAAGAGGTGAATTTTGCCGACTGCTTGGTTCTCTAGTTAGTAACACTCCAACTTTAGTAACGACCGCACAATAGCAATACACAGCGGTCTGAGGAGCCATCAACAAACCTCAACCAAAACGCCACTCTATAGCCACAAATAATGCTCAGAACAGCACCTAACTTCATCAACATTTCTAGCCATAGCACTAGCCACCAAACATCTCTGTAGCTTTGCCTAATTTCTTTAACAAAGAGACTGATAACAACTGACCTACTCTCTTCCAGCAGCCGCTTGTTTGTAGCAAGACCTTGGGCCAGTCCATTACGGACTGCAGCGGGGTGTCTCAGCTCAAGGAAGAACATTTATGATCATTTCAATATGGAAATGCAATCAGACAGAGGCGCTAAGACAGAAAAACTATCACGTCTGCAGTGCAAAATGATTAATATGGTGATTATTACGTCAAGGAAATAATAAAGAAATGATCATAGATGTTCTTCCTTGAGCTGTAGTCTGTGGTGGACTGGCCTGAGGTCTCCCTTCAAACAAGCGGCTGCTGGAAGAGAGTAGGTGAGTTGTTATCAGTCTCTTTGCTAAAGAAATTAAGCAAAGTTAAAATTTGTTTGATGGCGGGTGCGTTGACTAGGACCCTATATGTCCTGTTGATGAAGTTAGGTGCTGTTCTGAGCATTATTTGTGGCTATAGAGCGGCGTTTTGGTTAATGTTTGTTTATGGCTCCTCAGACTGCTGTGTATTGCTATTGTGTGGTTGTTACTAAAGTTGGTATAACTAGAGAAGAAAGCGGTCCGTAACATTCATTTCTTGACGGGGTGTCTAACTAGTTGTTACGGTGTGTTTGACCCTAAATTAATTTTACGCCAGAATATCCCTTTAAACAAATATAATGCCCACCTTGATACCTTGGCCTAAACGTAATTTAAAGAAGCTTTTCCAACACTTTTACGTTTTCGTAATTCAGGTCATTCTTCAATTGTTGGCTCGTCCTTAGCTGACTAAATCAGATTTTTAAAAGTTGTACTCCACCCTTGTCAAGACCCGCATTGATCTATGTGATAAATCAGCGATAAATAACCTATTAAGATGCAAACTAGAGTCACAGAAGAAGTGCAGTCGAAGAGACAGTCTGGGTTCAGGTGTCAAAAAACCCATCTGGGGGTTACACCACAAACTCACTATCAGCAATTTGTTCCCTGTCGATGCTACACACCCGGTGACCTTCGACAACAGTACAGTCCCGGGTTGCCAAAAGTCAGCAGCTTTAGACAGAACACTTCTTCATCAGCACTGGGAGGAAGAAGGCGTTCATCTGGATTTTCTGCCTGTCAGCTCTTTGCTTCAGGTTGCTGTGACATTAGAGACCGGAGTCAGCAGATGTCTTCACCTTGCTTGCATTCAGATGCTGCCGTCGCCTCATTTTCGCTCGTATCTCTAACAGTTATAGATTGTTTGCTGGTGCGGTAGTTCTCCCGAATGCAGACGTGGGACCACTTAGCGTTGGCCCCAAATGGAGAGGCATCATTGTGCTCAAGTTGAGGGACATAAATCCTCATTTATAATGTTTCGCAAACATTTAAGCTGACGGGGAAATCTGTTGCGCTGTCACGACGATGAAATATTGAATCACTTGATTGGGTGCTTGGATGATAACTTCAAAGTTTGTAGTTAAGACATAGCTGGAGCGGCTACAAAAATGTGAAACTGGCAGGAAAACCGCTAGATGGATGAGATAATGTGAAGAGTTGATGGTCGACTCGAGCATCTGGAATGAATTGCCCTGCCTCAATATTGCTTGTCTATCCTCTGGAAGTTTTTTTGGATGGTTTCAGGTAACCTTACTCTGCTGGTCTGAAGGCTAATTTCCTCTCGCAGGCCCCGGGTTTCAGAGCCAAGACTAGGCTGTGTAAGTTGGGAAAACATGTATCTGTTTTGCTTTGGGATAGAGCTCGGGGAAAGACATTTTCAGTGAGAGGCAACAGTTAAAACTTCTGGAAAAGAAAGCGATCAGTCACAGGGATTTAGTTTGTGTTGGTGTGCGATGTATGCTGACTGAAATGCTCGGCGGTTTTGCGGACATGTAAAGAATTATCCGACATACAAGTGGAAACATGCACATGGTATGTAGGAGTCTTGTGTTACAGTGGAAGAGGTTACCGGGTTTGAGGGGTGCAGCGTCACCCTCCTACTTTCAATAATGGCCATCTGTGACTGTGAGTGGAGCAAAGTGCTGTACCACATAACATTAGAGGGATGGAGGAAAACATACGGATGGATCTGTCTCTTTCAACTTAGTAAGTAACGATAGAAATCAATCTTTTGCTTTAAAACGAAATCTCTGATCTGTTACTGACAAAAACATCTGTTTTTTGTTGCACTGTCAGCCACAAATGGGCCTCAGGGATGACACTGACTTAAATATCTGTAGAGCAGCCATCTATTTATTGGAAATACATGGGTTCATGTCTTCATTTATGCCCGGAAAGCCATTAAAATTCCTATTACAGCTCTATTTTTAAGTATTAAATATGGAAAATGAAGCAGTCTTAAAAAACGATACCAAACAACGCATTTTTGCACGCCTAGCTAGTGCCAATCATGTCTATAGCCACACAGTAGAGTGTAGGGCTGGGCGATATGGCCTCAAATCAATATCACGACATATTGAGCATAAATGGACGATAACTACTCCACCAGCTGCTCAGCCCCTCCCACATTAACATGTCAAGCTACGTCAACTTTTGAACCGTCCTCCATCTCCTCACCTGTCTTTCCCTCTTTGTTACGGACTGGATGGGGTGGAGTCACGACCATAGCCTACCGACACACATCCAAAACCAACTTTATTTATTTTTTTGTATGTTTTTTTTTTCTGTATATTATTTTTTCTGTATCTGTATCTGTAAATTTTTGGTTTATCGCCCAGCCCTAATAGAGTGTATTTTATTCAAACTTAACCCATTTAATCTTTAAATCTTTAACTGATGCCTTTATACTCGATTACTCGAAATCTGGCTGGTTAACACTTTTGTGAGGCGCAATCAGAGTGAAGCTGCTTCTAAATATGTATTGAAAGCAAAAAAACTTTAAAGGGGTTTTTAATTCGGAGTTCAAATTTGGGCTTCATGGATGGAGCAGCTGCGCTAATTCCAAAACCCAGACTTGAGTTCTGGTCAATACCAAATATCCCTATAAAAACTGATCAGTTATCCTGGAACTTATTTGAACTTATTTTTTCTGTATCTGTATCTGTATCTGTAAATTGTTGGTTTATCACCCAGCCCTAATAGAGTTCATTTTATTCAAACTTCACCCATTTAATCTTTAAATCGTTTAACTGATGCCTTTATACTCGATTACTCTGGTCTGACAGATGACGAGTAGCTGCACCACGAGGCTTTGAATCGTCGCCGTCATAATTCCTTTTGTACTTTTCTGCGTTTTTACTCGGAATGACTCATCTGTTTTTCCCGTGTCCCGTTGCGCTGCTGCTCATGATGGATTCTCAGAGACGATCTGATCGCCCTCAGAAACATATTCGGACAAAACCCACTTAACGCGGGGCTCGGCCTCGGATTATAAGGTCCGATCAGAGTCATTATTTATTCGAGCGTGGCCAAATGTAGAAAGTTCGATTCCATCAATGCGACTGTTAGGATCGTAAAGCGCTTTAGTGAAAGAAGATCATATGAAAATGATCAGACCATATGAAAGTACAGGCTCAGTGAAAGGGCCAAGGACGGGTTCAGAGCCAAACGCACTTTATCCTTTCATTTATTCGCCTTGATTTGACATTCATGGTATTAGTATTAATGTTCTCGGAACAACCATAAGGGATGTCCACCTGATTATCTCAAACTCTGGAGCTGTTCCTGGGTTTCCCTTAAATCCTCTTTAACTCACTGATCACACACTGGATGTCCACGCTGATTGATTTTATAAAAGCAGAGACTAAGTGAGTTTTCACAGACTCTAGTTAAAAGTTTGAGTTTTCCTCCAACCCTCTCCTGCTTCGACTGGAGTCAGTTTCCGTCAAGGAGGCCATTACGGCTCGTTATAAAGTTGTTAGGCGATAGATGAGGCAAATAAGGCCGGTTATTCATCTTCAGAGGGGAGTCATGCAGCATATTCACACTCGTCTCACTCACATGCTGAGAGGAGACGACGTTTCTGACAGTCAATTATAGCCGTTTTCTCCTCTCCAGCGCTGTGGCCTCTTTAATTCAGATCTCACGCTGCTCCTCCACTCCTCTGCTGCTGCTGTTTTTGGACAGTTCATCATCAGCACATTTTAGATCACGCACTCGCCGCGGAGCTACAAAGGCTGGTTAACACTTTTGTGAGGTGCGATCAGAGTGAAGCTGCTTCTAAATATGAGTTGAAAGCAAAAAAACTTTAAGGGGGTTTTTAATTCGGAGTTCAAATTTGAGCTTCATGGATGGAGACTCGAGTTCTGGTCAATACCAAATATCCCTATAAAAACTGATCAGTTATGCTGGTGGGAAAAGACTGGAACTTATTTGAACTTATTTTCGTTATCCCAGTCATGATGCATGGATATCTTCGTCTGCAGGTGTAATCAATTAAAGCTCCTAATTAGCCAATTAACGCATCACTCTGACGCTGCACCATCCTCACTTACTCGGTTCAGGACCGTTTCTTCCTTTTTGCTCCAAAATAGAAACCTCCTCAGCATTGATGTATCACTGTTGCCACTAGCAACCTGTTTTTAGAGCAACAAAAAAAGCTTGATTTACATAAGAGTGTAAAAAAATATTGATATGGAGTATAAAAATATTTGATATCTTGATAGTTTGTCCGTTTCCTGCACCTGAAAATATCTCCAGAGGGGAAGTTTGTGGATGCTCTCAACCAGAATGGAGCATACAAAGAACTTTAGGGTCATAATGAAAACTGATCAAATAATCTAATAATAATAATAATCGATCAAATAGTCTTTTGGTCACATGTCATGGAAGCTATTGATGAAAATGTTCAAAATTTGCCTTTAAATTTAACACAAAAATGTTTAGAGGACAAATTAGAGAAATAAAGAGGCGTGTCTTATTGGTCGACAGAAATACTATTATTTGAAATCAATTTTAGGTCAATTGGTCATATGACATGGAAACAGCCTTTTTGGAGAACTTCATACAGTAATTTTTTGACGGTCCCTTACATTTAACCGCACTGCTGTTGCTATTCCCCGTATATGGAGAGTGAGAAGTAGGGCTGAAACGACTTAGCCTCTGAGTCGTAGGTGGAGACAGCGCTGCTCTGCGCACTTCTGCAGAAGCAGGTAACATTGGAGCTATTCAACTCCTGGACACTAATGTCTTTAGGGGCATGATGAAAGTTAACATCATACTTAGCTTTCTTACGAGCGTTGCAATCCGCTAACGCACATGCTTGCTCCGCCTTTATTCTCTATTTCTCCGAGTCTGGCTGTAGGAAATCTAACTTTATGTGAGTCTGCTGTTTGGGTCTAATTACTCGAGTAATCGATATAATATCTGGTTGAATACTCGATTACGAAAATATTCCATAGCTGCAGCTCTAGTGAGAAGACAGCGGTAGATCTGCAGTGAATGTCCATCGAATATCCAACCTAAAACTAACTTCACCGCTGTGTTAACATGGGAAAACATGTTGCCTCGCCTTGCCTTTACTCTTCGCACAGATCAATTTTTAGACGCAAATGCGAGTGAAACGGTCGCACTGTCGAGCCCTGTCGTGGAAAGTCTCAACCAGTCGGGACTCATTCTGTCTAAATTGGTTGTAATTCAGCATCTCTGTTGCATTTATTCTGTTTTATACTGGAGTGTTTGAGATACTTGCAGCCTGCAGATAGATGAAGTGGTGAATATCATACTGCACAGATACTTGCAATCGGTGGAAACTCAGCTGTGATATCCTTAATGGTGTCTGAATGATATTAGACTGATGAGCGAACTCGATGAACCCGCCCACGCATCGTTTCTTTGATGGTTCCTCTCCGTCTGGTGGCTTTCCTCGTCACTATTTTAGATCTCGATCTTTAAATTATTAGTCGAGTGCCAAAATCCAGCCAACAGGGATCTCCAGAGATGATTTACAGCCTGTTATCTACTCTACATCCTCTCTGTCTTCCTGGCTGTGTCCTCTCAGTTGACAATAGATGTAAGGGGATTAAACCATCAATGCTGTAGCTGCGCCTTTGCTCTCTGAAACGTGCCAGCGTTCGGAGGGGAGGGCTCCTCCGTTAAAAGGATTGAGGAGCAGGATCCGGCGCTGTATTTCTGCCCACCGCTCTTTTAAATACATGGCACGTAGCCCTGCGTATGATATGCACTGTATGAACAAAGGCGCTTCTCTTACACCCCGTAGGAGACGTCGCAGTGTTAAACGGCACGACGCGCGCTTGATGAAAGTGCACTTATTAGGGTGCAACAGGGTGCCTCATCAGGAAGTGGAAGTATAACGGGGCGTGTTGTGGAGCGGAGGATAAAGAAAGATGCAAGATTGAAGATCCAGGAGCAACGGAGGACAGCGCAGAGCAGACAGCCTTTGCTTGTTGCTAGGATACCCTTTATTCAGTATTATGGGGTGGGCTTTACGATCCTTTTCTACGCTGTCGCATCTCTTTCAGCTGTGTGAATTCCTACGGTAGTCGTAAATTCCCCCCCCCTCCTCGAGAAGTTCGGCTCTTTTTGTTTAGGTAACTTCGACACAAGTTGGATCTTGTTGCGCAGGAATGCGTCCAGATCCAGGGGTTTACTTACCCCCTTTAGGAGATTCTAGGCTGTGCACCTGCAGGGCCTTCTTGTACCGAGTTCATGTGCAACAAACAAAAGCAGTCAGCATAAAACGAGAAAGGACGAGGAGGGTGCTTGACGCCATGTGCTACCGCTTAGTTCTTCTCCAGATCCGTGCCCCACATCCTGCAGTATTTATACAACATGGATGGAGATGAACGGTGCCATGTGATTTTTCCACACAGAAGTTATTAGTTGACCTCTGCTTGAGTGGAAAGTATCATAAAAAGCCCGCCGAGTGAAACGACAGCTGAAGCATGGAACCGATTCCTTTTGCGTTGATGGTGTATTTACCACAGTCATGGCAGCGCGGTTCACCAGACGGGTGGAAAGGCTGACGGAGGAGGTTTAAGAGGAGCCCACATCAGTGGCCACAAGCTGACGGAGCGCTGAGGAAGAAGGGGGAATCTGAGAAATGTGGAGCGCCGAGTCCAAATGTAGGACAGGGAGAAGTGGAGTGATGAGGTTATGAGAGGTAAAGGTAGGAGAAGTAAGGAGGTGAGACGGGAAGATGAAAGAGAGCGGGAAGGGAAACTGAGGTGAAAAATGTCGAAACGGGGCGCCTTGAAAAGGAGGAGGCGTCGATGAGTCGAAAAATAAAAGCTGGGAACAAAAGCTTGAGTGGAAAAGAAAAAAAGAAAGATGGCATTTTATTGATGGCACAGCTGGAAAAAAGGCATCTGTGAAACCTCAGCTGTTGTCGCCGAGAGGTAAACAGCGCGGATATATCACTGCACCTGCAGAGCACTGATAAAAGGCATCAAACACAGACTGCTGAACTTTTGTACTTTACAGATAAGTTCATATCTCAACAAAGAGGTTCATTTTATCTTCAATCGATGTAAAAGTAGAGTTTTTGACACCGCCAATACATAATGATCAACATTTATCAACTAGAAACAGATCTGACAATCACCAACATATCGAAGGACAGGTTTGAGACTTAATCTCGCCAATTTATGAGTTCGTTTTGATGTATTTTTTACTTTTTTCTCATTAATTTATGACCCGTTAGTCTTTCCTTGCATCTCGTTTTTTCTTTCCAACATTAACCCGACTCTTATCCTGACCCAGACGTCGATACTTCCCAGACAATTCAGGGGTTTTTGTGAAACTAAGACGAAATTCCTCCTTTGCTGTAAGTACATACACAAAAGTAAACAAACTGTACACTCCCTCTGCACATTCCTGCAGCTTAATCCAACAGGCCCAACTCTATTCAAATCTCCGTAGACCTGCTTATTACCCCGACTGTTTCTCACAACTGATCCAACCCAATCCTCACATGTTTCAGCGGTGGTCTCGTGTCTCGCGCTCAGATTTATGCTCTTTCATTTCGCGATTACCGTTGTGAAATCGTGATTATTGCGAGGTTACAGATGTCACATCGAAAGAAAGAGTGAGCTGACAGGAACTTGGATGAGAGGTAAAAGAGAGCGCAGCCTATTGTCATTAGGTTTGTAATAAAAACGGAGAGTTTGGTTATGTAAGTCAGACGTCAGCGTCTGTGAGCATGACCTGTTGATGAACTGCATTATGGGAATCCACATGTGAGTGGAAACATGGGAAGGAGGGAGTCAGGAGTTTGTGTATTTCAGGGAGATGTGCAACAATGCGGTCTTTCTATTATTTATACATTTCTAGGCCATGCAGAAGTTCAGACAAAGGACACATGATGCAACGAGTGAATGCAGAGGGACATGGTGAAGCTTGTGCAGTGATCAGTATGGAAACATCGACCTTTAAAATCACAAAAGCAGGCTGGCCTTTTTTGTTTTTTCTTGCACAGGATAATCCGTCCATTCCTGGTCCACACGTAGATTAGCACAATCACACTTCTTGGGGGAATTTACAGTCATCTGGTGGACTAATGTTTGTGTCTTTTTGGGTGGTGTAGACAAAAAAAAAGTTAATTTAAAGAGCCATTACAGTTAAAAATGACAAATCAAGTCAAATTTATAAGCAGTAGATTGTAGTGAAGGACAAAGAGCGAGCATATGTTCCTATTTGCTAATCTGGAGCTTTTACAGTAAGATGATTAGAGGTTTTATATCCCGCTATGTACAAAACAGCTGAAAAAATCCAAAGCTTTTTTTGGAGCGTGTTCACACTCATTTGGCCTCTTTCAAACTAAATCCAAAACAAATCAAGAATCCCTTTTATTTTCTTTGTTTTGTACTTTAAATTTCCAGGTCTTTCTCCGTTTCTCCTATCTTCTATCCATCCCCGATCCAGTTTCAGTCTCAGTCAGACCCTCACCCTCCTTCGTTTCCCCGTTTAGTCTTGTAAGTAAGATCCACGCAGTCGGAGAAAGCACCTGGTCACAGCTGGCGTCTCCTGATCGGTGTCACTCACAGCTAATCTGAGCCGACACAGCTGCTCCCGAAGGACAGCTGACTCCTCCGCCGACAATGGAGGCCGAGCCGCTCCTGACCCACCTGTGCAACACGAGGTAAAGGTAGTCCTGCTCGGGTCGGTGACTCATATCTGCCGCCTTTTGACTGAGGTTGCAAAAGTCTCTTTGGTAATGAAGGACAACAACCTCAGAGAAAAACAGATAAGGTATTTATGTGGTTAAAAATCGAGCGTTTGAATGCAGATTTTGAGTATTAGTCATCCAAGATGTGAAGACCTGCAATGTTTCACATTATCCAGCCTGTTTGTGGGTGTTAACATCAAAATAAAGCTTCAAAATCAAAGTAAAATCAAAGTCCATGAAAGCAAGAGCAGAAAAAAAAACACTTTGGGGAATTTGCTTAAAACTAGAAAGAAGGTTATATTGATTTTTAACTTGTTTCTGTGCAACACCATCGCAGCTTTGCACGCGCAGCCAGGGGCCAGAGAGCAGGACATTTCTTATTTTGTTTACTCGTGGAGTCAACGGAGAAAGAAAATGACAAGGAGCTGTTTTGCTGTAAACTTCACGAATCGGCAAAACAAAACAATCGGCAAACATTGGCCAGTTTAGCCTATATTAGCTTTTGCAGATCGCCTCAAGTGGACACTCCCGGAACTGCAGTTGTTGTGATTTATAAGTACTGGACGTTATGGTTTTGTACAGACTATGTAAAGGGACTTTTAATTTGGATTTTACCTTGTTAGTTGAACATCATATACTCGACAACAACCACAGACTAACCTGCAATACTTCTAGAGTCGAATAATCTAGAACAATCTAGAGTCGGGCTTTCTGCTTCTTCGGTCTTTTTGCCAAGTTTAGCTACAAGCAGCAGAAACTATTGTTGGATTTATCGTGATTGACTCCAGTGTTCCCATTTTGCAAAAGAATGACGATGCTAGAAAACGCTAAACATTCGCTCCAAGCATCAGAACCAGAATATAAGATTAATTGAAGTTGGACAGATGTTTCTTCATCCTCCATGAATACGTCTTTTCAGTCTCTCACTCATTCGTCAGTTTGAACATCTTGAAACGATCCTGTCAGGGATTTATCAAATGTTCCCTTCGTGAAAGTATTTACCCAGTAGCCTGAATATTTGATCCAAACCTCTCAAACAGTTCTGGGGTTTTTTTGGATCCCAGCGGCTGCGTATCGGCGTCAGCCACAGATGTAATTTCCCTGTCACAAACAGTTTTATTTTATGCTTTGGGAACACATTTCGCCGTTTTGTATTTCATTTATGGTAACCAGACCCGGAGAAACGTTCAAAGAGTGCGTCTGTTTTGATCGATGAGGCTCTGTCAGAGGATGTATCAAACCCGAAACTGCCTCTGTAACCGTCCCGCTGCGTAAATTACAGCCATGCATCATAAAGGGAGAACGGGTGGCTTGATGACCTAACGATGGGGTGTCAGGGAGGTCCTGAATAATAAAATTACGGGTTGATGAGTTTCCATTAGGCTTTATGAGGTATTTATATTTATGTGCGCGCGTGTGTGTGTGTGTGTGTGTGTTGTACTGTGGTCTTCCTCAGTTTGATTCAGAGCAGGTTAACCATCTGGCCATAAACTGGTGGTCTTCTAATGGAATTTGTCCCCTCTGTTTATGTGCGTGCGCGTGTGCATGTGTGTGTTGTTTCGCCTCCTGTACAGCTACACTAATAAACCTAATGGCTGTAAAGTCAGAGGTGGGCTTTAGGCCTATTAAAGGGGCGACGCAGAGGGAACGCAGAGTCAGGACCCTCATGATAAATATACATAATGACAGTTAAAACCCTCCCTATGAACTGATCTACTGAACATGTACGTAACGCCGTGATCTGCTCCATCAAATATGATGCCCTAAATTTGAAACCAGTTTGCAGCAGTGGTTGCGTATCTCATTAAAGCCCCGAGGGAGTAAAAATAAAGATTTGATGATGCCATTCATTATCCACAATTAGATTTTAAGTGCGAAGATTAATCACGATCCGGTGACTGCAGCTGTAGTTGTTCGTTCATTGATTGTATCCGAAGTTAAAGTTGTATCCAAGTGTGTTTGTGTGTGTGTGGGTGTGTGTCAGGAATCAAACTTCCTAAATCCAGCCAGACTCTGTGTCTCAAGATGTGACCTAGTTTCATACTACATGTAACCCATTACAGTGAAGAAGTCATATGGAAGTAAGCACACAGGAAATCACAAGTCTGCACAGTTTTAAACTCATAAATCATGAAGTTCAGGATGACGGTTGACTAAGCAACTTTCTAAATGTCACTCCAAAACTGAATATGCAACAAAACGAAGTGTAGATGTCTTCGACTCTGTCTGCAGAAAGGAATAAACCTGTCATACTGAAAACAAAACAGCTTTTTAAATGTGACTAAAGCACCTATATGGGTGAATTACAAAACAACACAATAAAGTGAGGCATGGTAAGATAGGATTTGATTTATGATACGTAGAGATAATCTCACAGCATACCGTCAATAATTGGGTGACCATATTCTGAATCGCCAAAAAGAGGACACAACTACAGTGTTGGAAAAAAGTTTGGAATATTTTCTTCAGTGTTTCGTGCAACGTGAATGATCCTCCAACAAACGTGGCTGAACTGACTCAGGCTGTGATCCAATGCTGGCGAGAAATCCCGGTTGAAACTCTTACCAACCTAGTGACCAGCATGTCCAGACGTGTACGCGCATTGTACAATGCTAGAGGCGGTCACACAAAGTACTGACTGTATTGTTGTTATCGTCCTGTTATGTTTGATGTTGCTTTCAAAGATGGTCCACGTATTTTGTGGCAATTTAAAATTAGAGCCGTTTATTTATTAAATACTGACTCATGATTTTATGCGTTATTTCTATGGCTTTTTGTGAATCATGAGGTGTCCGCCCTACAATTTTTTGAGAAACAAAATAGTTTGATGTGAATTTCAAAAACATATCACAGAGACCAGGGAACATTAAAAAGTCTTTCAATAATTCTCCAGAAAGCAGCAGACCGTGTTAAACACGAGGCTGGGGTTGAATTGACAAATATTCCAAACTTTTTTCCAACACTGTATGCAGGGTGGAGTCAAAAAGTCGCACGTAGTAAATTTTGAGAGTTTTTTGGGTTGGAGTGTTTTTTCGAAACTTCCGTACAAAACCCCGGACATTTGAAGGATTTTATAAACTCCCCCGGACAAGGCCGGACAGCCCTCAAAGAAGAGGACATGTCCGGGTAAAAGAGGATGTTTGGTCACCCTACTCGATAACTACTGCCTCCCTTCCTCTTCAGTCTTCAGTAAAACTTGCGTTATCCCAGTCCTTGTCAATAAAAGGGGAAAGTCACTTTCAGTCCTTTTATCACAGAGAAGTGAAACCTTCTTCAGCCTGGAGTCAACCCTTCACTCTTAAAGATCTTTGTCTCACTTTCAGAAGTGGCTGCTTTATCTCTTAACTTCACCACAGTCTGATATCACGCTGATGTTTCAGAAATTCGACTGTTTAGGGTGTTTGGGAGTTCGGTTTCCTTGGGAACAGAAGTGTGAGAAGAGATGATTGTAGAGGACCCGCTGTGCTCCAGGTCAAATCAAACCCAAAACAATTAAGACAAGATCAGACAGCTTGGGAATGTTTGGCAGCTCAGATCAAACAGAAGAGAAGTTTGAATAACATGTTCTCTGCGCAGTCGCCCCTTTCAGGATCGTAAAGTTTACCTTCATCACTGACTTCATCTTTAAGACGTCTCAAACATCCTATAGAGGCCGGAGTGCTTTCTCTGTTTCTCTGCCTGGAGCTGCTCAACTTCAGCAGGAAAAAAAGGAGAGTGTGTGTTCGTGTGTGTGTGTGTGTGCGCGCAGACACTCAGAAGATTAAAATGTTTCTTCGCTGCCGCTGCGTCTTACAAGAAGATTTCATGTTAAGGGGGGATATAAATAGCCCGTGTTCGCACCATGTGCCTGTTTGGATGCGTTTCAGAATGTTCGGCCCCCCGTGGAAGAGGATGAGGAAGTCTGCCGCTCCGAGACAGATACATCGGTCACTTTTTCGCCAGTAGGTCGAGATTTGGAAGTCGGAAAAAACTCTCAAGGGATAAATCCGGTGACGTGGATAATGAGTCCTGGCTAGCCGTGTTCTGTATTGTAGTAGAGACCTGGGTGAAGCAGCACAGTCTCGCCCTAAGCCAGAGCTAAGCACTCATAATGGGATGTAATAGAATTCCCTGGGTTATTACGCCTGTTTCTGTCCTGTCTGCACAGTATCTCTTGTCTCGTTACTCCTACTCTTCAGTCTCTCGCTCTTACTCTCCTGTTTACTCCACGATGGCCTCCTTCCCAACCACCGCGCTGTCGCCTTCTCTTAGTCTCGCCACATCTCAAAACGCCGCTGTCGGGCCGAGTCAAAGGCTACGGAACTGCGGTCCGACATCAATCCAATTTTAGCCATGGAAGGGATGAGATAACTGTCTTTCTGGACAGCTCTTACGTAAGATGTCTTTCTCTTTGTGGCAATTACTGCGCTAATAGCTCTTCAGAGATCCCTTTTATCCGTCAGGGCGACGATAATAGTCGCTAAAGCTCCGGATGAAACTGGGGTTTGGATTCTCCGAGTCGTTCCATGTGATAGCTTTGCTTTCTCTCCAGTAATTACACATTTTATTGAAATGACAGTGAAAGAGCCGCTCTTAATTGTGTTCTATTGCAGTAATTTGGGGGATTTTTATTCCTATTGGCAAAGGTAATTCTTTGTTTAGACATAAAATCACAAAAACAACATGAAATCTGTCAGCACTCGGGTTAAATAGCAGAGCCACAACGTTGAACGTTGCCCGCTCTGCCCTCTCTGTGATTTGCATCAGAATGAAATCAGAGGTGGTTATTATTCATATAAACTGTAATGAAACCACGAGATGATGTCAGTGGAAAGAAAAGGTTATTTTCCCCGGATTGGGGGGAAAAAACCCAGTTTGGAAATTAGCATCAGAACCCACATGGCACATGGGATTTCCAGGGGCCGATAATAAAGGGGTTTCATGGTTCTAACAGTCTCTGTATTTACCATCTAACTGTTCGACTCTGCTTACATAAGCACAACCTTTGCCAGCTCAGCAGTCACTCAGACGGCCTTTAAAGAAGCGGGGAGGTATGCAGATTAATGCAAATGAGGTTGCCATGGGGTCTGTGGTGGTGAAACCGTGGTAACGGGGAGTGGAATGAGGTTAAAGAGGGCCGAGGGCTCGGGGAGGAAGCTCCCGACTCAAAATGCCCTCTGGTGTTTGTTTACACACTGCGGTGGGTTGTGGGTTGTGGGTTGTTTGAGGTAAAACCATCAATCGCTGAGGCATCTTCTGGAAAGCCTATCATCGGTGTCATGATAACGAAATCCAGACGTTCAGAGGCTACGTATCTGCAAAGTTAAACTGCTGTTTTAGTTGACATTTCCCAAATGTTTTGGTTGAGAAGGCCATGATTTAACTTCAGTTTAACCAACATGTAAATATTCATATCTCATGTTAGTAAAAGCCGTATAATCCTCACAAGATCTTGGAGTGATTGTTGATACTGAACTGTATTCAAACAAATGGACTTATCTGTCTTTGGTACACATAAATCTAACTGGTCGAATGATCCAGTGGTATGTGGTGACCCATCCATATCGGTCAAGAGTTGACCCTTGACTTCAGCTGTCAAAGGCTGTGAGTGTCACTGAGAGTGAGCCAGTAAAAAGCCTCACCAAGAGTTTGAAAATAAACATCTAACAGGAGATACTTGTAACCGTCTGAGTCGCCTCTCATGGACTCCTGCTACATTAGCTCCCCCCTTATCATGATGTGCCATTACAAACATGCTTCACTAACTGTTTTCCTGGCATTATTCACAAACTCCACACGGTGTTCATAAAGGTTATCTGCAACGCAACATTTCCAGCAAGTTTCCCGGACATAAACAAAAGCCCGGAGTCAATCCATCTCCAAATGTCACTAATCTTTTGTTGTGTGTCGCAGTGAGTTGCCACCTCACTCACACACACACTGGCAGTAATTAAGGGTGGGGACAGAATATAAGCCCACAGCTTTGATTTCCTGGGATTAAACCCAACTGGTTGCCAGATTGCCATTCTTCTAGCCTAATCAAAAGATTAAGGGCAGAGGACACCAAAGCATTGACAAAACAAATAAGCTGCGGTTTGATGGTTATTTCACACTGGAGAAGACGCAGGCAGAGAACAATATGCTGCTATTATGTAATATTTAATTTTAATATATTGGTTTTAACATCCAAAATGCTTCCAAACTAAAAACAGTCAATCGGACTTAGGGGTGAGTAATACGGCTTAAAACTTATCATGTTTTTTATCTGCCAATACCAATATTAGACTACAGACAAGTGAGTTAAAACAATTTTCCAAGCTGCCGAGAAGTGATTTGCCGATATCAAAATCAAGTTTGCCTGAATGTCGATGTTAACAGACACTCTGACACGAGGAGGAGGAGGCGGTGCCATTTGGTTAGTGAGCGTGGCTTTGCTCTGCAGTGTCAGATGGAACAATTTATCTCGTTGGAAGTCACAAATCACTGCGTTACACAACTTTTTTACCGACCAGTGTGGCCCCATCTGTAAATCTGTCTCACTAAAAAACAGAACACATTGCAAAATCCATGTAACAGCAGTATGTGCATCTTATGGTGGTTTCTTTGTCTCCACTGAATTACTCTTAAAACTATCAGATTCTCCTTCGATGCTCTCAAAATGACAATTACATTTGAATAATGAGTCAACTTGTTATTTATAAATCCAGTCAACACATTATCTGTTATGTACGTCTTCACAGACGCACTCACACAGACACATTTCCAGCCTGACGCACGCAGCTGCAGGCTCGCTAAGGTGTCCGCTGACCCTGCAGCTGTGGTGACGCAGAGCTGAGGGGACAGCGGAGAGATGCATCACTTTGCCGGACAGGACGTGTGATAGCAGCGAGACACACGTCTGTGTCACTGTCTGCTGGGAAACTATAAATAAACAACTTATTTCCCTGTCAGCCGCTCCGTCTCTCCCACTGAGGACCCCAACAGACGGATCGATAGATAGACATGAGAGATGAACACTGGTGTTCAATTTCCACTCAATCGACATGAACGGCCCCAGCTGACCTCTGTGTTACCTAAAGAAGACAGCAGTGGGTGTAATTACATACAAACATGCTGTGGTTATTGTGTGTAATTAGATGAAGTCGATAGTGATTATGCATCAACTTGCCTCTGTTTAATCCAGACAGTCTGATTGATTTGTGGTGAGAACAGGAGAGGAGAGGAAATGAGGATCAGCCGAGATGCAGGAAAGAACTGAGCTTACTTTGTGTGTATATGTGTGTATTTGAGTGTGTTTGTGTGTGTGTGTGTGTGTGTGTGTGTGTGTGTGAAGAATCTGAATCTAATATGGAAAATTGGAGAATGTTTCCAGTAACAGAGAAAATACTGTGTTCTGTCTGTTTATCACTGTATCTTTGTACTTTTACTTAAAGATAAGAAAGCTGTTCAGGTGGACGTTTCCACTGCAGAAACTCTCCCAGGGAACCGAGAACCTTTTAAGGCTTGTAGTACTTTCTGAAACATTATACTGAAAAGTTTTGCTGTAGCAAAAAGAAGTGGATATGGTTCTGGTATCAGTATTTAAAGCTCCTAAGAGAGTTACAACAGTATTTGAAGCCTATGCCAACACTGGTATCAGTATTTGGACCAACATGAGTACTGGTATCAGGAAAAACAGACCAACACCACAACTGTTATCAGTATTTCTGGCTTATACAGATACTGGTATCAGTGTGGTATCAGAATTTGAAGCTGATAGCGGCACTGGGGTTAAAAAGTGAGACCAAACCTGATACTAGTATCAGATCTTAGATCCTTACTCATAGCAGTTATCAGAGAAAGGGACCAGTACCAAAACTGTTACCAGTATTGAGGCCGATACCAATACTGATATCAGTTATGAGGCCCAGTGCAGAAACTGGTACCACTATTTGAAGCTGTTATCAGTTCTGGAGTCAGTTTTTGATGTTAACACTCATAGTGCTTTAAGGAATTCTGATACTGATATTGAAAATTTGAGGCCGATACTGGTACTAGTATCAGTATTTGAAGCTGAGTGCAGCACTTGTATCTGTATTTGGACCAATATGGATACAAGGGACCAACACCACAACTGTTATCAGTGTTTCCTGCTTATACAGATACTGGTATCAGTGTGGTATCAGTATTTGAAGCTGATAGCGACACTGGGGTTAAAAAGTGAGACCAAACCTGATACTAGTATCAGATCTCAGATCCTTACTCCTGCAGGTATCAGAGAAAGGGACCAATACCAAAACTGTTACCAGTATTGAGGCCGATACCAACACTGATATCAGTTATGAGGCCAATACCAACACTGATATCAGTATTTGAGGCCCAGTGCAGAAACTGGAATCAGTATTTGAAGCTATTATCAGTACTGGAGTCAGTTTTTGATGTTAACACTGGTAGCAGTTTCAGAGATTCAGGCTGATCCTGATACTGATATTGCAAAGGCCGATACAAAATCAATATCTGTGTCTAAGGTTGATGGCACTGGTATTTATGTTTGAGGTTTTTAATGGTACTGGTATCAGTGAAGCTGAGTGCAGAAATTGGTATTGTAAATTAAAACAGATATAAAACCGTTTTTAGTATAAAAGACCAATACTGGTACTGATATCAGTATTTAGTGCAGATACCGATACCGGTTTTGGAAATTATCAACTGGTATCCATACCTAGACCCTTACTAATAGCAGTATTTATTTCGAACTGGCACTAACAGTTGTATCACAATGCTGGTATCGGTAATTTAGGCTAATACGAATTCTGATATCTGTATCTGTACAACTTGATAACTGCTGCCTTTCCTCTTCTTAAGATGAAGGTTTGTTCAGGTCAAGAGGTTGTTTTTCAAAAGAAAGACCAGGATGAGGATAGTATACATAAAAGTATCACTCAGCACACATGTTCAGTGTGTCTTTGTACGTGTGTGGTCGATGTCCAAGGGCCTGTTACAGCCACTCAGCAGTCTTGTTCCCGCTGCAGCACCAAACCGAGCTTCACTAAACTATTATGCTGGCATAATACACAAAAGGGTGATAAATATTTAATCCACTAAAACCTCCTCAAGGCAAAATCTCCTCCAGCAGTTTTGTATTTGACTCAGATGATTTCTCAAACGGCCCTGTTACTTCACATTAAAGGAGAATACGTTCAGCGCCGAGTAAAGACCCGGCTGAGCCTTTTCTGGTCGTCACCGAGCCTCGATTGGCTCTGATGCCGACGCCTAAGAAGCTGAATTCACCTGGTCAACGTCTGAGCGTTGTTTGGACTTTGAAGCTGTCCTTTTAAAGTGTAATCCATTTGGCACCTTAACTTTCACACTCAGCATGGGTCGTCTCCCTTTGAGTACAGAGTAACACTGCGCCGTTAGCACACATAGAAACATTGGAAAAAACATGTCCCGCTGTCTCTAGAGTACAATCCCCCGTACACGCACACGCACTCACGCACGTACACACCAGAGAGTGCGTGGGAAGGTGAGGAGCGTTCTCTCCCTCAGAGCGGGTGCCATGTCTTGTCAGATGGGGTTAGCTCCCCGCCAGCTGATGAGCCAGGCGAGCCTTTGAAGGCCTTCCAGGGGCCCGTGGTTTACGTGCCTGGGTTGCCAGGTTCTGCCATCCCCCTCATTAATGCAGCATGGGCGCCCACTTAACTTTTTCATCTCTGTCGCTCCGGTCAGTTCGCCCTGGCCGTGACCGAGCGCTGGGCAGCCCAAGCAGAGGAGGAATATATAGGCGCACTGGCGTGATATCGCACACAGTGAAATCAGTCCCAACTGTAGGGGTTGTTAGCCTGGCTAACTCTTCTCAACAAGTACCTTAAAGGGATATTCCGGAAAAAAATTAAGTTACGGTCAAACACACCGAGTTTGACACCCCGTCGAGAGATCAGTGTTACTGACTGCTTACTTCTCTAGTTACACCAACTTTAGTAACAACCGTACGATAGCAATACACAGTGGTCTATGTCTCCACACGCCAACCTCAAACAAAACGCCACTCTATAGCCACAAATAATGCTCAGAACAGCACCTAACTTCATCAACAGGACATATAGGGTCACAGACATAGTACTAGACACCAAACATCTTTTTAACTTTGACACGTTTCTTTAGCAAAGAGACTAAACACAACTCACCTACTCTCCTCCAGCAGCCACTTGTTTGTAGCGAGACCTCGGGCAAGTCCGTTACGGACTTCTATGGGGTGACGCAGCTCAAGGAAGAACATTTATGATCATTACTTTATCATTTTCTTTAAGTAATAATCAACATATTAATGAATTTGCACTGCAGACGCAGTAGCTCTTCTGTCTTAGCGTCTCGGTCTGATTGCATTTCCATCTCTGGAGGGGGTGTCTAACTCAGTGTTGCGGTGTGTTTGACCCTAAATTGATTTTATGCCAGAATATCCCTTTAATGCTCCTTTGAATAAACACAAAGTATTCCTTTTAACTGGCGACCTCTTCTTTTGCAGTTTTAAGTGGAACTTCAGTTAATCTACAAGCTCGAAATCATTTTTCCTTTCACCAAAGTCTGAGAGTCTTGCCTTTTTCCCCCCTCCTTTCACATCCCTTTCCATTTTTTCCTCTTTCCCTCCTTTTTTCGAGTTTTCATGTTGGCCTCAGTCAGTTTTTTCTTTGTCAGGATTTCCCCCAGATTTTCTGAGCCGGGTTAACAGAGATGTTTTCCTGTGATGAATTAGACTTTCTGGAAGGGGTGAGGTCAGATTTCATGGACTTTGAGTTGGGTGTTGGTGAAAAAGAAAGGAGAGAGAGAGAGACTGTTTGGACTGTTTCTGCTCTTTCTTCAACATCTTGAGGTAATTGACCCAACCTCCTGCCTTGAGCACACAAACTCAAGCACACACACACACATACACACACACACACACACACACACACACATACAGTGCGATCACAGATGGGTTTGAAAATCCCCTCTCTGGCAGAAACCCTCTCACTTGCTCTCCCACTCGTATACATACACTCAGCCATGCATCCCTATCTTGAGCATATAGGCACTTATTCATACTCAGCACACATATACACACATGGCTGAGAGAATATCCATGTCTCTGTGCTAAAACACAGCGATACAGCTGTGAAAAGGAGATGAAAGCCAGAGCCGAGCCAGGAATAATAAAAGCAGAGTGATTTCACTCCACCGCAGGCTTCCATAGGCCATGGGATCTGACGTGAAAACAGAAGGGAAGCCTGGACCTTTCTAACCATACAAATTTACCAAAGCTACTTTGATGTAGCAAAGACCTTGGAGTCAACAGCTTGAAAGCGGGCTTTGCTCTAATTGTAACTTTCCCGGCAGTATCAGCCCGATGCCCAGTGTAAATATCTACACGTGCCGTCTATTTTTAACACGAGCCATCCTAAATCTAGCAGAAACCCCTTTTAACAGAGAGCCGGGCTCCACATGAGCCGCCTGCACCTCCTCGGTTTGCTCCAAAAACAAGTGTCCTGCCTCGACCCCCTTGTTGACCCAGTCCCACCCACTGCCACATACTGGGAGCTGACACATATAGAGAGACGGACACAGACTAGAAATGCATTTTTTCCGTAGAAGCATATTGCTGTATCTAAGAAATGTGAAAGTGCTTTTCCTACCGCTGGTTTTCATTCACGTTGTCTCACATTCAGGGGATAAAGCTGGCAGCTTTTTCTATTTTTTGTTGCTCCTAACAAATCCCATGAAAAGACCAAAACCGAAATGCACAGTCTGACTCTCCATCAATACTGTCTGACTTCCTCAGCCTCTTTGAAGCTCTCAGCCCCCAAGCCTAATGTTCTTACCGAAGCGTTAGTGTATAAAAGTGTCTCACAAATACTACATGCATGCACTTATAAAAATCCTGTAATGCGCGGAAGCCTGAGTTATCATAATAGGAGTAAAAGCATGTGTTTGTCGGAAACTATTTTAGGCTGCAGATTGGACACGCCGGGTACTCTGCGGCGCAACAGTGAGGCTTTGTTAGATAATATACGATAAACATCAAGATTTTGTCGCACAATTGATCGTTTGTTTTGGATTTAAAGTGGAGTCAACTGCTGCAGGGAAACAAATGGAAACCAAAAAAGATTTATTTTTTTAATACGAGCAAACTGAACATGCATTTGTAGGTGAATGTCATGAATGTGTGATTGTGGTCAAGAGGCAAGCACAGCAGGCAGGCAGGCCATTCAGGGACAACAACATTATTCCGTCAATATGAGAGTACAGAGAGTGGTGGTGAACAGCAGCCTAGTAGGGGTGGGAGAAAAAAATCAATACAGCATAGTATAGTGATATTTTGTCTGGTGATATATCATATCGCCTCATTTACCAAGTATCGAGTTTTCAAATTAATTGCTAATATGAAGTCAAATCTATGATAATAGAAAAATAAAAATCAACTGTTTGTCCAGTGAGGTTGGCAGAGGTGACATCATAGATCAGGAAAAAGTTAGTGCAACAAATATATAAAAGGTTTGCAAGATGTGCAACATGAAAATAAAATTAGGTGTAAATGAGACAAACATAAAGGAAAATGAAATGCTAAATTAACTTAACAGTTTAAAAAAAAGCGTATAAAGCGCAATATATTTGATCGCAATACTCAGTGTATCGCAAAATGTAAAAAAAATGCAATGATATCGTACCATGGCCCAAGTATCGAAACAATATTGTACTGTAGCCCAAGTATCGAAATAATATCCTATCATCGTCCAAGTATCATGATAATAGCATATCGTGGCTCAAGTATTGTGATAATATCATATAATGACCCAAGTATCTTGATAGTATCGTATTGTGGCCCAAGCTCAAGTATTATGATAATATTGTATTTTGGTCCACATATCATGATAATATCATATTGTGGCCCAAGTATCATGATAATATCGTATCGTGGCTCAAGTATCATGATAATATCCTGTCATGGCTCAAGTATTGTGATTATATCGTGGCTCAAGTATTGTGATAATATCGTATCATGATAATAATGTATTGTGGCCCAAGTATCGTGATAATATTGTATAGTGGCTCAAGTATTGTGATAATATCATATTGTAGCGTAAGTATCATGATAATATCGTATTGTGCTAATAATGTATTGTGGCCCAAGTATCGTGACTAATTGTATTGTGGCTCAAGTATTGTGATAATATCATATCATGACCCAAGTATCGTGATAGTATCGTATTGTGACCCAAGCTCAAGTATTATGATAATATCGTATTTTGGTCCAAATATCATGATAATATCATATTGGGGCCCCAAGTATCATGATAATATCGTATCGTGGCTCAAGTATTGTGATAATATCGTGGCTCAAGTATCATGATAATTTCGTATCCTGATAATAATGTATTGTGGCCCAAGTATCGTGATAATTATGTATTGTGGCCCAAGTATCATGATAATATCGTATCGTGGCCCAAGTATTGGGATAATATCGTATCGTGGCCCAAGTGTCATATCGTGGGGTCACTAGTGATTCCCACCCCTACAGCCGAGTGGGCACTAACTGGGATTCACTAAAAAAAGAGTGAATGTGCAAGACCACCTATTTTTTAACCAATTTTTTATGTTTCATCACGTATATGTGAGGAAACAGGATTTTGCTGCGATGACAATTGTTCCTCCAGCTCCATTTTGCAGCCTAAAGATGTGTTTCCAGTGCATTTGATTTTTCATGCAACAATCATAACCTCTGCGTTTTATGGTTTTGCTTAACAGGGTGGGGTTCAGAGATATTGTTTGGCATGCAGACAGTCCTCTCTGTCCCTATTTTGCTTTAATTTAATCTGTTTTTGCACATTTTTTTGGGAAGCTTAAAGCTAAATGTTTTAGAACCGCTGGGAATCGTTGGAATAGCGATGGTGAGCGGTGCAGCCACAAGTACGGAGAATACTTGGAAAACTGGCTGAACTTTTTCAAGAAAGTTTGACCAGGTCGGTCAGTAATCCAGTGAATCTCTTGGCCACTGTTATGTTTTTAAGAGAGGAAACGATGTGAACATGACTCACATTTCAAATGTAGCATCAAATTTTGTAGGATTGCAGTTGTTTTCCTCTCCAATATTAATGGAGTTAGTTCCTTTTTCCAAAAAGTCATAAAACTATCAGAAAAACTTTAAACAATGTGAGGCTGGGTTCACTGCGGCGTGCTGCAGAGGCAGAGTGGTCAGTAATGGACAGATGGGGACGGGACTCTTTGGAGCTCAGTGGAATACAAAGAAGAACCAGTTGAGGTCAGGACCTTTGCTCGACTTTCATTCTGCTTTATTTGTCCAGTGAAAAAATGATAAGATAACTTTCAAGAGAGCCGAGATGACAGACGGATCCGCTTTAAAATGAAATTGTTGCACATTTTATAACAGAGGGATGCAATAAAATAGGAAAAGCGAGGGAAACAGGGAGCAGAGTGGAATTGAATGAGGGAGTGGCCCTGGTGGTTGGAAGTGGGTCACAGCGGCACTGACGTGATACAAAGTGACGTGCAGGGAGGGGGGTAACGGACTCGCGCCACCGTCTGCGTCACCTTTTGTCCCGCGTGCACGCAAACACACACCGGTGGAGTTGCACATTAAGAGCTCTCTCATGCTCTTGATTCATTGGGTAAACAACACTTGTGCAGGGGTAAAAATAGCTTCCTTGTGCATTGTAAGGACAAGGTTCCCCCCCTGAGTGAGTGTGTGTGTGTCTGCGTCTCTCTCGGTATTGTTTACTGCTCGGTTGGACTCTGTTGTATTCACTTTATCAGCACTGAAGATCGCATTCAGGTTATGCATAAGTAATAAAGGCCTCTCCCCGGGTGCTTGTTATATATAAAAGGAGTAGACTGTAATTATTTCACCGAGGCTGTGCGATGCTCTGTACGATCTGTAGCTTCTCCTTCAGCTTGTCAGAGGGGAGAATGTGAAGCCTGAGGGATGGAGGATGGATAAAAGGATGGAGGAATGGCAGGGGGAGACAGGGGAACAGTTTAATTGCCTGACCCCTCTCTCCCACCAGGATGACTCCCCAGAGCCGGGTGTTAAAGAGAGGGTGACGGCTGGATTCTTGCCGCAGATCCCCGCGGCTCTTTGCATGCGTGCTGCGTGTGTGTGTGTGCGTTTTAGGGAGGGGGGGAGGGTGTCGGGGGCGTTTTTCTGCATGTTCCCACGGCAGATCTGCACATATTTAAGCAGGACCACTTAATCTTGTCATGTGTGATGCAGGAGTGATGCGCTCTGAGATTTAACATAACCCCCTGTATAACACATCAAAGGCTTAATGATGGGGAGAGGGAAGGAGACGTTGTGGTGGAGACTCAGGCTGATAGGAGGAGACCAGCTCTCCTTGTCAAATAGAGCCCGTCTGAGCCATATATCAATATTTATCTTTGATTTTTTTTATCTGGAATTTTTCTTTAATTAGTTCTGAGGAGATAAAAAATAATCCTGACAGACTCCGATGACTTTTGAGTTTATTGGATTACTCATGGCTTGATCTCAATCTCTGTAAATAATCTAAATATCTACATCGCTGAGGGAGGAGGGGGAAAAAAGCAGTGAACATTCATTTCCCGTCCGTCCTGTTTTCTTTTTTGCTTTCTCTCTCCAGCTTCTTTCTTTGTTGTTTGAGTTTGCTGGCGATGACTGAAGGGCCCGAGGAACCTTCAACCTAATCGGATTGAGATCTGGCTGCAGGTCAGGCCAGCAGATGAATCCAGATTAGAGGGTCACAAGGCAGAAAGAGAGGATTACCAGCTCTGGCCTCTGCAGCCTCCTCCTCTTGTTTAAACAGCCGATTGACAGCACTGTCTGCACTAGCCTTGCTGTAAAGTAAAAGGTCTAGATATGGAGAGGACCTACAGGACCTGCTGAGTGCTGCCGTCACTCACCTCTGTTTACCCTGCAGGTCTCTGGAGCAGGCGCAGATTCGTATCTCGGAGAGATGTCAGATTCGGTCGCAGATTAAACCCTTAAGTGCATGCCATGCCTTTAAAATCTAAAATACATCTAGCTATGCAACGGGGAGACGCTGGGTCCTGAAGTCTACCCATTTATTTGTCATTTATGGTAACCGTTTTGGACACAGAGTCTTTGCAATCCCCCCAGAAAGCCAGTTAACCATATGTTCAAGACAGTATTCTCAGGCAGATATCTAGCCGCATGTGTTAACCTGGTTTCTCTAATCTGTTAACCTGGTTCTGTAAACTGAGCTTCTTGGTTCACATAGTTTTGACTTGCACTCGTACTTTGCTTTATATTCAAGTATAATCCCTCTTTGCTGAATCCAGGAATTTGTTTTTAACACGTAGAACTTCGCTGGATTGCCGGGAATCCCACTTGACACCATTAAAGTTTCTTTACCGTGTATCTGTACGGGGTAAAGGGTGCTCAAAAACGTACCCTTTTGGTGATCTATCGAGGGTTTCCAGGCATTTCTACACCTGCCACAAAAATAGGTGTTTGATCAGAGATGTTAGATGGTAAATCCGCAGTGATATACCAGTGAAAACAAGATTATTTATCATATTGTTATGATAAATGCCGCTAATGTCTTCCGGGTTTGATGAGCTGTTTTGACGACGTCTTTTCCTGTCAAACTTTCGACCAAGTATAAGGTCTCATATTCTTCCTCTATTGTTCCCTTGACGGTAGTGTCCAATAAGAGGCAAGAAAGTTCCCTGCTTGTCTGCAAACTAAGAAATAATGGTCTTCAATGCTTGGAAATGAGCAAATAAGAGATTCTGAGCAGAATGAAGTGGTCCTCTGTCTCAGGAGTAGCAAAAACAACTGTAAATAGTAAAAAATCGCCTGGAAGAATTTGTGTAAATATGTTAAAAAGATTCTGTTATGTGTTTGTTCCAATCTCAATATTTCTTCTCCTGATAGCCAAGACATAAGAGACTCATGTGCAGGTGAGAAAAGGCTTGGTCACTGTAGATTTATGTGTTTTTTGAGCGAAGTACTGTTGGTGTCGATTTCCGTTTTTGTTTTTTGGTTGACTTTGATGGTTCTGAATCTACAGCCACATTCATTTGACATATTTTTTGCACCTATAAACTGACAGCTGAGGTTGTCTTTAATAAAAAAAAAGATGTGTATATATTTGCTGCGCTTGAAAGGATAGAGTTGCTACAAACAGGCGGACCAAAAATAGCAAAATCTAGCTGGGAGTTCTAAGGGTTAAATCGTGTATTTCTGCAGAATGGCGCCCTCCTCTTGCATGAATCACACAGGCCGTGCAGACTTGTGAGGGTCAGTCCAGCATAAACAAACTAAGGTCAGTTACCCCACTGATGCAACAAGCTGCAACGCTATATATGTGTGTGTGTGAGAGGGAGTGTGTGTGCTGCACCCTGCAGCATCGACTCCTCATCTGCATCCCGACTCAGCCCCGCCGCATTTATCAGCAACCCTCCCAGTCGGCTTTATTATAACTCCCCATCACTCTCTCTCTCCGCTCCATCTGTCTGCTCTTCCCGTTTAGAAAACAAAATAAAATAAATGTGTGTGTGCGCAGTGGTATTCTCCTTGGTTAGCTGCCGGAGCGCCGCTCTCCTGCGCGTCTCTTCTTCTTTGATCTCGCTGTAAATTAAACATGCCTCTTTAGATAACAGGCTCTGTGCCACCTACTGATTCAAACTGCACCTCCACTCCTGTCCCCGGTTTGAACTCCGTCAAGTTGATTCATGCGAAAGCGGAAAGCTGATAAACAACGGTCGGGGGGAATCTCTGCGGAGCAATTAGGCCACAGTTAGATTGTTTGGCGGGCGTAAACAGTACGGAGACAGTTCTGCAGAAAACGTGAAACAAAACACGGATGTCTGTTTTTGCAATGAGCGAGTGAGTCAAGAGGGATTGTGGGCCAAACTGGGGAGCAGCTCCGGTGAAGTCTGGAGGTCGGAAGTTAGGTCAAGCACTGCTAATCTGGGTGGGAACGCTGAGTGCTTGACCTTTGACATCAGGGTACAACTAGTTTTTACGGCACATGAGGACTTACACATGGTGGATAGATTTGAAGAGAAAGACCGTCATGAGTCAGCAGTTTTTGATAAAAGCAGGTTAAATCCACTCTAAAGATCAGCTGATTCACCTGTTAGTCACAGAAAAATGAAAGGAATCTTAGGAATGTGAGTGAAACGGCTGTTTGGAGAGGTGAAAGTTTGCAGGTTTGTGAAATTTGAGTTTGAGATTTGGAGCATCAGGGATGTTTTTCTATTAATTGACAAACACGTAGATAAATCAGTGTAGATGTATCATCAACAATCAGGACGTATTTGAGTTTTATTGAGAACTCTTTCTCTGGTTGGGGTTAGGGTTAACTCAGGTTCAGGTGAGAGTGCTCTACTAACTAAGCAAAACATTACCGCTAGCATCGGCATGAGGGTGTGAACCTTTTAGGAGGACCATTAGTGCTAACAGAACATAAGCCACACTTGGCATTATTTACCCACAGACTCAGTGACTCAGTCTTTCGATTGGTTAGATAGATTTTGCTCAATTTTGACTGTTTTCTAACCTTTAGACTTGTTGCTTCGTCAAGATTAAAATGTCCTTTTTTCCCCAATATTTTTATTGGCATTTTAGTTTTATTACAACATCAAACAGACAGTCTACAGGAACACACACACACAGTCTACTTTTTTTTTTTTTTTATGTTTTTATTTTTTCCTTTGTAAAGCATCTTTGAGCACCTGTAAAAGTGTGTTATAAATAAAATTTATTATTATTATTATTGTTATTATTATTATTATTACCTGCATTAATTCAGAAGTAAATAGGAAGTAAAGAGAGAGAATAAAAAATAAATAAAATAAATAACATCGATCTTACATTTTCCAAGACGATGTCTACTGTCCAGCTCCTATAATGTTTATATCTAGATTGGCAAAATCTTGATTTTCCTTTACTAATATATGTCAGTCTATCCACACCAAGACATTGTGCAAGTTCCTTAATCTATAGCGTCAGGGAGGACGCCTCCAAGCTCCTCCAACACAATGCGAAAGACCAAAGTCCAGTAACTTGGTCAGCCTTTGTGTTTGTATGAAGTCCACTGGTTAAATTCCAAGTACACAGTTTAAAATTTCCTTTAAAGTGATTTTAAAATAAGTCATTTTAGAGCCTCCTTAGCCACAGATACTTTGCACTCAAAACTAACTTCAACTTTTAAGTTAAAGGATGTGCTTTTTCCAGATGAGACAAACTTCAACTGCATTTCTGAATGAAAGAGGAGAAGTTGCACATATTTCAGCTTTAGGGTCGGGGTGTAGGGGTTAAATCAGGGCGTGAAACAACTACTTTAGTGGATAGATTTATGGCTCTGTAAAAGTGCAAGCCAACTTTTGTGCACCGCTCGATGTGGTCCTTTTACTGCCCGCCTGTTTTTTTACTCAAGGTCTTTGAAATGCTAATCAGTTTTCTTTCTTCTCTCTCTCTTTTTTACAGATTCCTCCTCCAACTACATCAGGCAGCTGGAGACGAAAGTGCGGATCCTGGAGGACGATAACAATAAGCTTCTCTCACAGGTGAGACAAACACTAACCGATGTAGTTTAGCCTCGCTAAACGCAACTCGTTCAGCTTCCAAACATGTGACAGGCAGCTGCGATGAGACCGAGTGGTTGTGCCTGATGCCTCTGTGAAGCTGCCCCCTCACAACAGCCAGCCTGTTAGTAGGAGAATATGTTTATCTATGTTTTATTCATGGGGAGTCAGTAAGCTTCTGTAGCGGGCGGTGATGTTAGCCCCCGAGGCGAGCTGTGAGAGCAGAGGAGAGACGAGAGGAGGAAAAAGGAGGAGAAAGAGGCATTAAGCGACGATGACAGAGCAAAGTATTTTTCCCAAAGTTGACCTTGCTCTGACTTCCCCCCTCAAATTTTTTGGGGAGGATGGAGAGCTGGGTGAGCGGAGGTGGGAGTAAGAAGGAGGAGGAGAGGGTAGGGGGGTGGATTTTTTTTTGGTCAGGTTCACCAGGAGTTCACGTGTCAGTCTGCAGAGGTGTGTGTTTCACGCTCACGCCCGCAGACAGTGGACTCGGGGCAGAAATGTTAGCTGAAACACCGATTGGTCATGTTCGGGGTCATACTGTGGAGCAGTCACAGCCATGCCTCCTTAATTACGGGTAAATATACGTACATGATCAAAGCCTTTCATACTTCAATTTTCCCTTTTATGAAATGTTTCAGTTCATTTGAATGCAAGTCAGGCCGCAGACAGTGGAGTTAGACTTTCACACTTTAAACAGCTTTTTGATTCAAAGCCTTTATTCTTTTTTTTAAGTGATTTCACTTCGCCCAATTATCTCCCAGCAGATTTCTATGTAGGCAGAGAGTGTGGGCTGAAATCACTGATACAGAAACCTAAGTGATCTGCATAATTAGCCCTTACATGCTACACTTAAGGTGCTACACAGCAGGCAAGACGAATAAAACAAGCCTTCCTCCTGGGCTATTGTAATAGTCCGTGTAGCCTGTTTTTGGGGCAGTAATACGTTACTGAAGTGAAGTTTTACTCCTGATTTTTATCATATTTTAATTATAAACCTCCTTGAAACGCTTTTAAGACCCTGTTTTTACAGTATCTTGATGTTATTCATGGCTCCCACGAGACAAGAACCTGATACTGAACCAAAACACATGATGTCTTTCTCTCCCTAGGCTCATAACCGCTATAGTTTATCACAGATACAGACCAAAAAGGTAACGTGATGAAATGTCTCCTGAAATGTTTTGTTGACTCTTCTGCTGGTCAGTTGGTTGAGCCTCTTTTGCACTTTTCCTTTTCCTCGTATCTGTTTTGGTGATGGGACTTTTTTTCACAGCTTTGAGCTTGTTTTCTATCTCACAAGCAGAGGATGGGCACAACCAGAGCAACATCTGTACAAGGCAATGCACTCATTTCCTGTTGTGATCCATCGTGTAATTGCGCCGAATGATATCGGTACTATGTCGAGCTAGGTCGGCTCTTAGAGACTATTAAGAGATGTTCGCGATTTACTACTTACTACTTAGTCGTGCTGTCGCCTTGGTTGATTACCACAGCTATAATGCCTACGACCGGGATGTAAACAAGGCTAGCTGACAGGTAGCCTCTCGTAGAATAACACGGTTTAAAATTCCTACTCCTCTTTACTTTGTTAGTACCTTAGTACACGCTATTGTTGTGATTACGTGGGCTCTGCATGCTGGATCCAGGCGCTGCTTGATAGAGGTGCTGGAGCGGAGTCTGGAATGGACTGCTTGTATCACAGTGCTGATACCCGAGATTTTAGATGCAGGCCAATAATATATATATATATTTTTTTTTTTACCAATATCAGACCAATAAACGATATCAATATCGGATCCCCGGGACATCCCTATTTACTAGTGCTGTCGCCTTGGTTGATTACCACAGCTATAATGCCTACAACCCGGATGTAAACATGCCAAGCCACCAGGTAGCATCTTGTAGAATAACATGGTTTAAATTTGTATGCAGGCTGCATCAAGTTAAACTGCCTCTACTGCACTGATTTCTTAACCAGTTTACCCCCAATTTCCACCACATCCAGAACTGCTACGAAAAGGCCGCATCTGCCGATCGCAGCGAATCGTAACCATTCAACTGTCAATTTCCACCGGCTTCTTTTCGTTCCGCTGCTGATCACAAGAGTTCTATTTTTTCCGGACACTGTAGGATGCCGGATAAATTCAGCACAGATTAACCCGTGCTGGAAAGGAAGTCAGGTACAGACATACAAGTCTCGAGGAAGGACATAATCTACTGCTTATATGGTTAGCATATGTGGCTAAAGACAACTTGTTATCGCACGATTGCACGTGAATCCCCGGGTTCTTGTGAATTCTCGCGATTCCTGCTGTTTGTAATCCACCGTGAAATGCGCCTCACAAACAGATCCGGTTGGAATTGGCGTACGGCGAAAATTGCTGCCGTTCCGGATGCGGTGGAAATCCTGGGTTAGACATGTGGACATGAACCTGCAAGGCTGTGATGCTAACTCTGTTGAATTAGAATAAATAAATCTCAAATTTTACTATTTTTTGAGACAAAATCTAAATTTCTGTTCAAAATCTATGAAATAAGAGGCTTCGACACGCCCCAAATACTGTTTATGAAATAGTGTAAGACTTAATGTATTGGATGGGCTCATTCCTCAAATTTCTACACGTATGATCATTGCCACCTGGTGTTTTGTACATCAAAATAGTTTGTTTCAACACTGAGCAGAATCAGCGTAAGCCCGGAGGAAGTGAACTACATTCCCTTGCAGAAGTGTTGCCTCTGTGTCCACTCCCTGTTCTGCACTGCTAGCATGCCAGGCTAACAAAAGAGCACAGGTGGCCCTGCCTGTATGTGGCCGATCTTGGCAGCAGGGCCTTTTTCTCTGTCCTTGGAGCTTTTTTCGCACAGCACAGTGAGTGTTTGGTACAAGTTTACCTCAGGTGAATGAATGAATGCTGCATTATGCTGGTTTGGTGCATAAATGACACACGCTTGTCCTCACTGGTTGGGCTTTTAAATAATTGAAGTTTGGAGGTTAACACAGGTAATACCAGGTATTAAAAATGCATGTACAACAACTGGATTGTAAGTGCAACTGAAATATGGAGGAATGTGTGTCTGAAATGAGAAATTCTGCTGTTTTTGTCATGAATAAAAAAACCTCATAGATTTTAAATATACTCCAATAAATAATCAAGAAGTAGAGCTGGAGTTTACTTTTTAATCTAACTCTTATGCAATCTTCATCTCACTAAATTTGTCTGAATATTAGCAGGTGGGATTGTTGCAGTGGATTAGTTGCCTCAATGGACATATTGCCTAACTTCCTGTGTTATGAAACTGGTCTAGTGGAACTTGCATTGAGCCTTTAGGAAACAATAGCCTCTTATCACAGGAATGTTGACCCTCCAAACCAGCTCGACTGAAGGATTTTACCGTACCAAAGGGAGCGGGGAGTAAACCACTAAGTCTCACGGTGAATATTAACAAGGGCCTACACAGCACAGGTGTGAACACAAAGAGAAAGAAAAAAGCAGGTGTGTGTTCACGTGCACGCCCAGGGTGATACTCAGACATGCTCAGCCACATGCATGTACACGGTTTCTCCTCTCCCACACTGATCTTCAGCGTCTATCAACCGTTACTTATTACCGTGGGCGCAGTGGAGTGTGAGGTGCTCTGCAGCTCTCCCTCCTCGCTCACTTTCTTTTTTATCGCGAACACCAAAGTGCTCAGCGTGACTTTGAAAACTGAATGATTTATTCAATGGATTTAGATGACACCTCATCCGTTAACCGCAGGCGAATTTGACTCATTTAGTCAGAGGGGGCTGCAGGGGGGTCAGGGTGGACTTAAGGTCAGTGAATTATGGATTATTGTGAGTCAATGCCACGAAAGTCTGATTTATTAGAGGATGAATCAGAGTTGTTTGAGGGGGATGAATCGAAACATGTCTTGGATTAGGGCCTATGTCCACTTAGTGTTTTTTAATGGTGCCCACGGTGTCCCAAAAGTCAGAGGTGGGTCAGGGTGGACGTAAGGTCAGTGAGTAATGGATTATTATGAGTCAAAGCTTCGAAAGTCTAATTTATTAGAGGATGAATCAGAGTTGTTTGAGGTGGAAGAAACGAAATATGTCTTGGATTAGGGCCTATGTCCACTAACTGTTTTTTAATGGTGCTCATGTTGTCCCAAGGGGGGCTGCAAGGGGGTCAGGGTAGATTTTTGGTCAGTGAATTATGGATTATTGTGAGTCAAAGCTTAGAAGCCTGATTTATTAGAGGATGACTCAGATATGTTTGAGGAGAAAGAATCGAAACATGCCTTGGATCAGGGCCTGTGTCCACTAACTGTTTTTTAAATGGCACCCACAGTGTCCCATAAGTCCGAGGGGGTCAGGGTAGACTTAAAGTTAATGATTTATTAGAAGATGAATCAGACACGTTTGAGGAGGATGAATCGAAACATGTCTTGGATTAGGGCCTATGTCCACTAACTGATTCTTAACGGTACTCAAAGTGTCCCAAAAAAGTCAGAGGAGGCTGCAGGGGGGTCAGGGTGGACTTGAGGTCAGTGTCAAAGCTTTGAAAGTCTTATTTATTAGGGGACGAATCAGATATGTTTTAGGAGGAAGAATTGAAAAATGTCTTGGATTAGGGCCTATTTCCACTAACTGTTTTTTTAACGGCACCCAAAGTGTCCTAAACACCTTCAGCACTCTTAGCGGAAAGTAGTTTAACTTCTGAAACAGTGTCCTGCTCATTAGCGCTGTGTCTCCAGTACCGATCAATCAAAATGAAGAGCCTGCAAGACTGTTAACAACATTTGTCATCGACAACTGCAGAGGTCTTGACCATCCTCTCCGCCCCGTCGTCTAGGATGCACCACCCCTGCCCCTCATAACTCAGACATCCACAGCTTCTCCCTGTCAGCACCTAGAACATTATGATGGATGTTTATATGTACGGGTTCGAGTTTTAGACCGCAGAGGGTCAACTGTCCCCAGCTGTCAGGCTAACAAATGGCTTTGTTTGGTCCCGGTGGTCAAGGACAACTCAGGAAGGGCAGTAAAGTTGTTGATGTTTGTGTGTTTGTTACGAGAGATAAAATTAGCTTAACGGGAATCTTTTACAGCTGATGGATGAGTTCATTTCGTGGTGTAAGTGCTCTTGTAGCTCTTCAAGACTTGACATTTAAAGCCTATCATGTTAGCTCGGAGAAATGACAAAGATCTGCTCGCAGAGGAAGGAAATTTGAGGGCATGAATATGGAAACCCGAAAGGATAGATCGCAAAGAGCCAAGGGAGGGATTGTAAAAGGTTAGAGGAACAGCAGCAGGATACTAAGCTGGAAGAGGCGAGCAGAGGAGGAAGAGCATCAAAGGACGGGGAAGACAAGGGGAATGCTGATTGTAGCTTTGTGTGTGTGCCAGGTGTGTGTGCAAAAGAGAGAGGAAGACATAACACAGAGGCAGACAACAGTGCACAACAGCAGACACACACCCACTGCTCATCGGGATGTTTATTGCCTGAGCGCTCCCAGGCATCACGTGTGTTTACACGCCGGGCCTCGCGCTGAGGGAACACTCGTGCGTGACATGAGAAATGTCAGAAGGAACAGCGGTACTGCCGTGTTCCTGCCTGCACAGAGGAGCTGGGCAGAATACAGCCCCCTGGTAACACGGCGGTCTTCGGCTGCTAATGAGGACAAATCCTATGAACTTTGATCTCGCATAATGGCAACTATTGATGACACACTGCAGTGCAGCCCCAGCATCACTGAAGTGCCATTTATGATGCTGCTTCGAGCAATGGCGTGAGAGACAGAGAAAATACAGGTGCTGGTGTAGCAGGGGCCTTTATCAGTCTGGGTGTCCACATTAAAGAATATTGTAGATTATTTTTTATTAAAAAGAGTATTATAGATTTTTACATTAATTTATTAAAGAATAATTAAGATTTTTGACATTCTTTATTAACAAAAGTTGTACGTATTTTAAATATTTTTTATTTAGGAATATTATAGATTTTTTAAATTTTTTTGATAAAGACTATTGTAATTTTTTAAAGAAAATTAAAGATTCATTAAAAAAGAATTTATGAGAGAATATTTTAAATTTTTAAATATATTGTGAAAGAATATAGATTTTTTTATTATTTTATTGTAGAATATTGTAGATTCTTTAAGTTTTTTATTTTATTTTTAAAGAATATTATAGATTTTTAAAAAATTAAATATAGAATATTTTAAATAGAAAAATATTAAAGAATATTATAGTTTTTATTGTTTTATTAAAGAATATTAATTTTTTTTAAATTTATTTAAGAATAATATTGATTTAAAAAATAATATTAAAGTTTATTATACATTTTTTATTTTTTATTTAAGAATATTAAAAGGTTTTTTATTAAAGAATATTATAGATTTTTTTTTATTTCAGGGGCATTTTTAGTTCAATTTAATTTTCACATTTAAAGAAACAGTTACTTTCAGTTTCATTCAGAGTTAAATTTCTACTTATGTTCCTTTTATTTTGGACAAGCATTGATAAGAGAGGTAATAATAAGTCCTTTAACAGGCTCTATACTCCGATTCAGAACTTCATGAAGTGAAGGCTGGTCCTTTATTTCCCGTCTTACATTATTGGACAAACTGATTAATCCAGGTGTGACTAATCAGCGTGACTAATCAGACACACCTGGACTTATCAGTTTGTCCAGTATTGTAAAACAGGGAATAAAGGAGCTGCCTTAAGTTCAGAAGGTGGTGGAGCTGTGCATAGAGCCCATTAGTTTGTTAGGACGTTTTCTACCCCCCAAAATTAAAAAAAAAAAATAATAATAATCTTGTTTTAATTTTATTGTTTATTAAGAGTTTTAAGAGGTTGCAAAGGAGGAATCTATCAACTACCAAGAAGCCGTTTTTGTGGTTTGGCTTAATATCTTGTCACTGTCTGATCCCTTTTCTGTGTTTTTATGTTTGTCTTGTTCCCTCAGCAGTGTAATCCAGGTGACCTCCGCGCTCTGAGGAAGGGGATGACCCTTTACCACTCAGAATCTCAGCTGTCCTCGCTGCCCCAGCGCCAGGACGCCATGCACATGGTCAGTACCCGAGAGGCTATCGCACACGCACTCACAAAGATTCATACTGACGCGCACAAAGGGGGCGCCCACTCACTCCACTTCTTTCTCAAAGTTCAGCGCTGCTTCTTCACAAAGGTGGTGAGCTACAGAGACGGGGTTTAATTGCAGACACACATGCAAACTTAATTGTAGAGAAAGCTGCGCCCGGTGCCTCCGCAGTGGAATCAGTCAAGTCAGCTCTAATTCACTTTACTTGTAACTCTCCAATTAAACCTCCACAGGCAACCTCACTCTCTTTCGCAAATGACAGGAAATGAAACGCACACGCAGAGAAAAGCGAGGGAAGAAAAAGAGCGAGTGAAAAGGAGGGAGAAAGTAAAACAGAATAAAAACGAGGATTGGAAGTTAAGAGCCGCCTCTCCTCTTCCTCTCATATCCTGGCCCTTTAGCTCCCTCCTCCTCCTCCCTGGTGCCTGTTTGAACTGAATCCTACTATGAAAGTAATAATCCTCTAAAATCCACTGCCACCCCTGACCCCGTCATTGTCTGGGAAGGAGAGGCTGGGTAATTGTTTTCTGACTGCTTAGGGGAGGTCAGAGCTGGGCTACGCCACTAACCAGAGGAATAACCCATCCCTGTGTATAAAAATCAATATTGCGGTTTAATCACAGACCCTCGGCGCGGGGCACAGGTCGAGTGCGATCAGAGTCAACTCGCACCTTTTAAGCTCGCGGGTCAAACCTGCCTCCTTGTGGGGGGCTCACGCTGCTCAATAATGTTCATGAACCGTGACCCCACAGGAGGTCTGTCCCTGTAGGACGAAGGATAAACTGCAAATTATCTCGATAGTTGCCTCCCTGCATGTAATTTTATCACGCAGGTTCACAGGAAACAAGGTCATGATATTGGCTCTGTGCAAAGATGACATTTAACGTCACCGAGACTAAAGGAGAAAGTAGATTTATGCGACTACCTGTGACTGAAACCAGGTTGAAGCATGCAAACTAGTCTTCTAGTTCCGAAATGTTTTCACTTGGTAACTTTAAAACTAGCTAGAAATCAAAAGTGAAGTCATGGATGTCGGATTTGCAACAACAGGATTATTCATGATCAAAACAAAAGCCCAGAAAAACTCAGAAAAAGTTGTTCTCTTGATTGTTCATGATTTCTCTGTCGTCGTGACGGCTCCTCAGAGACGTTTTCTCACGCTGAGCTGTGTGATGATCGATTTCCTGCTCTCTGATGTGACTCAAGTTCATCCATATGAGAAAGATGAGAGACGGGAAGTGAAAGGCTACAACAGCAGATCTTCAGTGAACCCATCCCAGTCTATCAGCTCACGCTTTATATTCAGCCCTTTTGTCCGATTCCGGCTCAGTTTCAGGTCATGTGTGTGCGTGAGAGCGTCGAGGAGAAAAGTAGTGAGAAAGAAAGAAAAGAGGAAAGATGGACGGAGAAAGGAAGCGGCCGGCTCGCGTGATCCTCGCAAACCCTCGACGGGTCAGATCTGATTCTGTATGCTGAAACAACAAACCGATGACTCTGACGATGTTTGTCGTCCTCCCCTTCTCATCCAGAATCAGCCTGTTTATGCGGGGAAGCCCATCACAAATGTACATCCATATGATCAGTAAACATTGCCCCGAGCTGGCTGTGTTTTTGTGCCGTCTAAATCTGTTTCTTTGCTGCAGCACAAAGTAAACGGAAGACTCTGACCGGATGCTCGCGGGAATTGTTTACACATTTGAAATGATAGCTTTACACAACAGAGGAGAGCAGAGGCGACAGCTATTTACATATTTCTCCATGTAGAAAAGTAAAAGCACAGTAGAGCTGCACTGGCTTTTTATCTATTTGTTTTGACCTTTAAAGACAGAAAACACACTCACACAACAGAGTAACATATGATTTACTGTCCTCCACATCACTCATACCCATACTTCTACAAGCTCACATCACATAGATGCACTCTAATTATTGAATTAAAGCACTGAAGTAGTTGCATATTTTTAATGCAACTCTTAAATATAAAATACAAGTAAAAGTGTGCAAAATTTGAAAATGTATTTCATTGCATTGCACCATCCTGCAGCATCTGCCATAATCAATGGGGCTGAGACGATATGCTTTTCTCCAGATTCGATTCTTCTACAATTTTTTGGATGCCGATTCTTTTTAAATTTCTACAACATTGTCGATTTTCTCGATTTTTAGTCTGCATTTTTAACACCAGTAAAACAGTTGAATGATTATAATTGTCTAGTGATTATTCCAGGACCCACATTTCCCCCAAAAATACACATCACATGTAAGTTAGTTTTTTAAGATTTAAGGTCCTTACACACCGGGAGTGACGCAAATATACGACGGCGGGGGGGAGCGTCCCGGATGGAAGCGAGAAGACTGACACAACAGCAGACTGAGTGATAGCATGTACTGAGTCGGGTCAGTACCAGATAAGCACATTAAACTATAATCCGTAATCGTAAGGTAACAACCGAGACCTAATGGTGCTGTGACAGCAACGCGATTGAGTTTGAGACAGTGAAAATACATATGGCATGTTGTATCGGAACAGGTTAGCTTCCAAGCTAAAGCTACTTAGCACAGATGAGAGATAAAACAAAGACGTTTAGCAAACTGTTAAAGCACACAAACCATCGTCATATGAGAAATCCGACGCTATGACTCTCCACAAGTTGTCCTTCAGGTCGTTATCTTTGTAATGTCTGTTCTCCGACATGTAAACAATCAGCCGGTCGGCCATGTTGGATATACCGGTGAATCTGACGTCGCAACAACAAGCAATCTGATTGGTCAGAAGTGGAAACATAGCATGTAAAACTTTAGAAAAATCGACCGTTGTACGAAAAAATATATGTCGCAATATCGCAGAACGGGAAAACATTGCTGATGTGAACGCTTTTATTGACAGGAAAGATTGTTTTTTGAACAAAAAAAAAAAACGATGTATTAATTGTTAAACAAAAAATTGCGATATCTGAATCGATTTTTCTCTCCAATCCCTAATAATCAATCAATCAATCTCTATTTAATGAAACTATAAAAGTAAATTTTTTACCTTTTTGTGTCAAAAAAAGGTCAGTTTTTTTAACTCTCGCTGGTGCATTCAAGGTCATTTTGTGCATGAGGAGAAACCTGTTTGATGACAGAAATATCCAACTTTTATTTTAACCTTTTTATTTTGTGCATTATTACCCGGACTCAAAACTCATGAATGAAATCTCTTATGACAGGCCGCTCATCTCTGTGCTCTCAGGCAGGGCGTATCTGAATTGTTAATGCCGTAAGTGTGTGTGGATACAGCAATTCTGCTTTATTTCTGTTTTTATTGTTAGAGTCAAGACTTCAACAACCTTTTTTAAATATAAAACTGCTGTAATCTTTAGATATTCTTCAAAGGGCATCAAGTATGTTGTTTACAGGCAAAATCTGCAGGACCAAACAGGACGCAAAAACAATTTTCATGCGGTTTATTCCATATGAATTAACCGCTGAGCCTCCCTCTCTGCTGCAGTAGGATTATTATTTTATCTCGGTGCTATTAGGTTGTGTGGGCTCATTCTGGCACCTAAACGGGGCCAGTGGGTGCGGAGGGAGCTGACAGGCGCATCACTAGTGAGCGGGGAATTGAACTCGGGCTAACAGAGCCACGGAGCTGTGTCTAATGCAGGGCCCCGATGCCAGGTTACACTGAATGGTGCCATTGTGTGTCCCAGGGATCTCTGTGTCCCTCTAACAGAGAGCCACTGTCTGGAACTAACCAGGGGGTTGGATGAGTCAAGCAAACCCCCTGCTCCCATCACAGCAGGTTAAATCACACTGTGCAGGTAGCAGACCTGGCTGGGGAGTTGAAGATGTAGTGAACGTAAAAGAAGGAAAGAGAGAAATAAAAAAGAGAAAGGATGATGTGAGTCAGAATGAAAGGGATGGCATTTTCAGGGATGCACTACAAGAAACGTCTCCTGTTTCATCAGGAGCGCACGCACCCTGTTAGACAGAGACGGCAGCTGATTTCCTGTAGTTGAGCGAGGTTTCCTGGAATCGTCTCACATGACGGGCTACGTGAGGTGCTGCTCATTTGACCCCCGGGTTAAACACTGTGACAGCAGAATTGATGAGATAAGAGTGTGACAGACTGCAGAGGAAGGATGCTGTGTGACGGTTTGTCTCCTCCGCTCTAAAATCGTCACTCTTCTTCCTCCTCCTCCAAACAGGGTACCGGTCGTCTCCCAACCAGTGAGTCCTCTCCTGCCACAGGCTACCTGTCCTGCGTCCAGAAGCCTGAGGCTGTGGTGCACGCCATGAAGGTACTATATTCATTTTAACTCAAATTTGAAATCTTAAAGGGATATTCTGGCGTAAAATTAATTTAGGGTCAAACACACCATAACACTGAGTTGGACACCCCCTCGAGAGATGAATGTTGCCGACCGCTTGCTACTTTAGTAATGACTGCAGGAGAGTAATACATAGTGGTCTGCGGAGCCATAAACAAACCTCAACCAAAACGCCACAAATAATGCTCAGAACAGCACCTAACTTCATCAACAGGACATATAGGGTCCCAGCCACCAAACATCTTTTTAGCTTTGCCTAATTTCTTTAGCAAAGAGACTAAACACAACTCACCTACTCTCTTCCAACAGCCGCTTGTTTGTAGCGAGAGCTCGGGCCAGTCCATTTCAGACTGCTGTGGGGTGACGCAGCTCAAGGAAGAACATTAATGATCATTTCTTTATCATTTCCTTGAAGTAATAATCACCATTGTTTGTATGGAGACCTTGGACGAGTCGATCACCGACTGCTGCGGGGTTACGCAGCTCAAGGAAGAACATTTATGATCATTTCAATATGGAAATGCAACCAGACCAAGACGCTAAGGCAGAAGAACTATCGCATCTGCAGTGAAAAATGATAAATATGGTGATTATTACATCAAGGAAATGATCATAAATGTTCTTCCTTGAGCTGCGTAACCCCCGCAGCAGTCTGAAATGGACTGGCCCGAGGTCTCACTACAAACAAGCAGCTGCTGGAAGAGAGTAGGTGAGTTATGTTTAGTCTCTTTGCTAAAGAAATTAGGACGGGCTTATAATTAATTAATGCTAATATTTAGCATTATTTCTGTCTATAGAGTGGTGTTTTGGTTGAGGTTTGTTTATGGCTCCTCAGACCGCTGTGTATTGCTATCCTGCGGTCGTTACTAAAGTTGGTATAACTAGAGAAGCAAGCAGTCGGCAACATTAATCTCTCGAGGGAGTGTCTAACTCGGTGTTACTGTGTGTTTGACCCTAAATTAATTTTACGCCAGAATATCCCTTTAATGACTATGTTTTATTGATCATCACTTATGTTTGCCACCAGGTGCTGGAGGTCCACGAGAACCTGGACAAGCAGGTCCCCGAGGACTACGAGGACGATCTCAGCGAGAAAGAGAAGGCTATTGTGCGAGAGATGTGCAACGTGAGTGAAACGCCTTCCCCCCCTCTCTGCTTTGCGATTCTTCTCCCTGTATCCCCCGAGCGCTTTGCTTTTGATTCTACCTCCCCATATGCCATAAAAAGACGGCGGTCTCAGATGCTGTGAATGCACGAAAAAACATATTTTCCAGAAGGACGAAGGGAGAGCACGAGCTGAGCGTGTGATACGCCGTGCAAGTCATCTGAATAACTTACGTAACACATCACAAATCCAGGAGTAAATCTGAAGTCAGGATGTTCATGCATGTTGGTTAAATGTGTCACACCCTTCCTGTACGATGTGCTCTTTATATCGTCGTAAACAAAGACGCTTTATGTCCAGAACGTTCCTGTTTTTTCTGTCTGATGGTCAGATTTTAAATTCTGTTCCGCTTGGTGCAAATCAGGTCATCCTTTGAGCTGATTCCACTAATGAGGAAGCCTCATTTAGACTAATTTGGTTTGGAATGACACTTGCACTAGTGTCCCCGGCACAGCGCTCCCACTTGCCTCCTTCTTTCTCTCTATCTATCCCTCCATCACCCTCCCTTTAACTCCGCCGTCCCAGCTCCGCGGCCAACTCTTCGCTGTAAGTAGGAGCTCGTAGTTGAGCTGTCAGAGCAATTAAAGCAGAGCGGCAGGGAAAAGAGCACCCACCACCCCACCCCACCCCTCCATTCTTCCTCTCCTCCCTCCATCTTTCTCTGTCGGTGCTGAAAGGCCCGGTCTGGGATAAAAGGTCTGCTGATTAGGGGGAGAATGAGAGCAGGGCTATCTGGGCCCTGCAGAGGTATGTGACAGGCCAGGAATCTGCGGGGCTCTACAATGGTACCTCTGTCATATCACAGGGGTCTCCTGGGGGCCCCCTTTTCCTTTAGTCCAGAGAGATCTCAGCTCCAGCAGAGACAGAGGACAGAGATTCAGAGATATCTCCTCTCTAACATGGATGTGTGTGTGCGTGTGTGTTCAGACTCTGCAGCTCGAAGCCAAACTGTGAGCATTTGAAGATTTCACTCTTGAAGAAGAAAGTCTTTTTTTTTTTCTGTTTTCAGCCTCCCCTCGCTCTTCCTTCAGTGTCTGACTCTGAGTCTGCCTGTGTCGCTCTTCCCCTCTCTCTCCCCTCTCTCAAACTTCTGTCTCTGCTCTCCTTTTGCAGGTGGTGTGGAGAAAGCTGGGTGATGCAGCAGGATCAAAGCTGTCCATCAGACAGCACCTCTCTGGGAACCAGTTCAAAGGGCCGCTGTAGCACCGCAACCAGATGAAGAAAGAGAGAGAGAGAGAGGGGGAGAGATCAGGATTTACAGTACCTACACTCACCTGAAAACACCTCGTACTTCTCGCGCCTACACAACCCATCATGCCATGCTCCCTACTGCCTACAGCACCCAGCATTCCTTCAACGAAAGACTGGCTAAGAAAGCGACTTCACGGACCTGTTCGTGTGTTTCAATCCCAGATCTTATGAGCGTCGACAACTGGCAGCTAGTTTCACCGATTCACCACTTCTATTTGTTGATTTCTGAGGCTTCCGGCTCTCTCTCTTAAAAACGCCGTAAACACCACCCCTTAATCGTCCTTTTATAGCCTAGCTGTGCTACACAAAACTCACGATACGACATGGTTTAAAGCACAGACGTGATGATGATGAGGCCACAGGGGCAGAAACCCCATCCCTTGTCGCTCGGGAGGTGGCGGTATCTTCAGATAAGTTTTGATAGTACCTCCTATAGAGACCTTAGCTCCTGTCACATGTATCGCCCCCTAGTGGTCAACGAGTATAACTAGCATTAGCGTTCTAAAGTGTTAACTAATGTGAAACCCACTGTGACCTAGCGCCTTTTGCTCATAATAAGACAAGTCTATGGATAATAAAGTCTAGAGATCACTGTTAACTTGTGTATATTCTGTATAAAACCATAGCACTACTCATTGTTATTGTTGATTTTTTTTCTTTTATCTATTTTGTATTCTAGCGTGGCCATGTGATCAATGATTTAGTTTGAATCGCACACAAACAGCCGGACCTTAAACAGGGTTTGCTTTTGGTAGAAAAGAAAAAAATAAATCTGTTTTCTTTTTTTTATTCTTTTTCAGATTAATTGCTGTTATTCCTTTTTATTTTCTGTAAACCTCTGAAGATGTATCACGGCCATTCGGAGTCAAACCATCTCCATGCATTAATCGATAGATGATTTTCTTACTATGTTGGATTAACTAAAACTGTATGCTGTGTGCATGCTTGACAATCATTTTCTCAGGTTGGGAGGGCTACAGCTTTACCTTTGCCCATCTGTAACTGAGTGTGTGTGTGAGAGTGAGTGTGTAAGTGTGTGTGTCTGTGTGTGTGCATGGGGACTGAATGTTCCTCTTACAGCTGTAGCATCTACCTGTGAATCCTCCTTTTCTCTATTGAACCCTGGTTACAACTCGGTTTCAGACTGCTGAAGGCGTTTGCTGAATCCACACAAAAAGCTTTGTCTCAGTAAAGATAAGATAATAAATCAAAGTGAAACAGATAATGTCCAAGTCGAGAAAATAGTCCCTCCTTCTGAGCACACTCCTTTTCTGTTGTCTCGGATTCAGCAGGTGTGTTTACGCAGCGCATGTTTCTTCAAGTTGAATCTTTTTTTTTCTTAGATTATGAGCGATAAGTCTTCCCTTAGGTGTCTCCTGAAAACACTAATGTTTAAAAATGAGTATTTCTTGATGTCAGAATGAACAAACGCTGTTTGTCAAAGTATTTATTGCCAGGTGTTAGATAGAGATGGGAGCGCTATCAGTGACTAAACAGTCTTATTTTAGATTTATCAGATTTACTTAAACTGTAAAAAGTTATTTCATAGATGCGTTTAGTGACTGACAGCTCCAGCTCTCCCATCTCTAGTGTTATTTGTTCCAAATTAGAACATTTCTAAGGCTTTTGCCATGCACCTCTCTTCTTTCAAATGATGGCTCGAAAATAAATCAAAGTATGGTTTTATAAAAGTGTCCTTTTTTCTAGGAACTAATTTGAAGCCATGATAAAAAAGAATTTTGAATACTTTATAAAAGGCATTTGATTTAAAATGTGCCACATTTTTTCTGCATGGTGTTTTGATTTGGAACTCAACTGTCTTTTTTTTTTTTTAAACTTCTATAGTATTTCTTCTTTTCTTTTTTTCTTTCTTTCTTTCTGCCTATATGCTAAAACCACAGTACAGAATCCTAGAATCTACAGAGTACAAGTCAACCCCTGTAGTAACTAGCATGGCTGTGACTTCTTTTCTCAGACTTCACCAATAAGACATATTTGGCAGGTGAAAAGAAAACATCAAATAGGCCACTTTTAGAAGAAAAAAAAATATGGGAGAAAATAAACAAAGTTGGTTAATGAAATTGTGAAATTGTGTTGTTTTTGTGGGGCGAAGATCTCTGCAGGCATGTGAGGGAATGAGTTAGACTGTCCTCTGGTGGTGAAGCACCGGAAGTACAGCTACAAAGTTCTAAAGAGTTCTGTTGAAGTGATTCATAGGGTGTGATTTTACGGGAAAGTTCCAAAAACAACACAGACATAGAAAAACGAAGTATAGAAACTGTAATTTGACTCAAAAAATTAAGAGGATAGAAAACCTGACTTATTTCAAGAAGGAAAACAGATGTGTAGTGGTTGTATTAGCAAGTTGAAAACTATTTAGTTGAAATGTAGTAAAGTGAAGGAACTAAAAAGCTCACAGATGGGCATCTAATTGAAATACAAATACCGGTAGGAAGAAGTCACACTGTTTCCTCTGTATGTACGGGAAAACATGCTGAAGGAGTAGGAGTGAGCAGTCTTTTTCCTGTCTATGGATCCTGTGCCCATAATAATGTCCTTTTATAGCACCTAAGAGTGTAGAAGGATATGCTTTCCACACGTCTGTGCTTTTGAACAATGAAACAGTGAAATAATAATATCTTGGAGGCAAACTCAGACAGACTCACTGTGGTGGCCGACAGACCTAAAGCCTCTCAATGAAAGGATCCTGATCCAAGCAGGAAACCTTAACTCACATCTGTGGTTTTTAAGAGTTATTAAATTGAAAATGAAAATAATACAAAGCCACTTGTGTGATGACTTTAAATAAGGGACAGTATTTGTGGATTAATGCTGGGTGAACTTGTGAAGTAGTAAAAACGATCATTGGGTTACAGTGCCCTCTAGTGTGTGTCAGGATACTGAACTACATCTCACTGCCAGATAATAGATACTTAGATAATCAACTCTCCAGTTATTATAGGGGAATGTCAAAGTATAGTAAGTTAAAAGAAATGTCATAGTATAGTATGATAAAAAAAAAAAAAAAAAATCAAATTTTAGTATAAAAAAATGTCATAGTATAGTATGTTAAAAATATGTCATACTGTAGTATGTTAAAAAGGTCAAAGTATAGTATGATAAAAAAAATTCAAATTTTACTGTTAAAAAAATGTCAGTATAGTATGTTAAAAAAGGTCATAGTATAGCATGTAAAAAAAGGTCATAGTATAGTATGATAAAATTTTCAAAAATTTTTAGTATGAAAAAAATGTCATAGTATAGTATAATAAAAATTTAAAATTAAAGTATTAAAAAACAATTGTATAGCATGTTAAAAAATGTCATGGTATAGTATGATAAAGAAATTCAAATTTTAGTATGTTAAAAAAAATGTCATAGTATAGCATGTTAAAAACATGTCATAGTATAGTATGTTAAAAAGGTTAAAGTATAGTATGATAAAAAATTCAAATTTTAGTATGTTAAAAAAATGTCATAGTATAGCATGTAAAAAAGGTCTTAGTATAGTATGTTAAAATTTTCAAAAATTTTGGTATGAAAAAAATGTCATAGTACAGTATAATAAAAATTCAAAATTTAAGTATTAAAAACATAATTGTATAGCATGTTAAAAAATGTAATGGTATAATATGATAAAAATTTTTGATTTTGGTATGAAAAAATGTCATAGTATAGTATATGAAAAAATATGATATAGTATATGATGGTTCAATCCCCGCCCTACCCACACTCTGTCTGTTGTGTCCTCGGGCAAGACACTAGTACTACCTTACTCCCAGTGTGTGCTTTGCCGGTGTATGATTGTTCTGGTCAGAGAGGCTGTAGGTGCAAATCAGCAGCTAAATTTCTGTCAACCTCAAGGCAGCTGTGACTTCTAAGTTAGTTTAGTTTACCACTACCAGATCACTGATAAAAAAACACTATAAAAAATCTGATGCATTATTATTATTATCATCCCAATGCATGTGCACTTAAAGTCAAGAGCTGCGGACTCTATTTAAAACCTACAAATGTCCTTTTCAACGACTAAAGACACCACACAGTTGTGTTCAAAATAGGAAAAGCTGATCTTTATTATCCTAAGTGCCACTCAGACACAAACCAAAGCTGCGAGCAGGATACAGAAAAGAGAGGCCTGACTAAGGCACATATGGATAAAACTCTCCAATAACAGAAAAGAAAGCTAAACAAAAAAAAGCTCAGATATGTACAAATACACCTCAGTCTGTCCAGTGTTAGACATGGTTGGTTTAATAATCCAGGGCTGTTAAACCTAAATTCATGTATGGATTCACTAAGAAGAATAAGACAGGTATGAGGTAACAACAGCGTCTAATTGTACTGGTACTTCAGATTTTCTACATATTGTTTTTTCCAGGCTGGGAATGTGGAGAGGGGTTGCAGGGGTAGGGACTGAAAATTCATAAAAACTAAAGAAAACAACACAACCACGCCAAGAGAGAGTTTGAGTACAAATTTTACATTTTATCTCCTCAGGTTAAGAGAAAAAAAACGTAGGGTTTTTTCATTTCCTGGTACACTTTCAAAACAAAAACGAACATCGGACATCCTTTGTTACAAGATCCTGGACCTAGGCACAACAAGCACCGTCCTTAACAGGTCTGAACTCTTAAAAAGTATCACAGGACTCTCAGCCGGGCTCAAGGTCTTTCACCTTCACTCTTCCTTCGTTCAGATTCTGGTCGTCCTTTCTCTCCAGCTGCACAGACACACTGTTCATACTCTGGTCATGCTCTCATCTCATCCATCCGCCGCGGTTTAGGGGCATGCCAGGTGGAGGGGGCAGGGGTACCTGAGACTGTCCAGGGGGAACAGGGGGAGGAGGAGGGTACCCTGTAGGCGGGAGGCCCATACCTGGAGGGGGCACGTGGCCTGGTGGCATGCGCGGAGGCGGCGGCGGAGGATAGCTGTTGTATCCTGGCGGTGGATATGTTGGGGGTAAGGTGGGTGGCGGGTATGAAGTGGGGGGAGGTGGAGGGCCTGGAGGCGGTGCAGCAGGAGGCGGATAGACGTGGGGGTGGTAAGGAGGTATTGGGGGAGCATAGGTGGGAGGCATTGGAGCGTAGGTGGGTCCTTCTGTCTTCATCAAGGACTGCAGGTTTTGGAAGCCTTCTCCAGACATGTAGGAGCTGGTGGTGGACATGATGTAGTTAGAGGGCGGGGGCGGAGGAGGGCGATGAGGTAAAGGAGGGGGCTGATGAGGAGGCGGGGCATGTGGCAGAGGAGGGGCAGCTTCACTTCCTGGTTCTGCCTCTGTGGGAGGAGCTGGAGCTGCAGGTTTGCGTTCTAGAGAGTGAAAAGAAGAGAGGAAAAAAAGGTGAACATTTGGATTAAAGGGATATTCCGCCGTAAAATTAAGTTATGGTTAAACACACCATAACACCGAGTAAGACACCCCCTCGAGAGATGAATGTTGCAGACGGCTTGCTTCTCTAGTTATACTAACTTTAGTAACGACCGCAGGATAGCAATACACAGCGGTCTGAGGAGCCATAAACAAACCTCAACCAAAACGCCACTCTATAGCCACAAATAATCATCAGAACAGCACCTAACTTCATCAACAGGACATATAGGGTCCCATTCATAGCACCCGCCACCAAACATCTTTTTATCTTTGCTTAATTTCTTTCGCAAAGAAACTAAAACAACCCACCTACTCTCTTCCAGCAGCCGCTTGTTTGTAGCGAAACCTCAGATCAGTCCATTACAGACTACAGCAGGGTTTCGCAGCTCAAGGAAGAACTTTTATGATCATTTCCTTGAAGTAATAATCATCATAATAATCATTTTGCACTGCAGACGCTGTAGTTCTTCTGCCTAAGCGTCTCAGTCTGATTGCATTTCCATGAAGAAATGATCATAAATGTTCTTCCTTGAGCTGTGAAACCCCGCAGCAGTCTGTAATGGACTGGCCTGAGGTCATGCTACAAACAAGTGGCTGCTGGAAGATTTTATTTGATTTTGTCTCTTTGCAAAAGAAATTAGGCAAAGTTAAAACAATGTTTGGTGGCTAGTACTATGGCTAGGACCTTATATATACTGTTGATGAAGTTAGGTGCTGTTCTTCTTCTCTAACTCAGTGTTACGGTGTGTTTGACCCTAAATGAATTTTACGCCAGAATATCCCTTTAACTTTTCTCTAAAAACCCCAAAACCTCTGAGTCCACTTTGATCTGGAGTAACCTCTCCATTCTCAGACTATGAGCGCACAGCCAGACCAGGACTGGCAGGCTTCAGCCTCATAGGAGGTCTCATTATCAGGCTCAGGCTCTAATCAGATTGGTCTGGGAGAGGTTCGGAGTGTGCATGCGTTAGGAAACATCATGTCCAGACGAGTTGCTTGTTATGTAAGCAGGCTAAAGACTTTATGTTGCTTTCCAAGCTGGAGTCCCAGGCAGGGGGTCCTGGCAGCTTATTATGGGCATTTTTTGTGGCACACACAAACAAACAGCATGGAGCAATGCTCTTACCTAACTTTGAATCAGTCTGGCCGGACTATTTAAAGCCACAGAAAAATGACAGTCACTCACCTGGGGGAGGCTGGGATGTGGGCAGAGGGGGCATGGGGCTCTCCAGTCTGGGAATCTTTGATCCAACTTGTTCTAGAAATTTAACGAGAGGATTCATGATCAAACATTTACAAGTTTAAACCAGTTTATGTCTCAGAGGAACACAAAGTTTGTCAAGAGCTTACCTGGAGCTTTTGGTTCTTCTTTAGGGGATGTCTGAAAAGAAGGTCAAGAAAAGTTAACACACTGTAGGATGAGTTTTAAAACAAATGTGGATATTATTTCAAGCATCAGTAATTCAAAAGAGTCACCCACATGTGAGCGTTTGAGCTGGCGTGCAGGGCTGCCTCCCTGAGGTGAAGTCTTCTTTGGTGGTGGGGGAGGAGGGTTGGCGACTGGCGGTTGTCCCTGTGGGATCGGAGGAGCGGGGACTGGAGGGATAGACGCCCGCTCCTTCTCCTGGATCTGCTGAGGGATGGGCTTGTTCCCCTGGGAGTACAGGTCCAGGATCTGGTGACAAATGTCTGAAAGACAGAGACAAGTCCCTCCTGAGTCTGTCAGGCGGTGAAAGATAATCTACCTGGCAGGAAGTGTCACAGCCTTATGATGAATACCTTCAAGAAGCTCCACTGGGACATCCTGGACAAACTGCTCCCACCAGCGGCGTGACGACTGCTTGGCGGTCCAGTCCTGGATGTCAAACTTGCAGAGACGGCCGGCTAGGTACATGACAGCTACAGCGATAATCTCAGGTTCCCACTGCAGGGACAGCATGGTGCACAGGCTGTAGGGACACAGGAGAGACTGTTACATCTTCAAGTCATGCTGTGTGTGTTTCAAACACCTCAAAAAGGTGTCACCTATTAAAAATTTACTCTCCACTTAGGTTGTAACACATGTTTAAAATATATTTCTAGTCAGAAAGAGTTTGCATGCCAACCGCTCACCTGTCATTCACAAAGGTCCACGCCATCTGCAGCACCTTGCACACTTTGTTCTTCTCTCCTTTAACAGAAATAAAAAACATTTAGAAGCTTCACAGTTTCCTTGAGCTGCTCAGTATTTTTGAGGCACTATTCCCATCTCACCTTTGAGCTGTTTGACGTAGCGCAGCAGGAACATGTAAGGGTGCTCCACCTGCAAATCGAATTTGATCGTCTGGAGCAAAATCCTCTCCAGCACCATCACCTCTTCCTGTAGAAAGACAAACTGTTACCTCAAATATTCCTGTTGTTAAAACTGCTTTATAATAAATACTGGAGACACTCCACCTTGGGATCATCTCCAAACTGGGCGAACTGCACGTCGTTCAGCAAACTGCGGGCTGTTTTGATTATGTCTTTGCACTTCTTCGGGGTTTCTTCCACTTTCCCAGCCAGGAAAAGACAGCAGGCACCTGTCACCTGCCGATACAGAGATCACACCTGTACCCACATGGATCTACTTCAATTTCAAGAGAAAGAAGAAGAAGAAGAGTGTCCATCCACTGAACTTACATATCTTGGGAATTGCTTGAAGGAATGAAACATGTAGAAACGGTGGAAATAGATGATTCCAGTCGCCAGTGTGTCATAGTGTCTGAAGACAGTCAAGGAAATCAAGCAGAGCAGTTGAATTGTTCCTAAAGTTAAGATACTGTGTGTTATTTACTGGTATGTCATCGTTCTCATTAGTTTTCATAAAACTCAAATCAATAAGGATACAGGCCGAGTCTGGTCCCCACGTCAAAAATGAAGCGTGCCCCTTCTCTCCGATACCGGGCCTCTGTGCCAGGGTCCAGGCCTTCAGACTGAGAGGGGGTGTGGGCTAAATCCTTCTTGTCCCAGTACCAGCATGGTTTAATGTGGTCCAGGATCCCTTGGTTGGACATTGAGAGGTTCTCCTTGGAGTCCTTCATTGGCTGAGGAGAGTTGACAGAGGATGGACCCGCTGCACTGGGCTGTTAAGTTACAAAATGGTCGTCAGGAATTAACATTAAATACATTTCAACATCAAAACTTTTAGAGATATGATATTAAATTCACCTCCTGACACTTCAGGATCTTGAGCCACAACCCTCCCTATCATCATGGTAACATTTCATCTGACAGACAGCAGGGTGTGGTGGTCATGATTTCTCACCAACAATCAGATAAAGTTAGCTATCTAATACCCACAGATTACTTTGTGAAAATACAGAGATGAAGTGATGGCCTGGGACTTATTCTGGACCAATGCAGAAACATGAAGGATGCCAAAAAGACGTAAAACAGAGTTCAAGCTGATATGCACAATTAAATCTCTGTTAATAAGCTGCACTTAAGGATGGGAATTGATAAGATTTTATCGATATCGATGCCATTATTGATTCAACTCTTAAACAATTCCCTTATGAATGCCTTTCTTTAATTAAAACATAAGGTAGACCAGATGTATGCCACCTTCAGTGAGAGTCTAAAAATAATCAAACGACAAACTATTTGTAAAGCATTTACTTCCTTCGATATGAAGTCAAACACATAACACGCTGTTTAGTCTGGCATGCATTGTGCTTATGTTAACACAGGACATACATCTTCCATGCCGTGCTAAGAAGCCACGCTTTAGCTCGTTTCTGTAGCATCATTATTACAAACACATGACTGGGCAATATAATGCAACTGCTCTAACCACAAACTCTGGACTGTGTTACTTTGGAAGGTGTTCCGAATATTTTGTCCATATCGAACACAAGGGAACCAAATTATTAGGTACACCTTTGAACACAGTACCCCACTTGCACCAACAACAACGCCCAGTAATCACCCGTGTGATTATGCCAACAATAGTGAAAATGTAGTAGCTTTGTAAAGTATGATGTCATGGTTAAGTTCTTGTATTGAGCTAAATCAGAATATTTTAGTTCTTTAAGTTATGGCTTAATACGCAATTATGAGTCGCCGCTATGAAGCTAACGTTACCAAATATGAGCAAATAAGGGGATCTGACTGGATTTAACTAGTAGGTAAAGAGGTCTTAAGGTAGAACATGTGTGTAGGAATCAAATATTTTATCTTCTGGAGGTTCCATCAGACAATTTGAAATTTCGCTGAAACAATGAGCTTCAAATCGCAAGTTAAATCGAATCGACATTAAAAAAAAATCGGAGAAGAATGGAATCAGGAAAAAAGCATGTTGTCCCAGCCCTACTAGTCAGATTATTACAAACACATGACTGGGCAATATAATGTAACTGCTCTACAACAAACTCTAGACTGTGTTACTTTGGGCGATGTTCCGAATATTTTGTCCATTTTGTCCAAAACGAAAATGAGGGAGCCAAATTATCAGGTACACCTTTGAATACAGTACCCCACTTATGAGTCGCCGCTATGAAGCTAACGTTACCGAATACTAGCAGATAAAGGGATCCAGTGGATTCAACTGGTAAGTAAAGAGGTCTAAAGGTAGAATATGTGTGTAGGAATCAAATATGTAATGTTCTGGATGTTAGAGTTAACCTCTTCACATTAACAGGTGTTTCCCTCTCTGTTAGCAGCTCCTGCTAACAAACTCTCCACTCGAGCTCCAAACACCGTTAAGGCTCGAAAACAGCCGGAATTCACACAAATCAACAAAGAGCGACTCTTACCTTTAACATGAAGCCGAGAGAGTCTGTCACCCAAATCACAAGGCTGGAACGGTCAATCCGCGGTTATTTACAATAAGTTGGCTAACAAGTGATCATCTGCAGTCCCCATTGTAACAAGGGCACCGCCATTTTGAAATACGTCAGAGGCCGATGGCGGACGTCATTACGTAAGAATGTAATCACGTGTTCTCAAGCGAAATATTAGTTTAACTTGTCTTTTTTAGCTTAATTTACTTAACTTAAGCTTTGTAAAGGCTTATGTTAATGAAATTGCACATATGTAAGAAGGGACTGACGTTTTTAGTTAAAGTATGATAATTTTATTTTCGAAATTATTCCACTAGAGGGAGACAAAGCACAGCACATGGACTGGGTTTACAGTTATTTGACCACATGACTTTCTTGCAAGACCACTGAAGAGGTTTTTAAGCTTTTGGTTTGACTGAAAAAGAAACTGAAGCCTCATCCTGTCCTACAAAAGCAAACAAGACCACCAACATGCTAAAGATTTCTACACATCATTGTTCAGACCTTAAACTGCTGCTGAAGGGTGGAGGTCAGGCACACTTTAAAAACAGCCTTTTTAGTATTTAACACAGAGATTACAATGATTTTCTATGAGTGATATATTTGATTTGTTACTAGAAAGCAGGATGAGTTTTTTTTTTAATTGAAAATAATAATATGTAGCAGATGAAACCAACAGAAAGATATGAGGAAAGCTGCTTAGTCAAGGACGGCAAAATCTACACCGAACCTGAGAGCTTCTCAGAGCCCTAAAATGCAAATCACAAGAAAGCAAACACATATTGTGTTCGTTATTAGTTTACTACTAACTGGTTTTTGAATACTAGTTTAAAAAAGTCAAGTTCTGTACACAGACTGCTGGGCCTACATAGTTTCAGCAGTAAAGCCCATGACTTCATGACTGAACACCTTATTTGGGAGTGATCTTTTTTCATTTTATGTGAGTTATTTGAGAGGAAATAGATTAACTACTGTGACAAACACTTAAATGGTTGAAACTTTTCTTTATTTTTATAAGAGGACGGACTTTGAACTGTGTTTTTATTCATTATTTGAAGGGACTAGGCCTCATTTCTTAACCCTATTTGTCACTCTATGCACGTTATTGTATGTAATCTTGTTTTTAATTTACCATTTTGACTTTTAATCTCCCTGACTAGCCAAACAAGAGAGAGAAGTATTAAACTATACAATAGCTTTTATCTCCAAATGTGAAACATTTGTTTCAGCTGCTTGTTTCTAACAGTAACAGGCTGAAGTTGTGCTGTGTAGTTTGCAATGTCCCTTTAAAATATACTATTAAAGTTAACCGATGAGAATCAATAGGCAGGGCTCTAACTTTAACTCTATGTGGATGTTGACTGTAGACTCTTTACTGAGATGCATTTGCCACCAATTGAGCTAAACCAGTACGCTCTTCTATCATACAACTAAGTTTGCTTTGTGCATTCTGAGTCAAAATAATACAAAATGCAATAAACCTGCAGGAGGAGCTTCTTTTACAGAACAAGTCGCAAAGCTTTGCAACTAAATCTGAAACTTTAGAGAGAAAAGTATCACTAACTGAAGCTCAACTCTGTTTTTTCCCTCCCTCCCTGAGTCGGCTCACTTTTAAAACTTGATACGATCAGGTCTCTTAGAATCACCATCACCTTTGTTTGCTCTAAGTGTTACAGCAAGAGAGCACACACCACTCCTGAGTAACATGTCGTGCCCTCTTGGTTTTGCTCCCAGCCCTCACTTCTGAGAAAAGCCAGCATTGAATCATTTACTGCGTCCAAATTAAAATTTGGAATCTGCATGCATTATATATTCAGCCGCGCTCGGACAAATCCTCTTAACTGCTGCAGAAATTGTCAGGATGTGTCCTGTAGAAAAGTAAGAGCCTTGTCTAGTTGTATTGCCCGTAGCAAGGGAGCATCTCAATCTGTCACTCAAGTCCGCACACACACACGCACACACACACTACAGTAAATCAGCTCATGAATAATATATACTTGTACTTTCTTTATTAATATTAAACATTGCATAATGAAGCACCGACTATAAGCAAATCCCAGAGCAATATTCATATTACCACGAGCTGTCCTGCAGTGGACCTTTCATTGTTTGTGTCAGTCCTGCTGCGGTTGAACACATCAAAATATCTGCCTGGACCGGCTTTTCTACTTAACCTCTTCAGCACTTTATTTATTTCTTTACTCGCATCGGCCTATTTTAAGATATTAATGTAATATTTCTATTCCTCGTGGATAAGAGAGGCATAAAAAATGGAAGATAACAGGATGTGACAAAGGTTGTGACCCAGAATCAAAGCATTGGAGGACCTGTCCCTCCTTACACAATGTCTCTGAGCTTATTTTTTATGATCGAACATAAATTATGAGTCTGCGGAGCCTCCTTAAACCCTGCTTCACACTTAGAAGAAGAGGGTGCTCAAATGTCAGCATGATGTCTTTTGTAACTTGGACAAAACTTTCATCTCAGCGTGTCCTCGTCTCTCTTGTGTGGGTATTGCCCTGCGGTGCGTTCAGGGGATCTCCTATTCAGCGCTGGCACTTTACCACGCAGAGCTGCTTGTCCCCTCAGAGGCAACACTTTGGACTTAAAACCTTTCCTGTGTCCACAAGCAGGGCGTTTGTGGTATATTGGCCTTGTGCAACCCAGCTTAAACTGCCTTTGCCCGCAGCCTGCAGATACAAGCTATAATGGAGACATTGATGTATTATTGAGAAACCCATGGGTGAGGATCAAGGAGCTGCTTGCAGGCAGCAGGGAGAGCAAGAAAGGGTGTGTGTGTGAGAGAGCTCAGGATGATGTTTTCCTCCAGCTTCCTATGTGTCCACAACTTACTTTGCTCTCTTGGCCCCGATGCGTTGAAAAAAGACATTTCGTGTAATATCACATCGCAAATTTATGCTCTCCAGTCAAAGCAATATGCTTGACAACATGCCGGGCCCGTGTGTGTGAAAGATAGCTGTTGTGTGTAGTGTTTCCATGTGGAGTCTGCTGAGGTTATGTCTACTTGAGCCAGAGCTGAGATGACATTTCATTTATATAAATAATTACTGTCCTGAAAGTCCCCTAGGCCTGCCCCGAAGCAATCAAACTTCTAATGCTCTTAAAATTGCCCACCATGTTTTATTAATGGCTGACTATAAAATGCATATAGCTGCACACTTCTCTGCCGATCCAGGAGGAAGTAGTGTCGACTTTAAATGGCCGTGTTAGGCTTTGTATTTTTATTCAACAATGTATTTCACTCAAATTATACCTCGGCGCAGGTTTGAATTGTACGCAAAAGTAAAAAAAGAAAAGGAACTTGAGCGTGTTCTTAACTGAGCTTTGGCCTGTACAAAGCACTTATCTGTGCATACACACCGATCCAAATGAATACAGTGAATTATGTGCTGAATGATTGCCCATTAGTGCCATTAATTGCCTCTGAGTGAACCTGATCTGCTCTTCAAGGACTCTCTCAGACTCTGAATTGTGTAAATGGCAAATTAAGGAGGCTTCATGCTAAAAATAAGAATAAAACGCAGCGAGGCTGGGCTGGTATGCGTGTGCGTATGTATGTGTGTGTAAGGTTTCACCCTCTGAGCAGGTTTGTTATGTCTCCTGACTGTGCCAACAGAGGGTACTGTTGCCTCACAACATGTTTAAATTATCCAACAACAAAGATGCAGCCTGCTGATTTAACCCTCTGATTCAATGTGAGGAAAAAAAGGTGTGTTTTACATACCAATCAGGAGAATTATCTGGTTATTTTTAGTCTCGGGAACGTCGAATACTAAATGATCTAAATAAGAGGTGACCTTTCAACCTGGATGGACTAAAAGGTCATCCATAGTTTGATCAAGGTGTGTGGTTTCAGACATTTGGAGCAGGTTTCTTCTGACATGTCCAGTTGGAGAATTAAAGAGACGATAAAAGCTGCAGAATGATAATAAAGTTTGAAGAAAAAGAGGAAGAAAGGAAATGGAAATGGGGAAAAACAAAAACAAGAATGAACTCTTGGAATCACATCCCAAAGTGTTGTAAAGGGGATTTTGGAACACGTGCGGTAAATAACAACTGATTAGGGATCAATGCTTTATACGTGGAGGAGCCCCTCGCGGGAGCCACCGCTGTTCGCCTCCAGTGTCTGTCCGCGCGCTGTCCGCCGCCTGCCTTCCCCCGTGCTTCTTGTTGTGTCTGACGCGCAAACGTCACGGACGCACTTGAACTTGAATCCAATCCGACTCCACGGAGGCAACCCCAACCACACACACACCCACGCTCCCGCTCACACACACACAAAACACAACACAAGGCTGCGTGTAGTGTCTCCACACACACATACATACACACATAAACGCGGGGTCCTCCCTAACAGAGCCTCTTTCATCGTGTGAGTCAACAAGAAGTAGCCTCGACACTGGAGGAAACTAGGAAACATTGGACCTCTGCTTGTTGGACGAGAAGGAGGAGGAGGTGTCTTGTCTGCCCGCCTGCTCCCTCTCTCTCTCTCTCTCTCTCTTTCCCCCTTTCTCTCTCTCTCTCTCTCTCTCTCCCTCTCTCTCAATCAGCGAGGCTACTGCCACCAGAGCCAAGAGTTGCCGTTCCGCGCGCCGATGCCAAAACGCACAGGAGGAGTCAGTGCCAAAGGGTCATTTTAGCGCACCGCTGCTGAAATGGAAGGACTGTAGGGAATCCTAGAATAAACAGCAGCAGTCTGACCCCCCTCAGATGATACAATCATATCATTAGAAGAAAGAAAAGAAGAGGGAAAAGGGAGAGGAGCCAAGTCAGAGCCTGTACGCATCACCGGTGGAGCAACCGCGGTCGCTGCAGAGGTGGGCAGTCCAGGATTTTTATCAGCGAAAGGTCATTGCAAAAACAAACCTGCGCGTCCATCGGCTCATCAGCCATCTCTTCTTCCTAAAAGTCAACTTTGGCTTCCTCTATCCAGGTGTTGCTTCCTAAAAAAAAGAAGACGCTGCCAGCAGGGCATTTGTGGACAAACTGCTCCTTCCATCCTTTCTTGCGCTCCTGTCCGACTCCTCACTCACCTTTACCACCTTTACGCGCGTCAAAGTTGCAGCTTTAAAGACTGTGAACTGTTGAGGAATTAGGGAGAAAAGGGGGAAAAGTTGGTCACCTGCGATCCAGAGAGGACCGACACCACGGTCCAAGCCGACTCCAAGTGCCGTTCACCGGGCGATGCCAGAGTAAATGCCGGGGCAATGTCCCGCCGCAAGCAGGTGAACCCGCAGCACTTATCACTGACGCACAGGGAGACAATACAAGGTGAGTCTCAACCTGCGACACTTCAACCCACGGTTTATTTGTCTAAACCACTTTCTTATTTATTATTAATTCATATTTTTTACGAGGTGGGGAATTATTTAGTGGGGAGAAGGTTCAAATTGTTCTTTTGGATTAAATCTTTAAAAAAATGCGCAGAACAAGAAGAGAAATTACAGACAATAACTCTGATAAGTGATGATACATTTATCATCTGATCACACGTGCACACTCAAGAGATCATGATACAAATCTGGATTTTAAGATATTTATTAAACTGACTTTTTTTGCGTGCATTCTAGAGGGTTTTAAATTCATGTTTTATACTTTTAGAAATTTATCCACACAAGTCATTTAAAAATTAAAATACGCCTTTTGGTGCTTTACTTGAATTTACTATTAAAGATGATCTAATGACAACTACTTTCGGACTTTGCGGCCAAGTGTGTGTGTGAGTGAGTGAGTGAGTGTGTGAGAGTGTGTGTTTCCAAGTGCACACACACGTGTGATCGTATGATGCACAATTTTAGCACAACATAATTTCCCAACGTATTGCAACATGTGGCAATGTGTGTTTATATTTAGGAGTGTTTGTGGAGCATTTCTCTGATTTTTAAATATTTTTTTAAAAACTTTTTCTCACTCTCTTTAATTCCCTGTTTCTTAATTTCAACCTATTTTATTTTTGATCATTTTTCTCTTTCTCTTTTGATCCAAATCTGTCAGTTACACACACACACACACACACACACACTATCACACACCTCGACAAACACACACTCACACACACACACACACACACACACACACACTAATTATTTTTCCCTGACACACAAAGGCCTGTGTGCACTTTATGGCAACATTTGGAGCACATGACAAAAATCAAATTACGCACAAATAACGAGTTCAATTCGCAGACTTACTTAAGAGTACACAACACACACAAAGTGATAACACTTTCAACTTTATTAACACACACATCTGAACACAAAAAGCTCATCATCATTTTTTTTTATTTTCAGCTTTTCAAAGCTGCGACCGAAAGCTGTGATGAAATTGCGCAGATTAAATCTGAAGCAGGAATCTTTCTTTTTTTGTGGGCATATGATTAAAAGTCGCATAATCCAATTTCAAATCAATTATATCAATCTAACCTTCATCTCCCAGCGCTCCCTGCTTTGCCTAAATCCAATTTCATAGAGGCCTAATCTGGGTAATTCATTGCAGAAGTTCATGATGTAATCTTTGGCCAATCTGGTTTGTGTTGAAAGGGCTTCGGCGCATTCCGTCCCACCCGACACGTTTGGCATTTCGACTTATCATTTATCCCATTCACTTTGTCTCTGCTTCATGTCACTGACTTTTCTCCTCCTGTTGAGTTTGGAATAATTACGGTAATTTCCCCAGACTTAAAGAGCAATCTGCGATCTAAATGTTTGCTCTGAGAGGAGTTTGTGCTTTTCTAATTTTTCAAAGTGTGCTGCACCCCTCAGCAAGATTTTTAGGCAGATGACAAGCATCGATCCAGCTCGAATATTGATCTGACAGTTTATCCTCTGCTGGCACACTCACTTCATTAAGATTGGAGACTGACTAGATCCCCCCCCCCCCATAATTCATTTTTTTTCAACTCTGCAAAAATTCCCACCATGACTACAGTTTGTCCTCAGGCGTGTGTGCTCATTTTTTAACGTTTACCTGCATGAATTATGACAAATAATCGCAACCTTATGCATATTTTCATTTGTCTTTAGGGAACTGATACAAATTTGGACTAAATGTTAAATATTTGCCTCCCCTCCTCGCAGCCATGGGTCACTTTTTTCCTCATCATTTTTGCATAGTAGTTACACAAACCCTCCCAGCACCTGCTGTGCAGTCAGCAAATTCTCCAAACCTGTGGTGCCGAATGTGGATTCTTGCATAATTAGACGGATAATTAGCTATTACAGATCAGATTTAATTTCTTAATACCCTTGCATGAGTTTGAGAGGTCTTCTGCATGCATCTGTTTTTTACATCAAGCTGGTTTAAGACTGGTTTTAAGTAATGTGTGTCCAACAGCACTTTTAAGAGGTGGAATCTGCGAAATCTGACAAATGTTTGCCTCATCTTGCAGAGTTAGGTAAAGCTGTGCTATAGAGTGGCTATTACTCTAAGCACAGAGGGATGTCATGAAGTAGGGCCATCTGGGCCTGAATCTGGTCCTACCTGTTCTTTCACATGATACACACTGTCTCCTGTTTGATGAACTGTGGCCTCGAGCTGTGACAATGACCTGAGAGGCACAAGTGCATCGAGGAAGGACTGAACCTGCAGGTACTTTTTCGCAGGGATTCATTTTTTTACGGTGCACTGAAGGCGCTCAAGTGCAATGCAAAAAATATATACTTGAAATATTAACAGAAAAGGGTGAAAACAAGCGATTGCATATTTTTTTAATCACCTATTGTCCTCTCTCTCTTTCTGCAAGGAACAATATGTGCAAGTGTGCACACATGCACTCGTATTTGCATAAAGCACCTTTTTCTGTTTGCCAGCCGTACAGGATATCATAATAACGATACCACGTCGGGGGCTGTGATAGATGGATGGAAGGCTTTTAATGTACCCATCATTCAGTGTGAGGAGGCTGTGTGTCGCTGTGGGCTGTTTCCTTAAGCTGGGTGGGTCTGAGGAGGACCAGGATCACACCTCAGGCTGGAGGATCTGAGGAGCGCTGGGGGAAAACCAAACTGTAATTTGATTGAGTCAACATATAAGGAGAGCTCTGCAAACGTATACAGGGGACATTTCAGATATTTAGTGTGGGAAAAAAAAAAAAATCAAGTGGACTTCATTGTTTGTTCTTTTCGCACAAATAGGTCGAGCGACATTTCGGTGTCAGTTTGAAGTGTCAAGATCTTCTTACACAAGTCATAATCTGGAATTAGTGCCAGCATATATCAGCCACATGTCAGACAAGGGGTTACTCTGTGTAACTAAACACAGCCTGGTGCCCTGCAGCCATGGGCTTATAGGTCACACTCCTGTTGGGAGAACAGAGAACCTGAATATCAGCATATTTCTGGACAGGCTTTCTGCAAGAAGACTATGTACTGGAAATCGACTTGCCGGGCCAGACATCAAGAGGGACACACAAGTGACTTTAACGTCAATGCACACAAAGCACAAAGTATGCGCCCAAGGAAAACACACACAGACTCACACATATGGAGCCATGCTAAAAATGCACGCATCACCTTGAAAATGCATTCACAGACTCACTTATCACACGGAGCAAGCTGAATCTGACCTTCAGTTTGCTGTTCATCCTTTTGTTTAATTAAGACTCCTGTAGGCAAACATCCCCTCAAGGCTTTTTTAGGGCTGCTTCTGTCAATGATTCAGACGCCACGACAAAGAAATCTATCAGAGGTATCTCCTTATGAATCACTCTCTGCTATCACAGGCCTCTCTCCCTCTTCTTCCTCTTCTTCTTCTTTTTCAGACCCTCTTTTTTTTTCACTCCCTTTGCGATTTAATACCAGGATTATTAACACACAGGATTGTTTTCCGCCATCCAGCCATGGAAACGCCTCGCCATAACTGTTTACTCTCAGAAATTGGCATGCTACTTGTGAAACAGTTAATGTTTTCGCCTTTATTCGCACCATATGGCCGTTGAATGCTGGGGGAGAAAAACCCACCGTACGCAGCGCAACAGCACAGTAAATATTCACACACACATTGTGGTAACCGGATGATAATCTCACAGGAGATGATTGGTGAGCGATTTATGATTTACAGCGCGGCGTTGCAGTTTGTTCTCAGCTTCTCTTTCTATTTTGCAATAATATCGAACACATTTAATCAATTTTGCAACGCTATAAAGCTCCTCTATTATTACTATTATATCTCCTAAAATTGTTTGGCAAATTTTGATTTATATCTGCGAATGTCATGCCTCATGGCTCGCAAGTCATTTAAAGCGATTTAGTGACAAGTCGCAGTCAGCAGCAGAGCCGTATTTTGCTCACTTTCGGCTTGATAATCTAAGATTTATGATAAGAAATGCGACTGCTACAGATTAAATGGTGATAAGATAATGAAACACACAGGCCTGGCCTTACACAACTGAAGTGTTGCAGCTCTGCTTGGCAATCGCAGCCGAGACAAAAAAAACAGGGATAGGCAAAGCGAGGCCGCTTGTTGTTTGAATTTTTGATTGCAACCATCTGCAACGTTGCTGGTGTCATTTATTTTCAATGACAGCGTGAATCTTACCCGACTTTCCCTGTGGGGTTTACACATGTGTGTGTGTATCTGTGTGTGTGTTTTCAGCTCAGCAATGGAAGGGGAAAAACAAAGAAAGGGAGAGAGAGAGAGAGAGAGACAGGTCTGAACCCATACAGGATGGTCGACTGTCATACAGTACGAGTGCCCCTGGCCTTCTTACTCTGCCTCCACCAGCAGAACACAGTGTGCAGCTGGTATTAAAATGTTGTGTAAGGTCAGGACTCCAGCGGCAACGGAAAATAGTTTCACGGTTTTCTGTTGAACGGCGCTCACGAGAACCTAATCAAATTCGCATCACTGAGTAAAAACAAATGTTTCACATCCAGGGAGAAACTTCTCAAACTGTGTCGATATTTTTTTTTCTGCACCTCTACTTCAGGTAACAACGCAAACAAGAATAAGTCATCAAATTTATGAGAGCATTTAAGGATCATCGTGCGTGAGAAACACAGACGAGGATGACAGTTATGCCTCATCATGTCCTTATTCTGGCTCCAAAATCAGCCTGTAACCCCAACCTGACTGGAGTACAAACTATTTAAAGATTCACAAGTGCTTTCTTTTTTAAGGGGTAAAAGGTCTGATATATTTCTTCACCTTTTCTTTTTTGCACTAATGGAAATATTGGTGAAAGAGGCCCATTGTCTCTGCCTCTGTCTCCCATCTGGTACACATTGTGCAGCAGCAGCAGCAGCAGCAGCAGCAGCAGTGGAGTGAATGACTGACTCTCTCCTCATCAAACTGATAGGGGGTGCTCTAAGGCTGCCTGACTTAACTCGCACTTGATAAGGCAGAGTAGCAGGACTGTCATTGGGTGAATGTAACTCCCTGAATGTGTGTGTGTGTGTGTGTGAGAGAGGAATAAAGTATGTGCGGTATCGTGTTAGACAGCTGGGTTTCATTGCTATCATCACGCCTTCTCCTCGATGGCATGTTTGACAGTGTGTCTGCTATGCTCCCTTACCTATCAAGCATGTTCCTCTCACATAGGAGTTTATACAGAGGAATTAGACACTGTCTGTCATGATGATAGGCCACATTAGGCTGTTTTTCTTTCATGTGTGTTTGTGTCCACAGTGTTTTTCCTCCTTCTTCTTCTCCTTCTCCGTCTTCGTCTCCTTCTTCTTCTTCTTCTTCTCCCGCCCCCCCCTTCTCTGGAAGAATTCCATGTTCAGTTCCTTCTTGCACCTGTGTTTTTCTCACACAGGTGAGCCTCGGGAAAGACGAGCAAAGAGCCAGGGAACGAGCGAGTTATTTTTTTTTTCAGAGAAAGAGAGAGGGGTGTGGTTTTTAGAAGATGTCCGACTGATATTTGAGTGGCAGTGTGACAGTGCCAACGCCTGCTGATTTACCGCCCTTCTGGCCCCGGGGCCGTGTTGCTCAACCAGAGGCCAACGAACAGGCCTTTCTTTTCTTATGTTTGTGCAGGAAGATCATCAAGTTCAAATGCCCAGGTGTCTGTCATCTTCTCTGATTTACTAAACAACAAGATCCGGGTCCTTTTCTCGCCACCTGTCTCGTTCTTAACGTCCAGAATTAGGGCGCCATATTTTTAGCAAAGCATAATCCTGCGTGTATTTATATGCGTTGCACATATGCATGTATGCATGCATGCATGTGCACAGTTACGTGGCCTGTGTGAACACTCTGGAACGTTGCTCCATGTGAATTACGGTCGCAAGCTGTGAACTGTAGGTAAATATGTGTTTGTGTTCCTTCTTTGCCGCCAAAGATTATGAGATGGAAATTATTTGGCAGGCATCCAGGAACCCATCTCCATTTAGAGAAAAGATATTTGGCGTCGGATCATCACTCCAGGGCGAAGTGAGTGGACTGGAACGTGTGTGCGTGCGTGCGTGCGTGGGAGGGTGGGTAGAGGGTGGAGGGTGTGTGTGTGAGGAGTGGGGAGGGGGTGTAGATTCATTCCTGCGAAGGAATATTTGAAATAATCAAAAATCGGTGAACGCTGTGCATCATATCCAGTCACATTTCCACCCGAGTCTAACGGTTATGGCTGGGATTTGAGAGGAGCAACGCCTCCCTGACAGTTTGAGATGAGAGATAAGAGAGTTTAGGATCTTTGTCTGATAACAACACAGCGAGGCGCAGGCGCACACATGCGAGCGCACACACTCTTTGTCTAATCTTTGCAATTATTAGGGTGTCATGTTAGGAAGGGGGAAAAAAAGAGAGAAAAGAAAGAAAGAAAGAGAGAAAGGGGTGGGTGCAAACACAGGCAGGGGCTGCTGTGCTCCTCGCTCTTCTCCCAGGCATCAACACCTCTCCCTGGGCACCCGCTCACTCAGACGCCCCCTTAGAGTCTCTGGAGCTTCAGGTTTCCTTTAGGACACGTCTTCATACTGGTACATCAGGGTAGTCTCAGAGAAAAAGAGAAGAAAAAAAAAAAAGAGAAGAGGGCTGTCCATGAGGGATTTACGTTAAGCTAAGGGAGTCAGTCTGTGCCATAGGGGACGAGCGGGGGGGAAGAGTGTGTAATGGTTATTAATGACCGTGTCAGATCTGTGAAGAATGAGATTTACTCTCTTAACAAGACCTCGGGTTTGGCTTTATAGATTTTCTGTCTGTGGAGAATACAGTGTTCAAACTCACCTGCTCCACACACACACACACACACATTTCCTTTCTCTTTCTTCTTCTCTCATTTTTCTTTTCCTGCGTCTTATTCTATGATGCACACACACACACACACACACACACACGCACACACATGCTGGTGGCTGTGGCCTCCGCTACGCTAACACTTTGTTCTGCACAAGCCGGGGCTCCCACGTGGTGAAGGCAGCCGTCTCGCTGTGACAGCTCAGTGCAGCAAAGGCCCTCACCGGAAACCCAGCCTGCACTGTGAGATGAATGGCTTCCTGGCCTGCACACACACATGCACATGAATACACACACACATGCAGACACAAACAGAGGCACTGACACACATATACATGATACAGTGTATGTGCGGGGTCCCACCCACGCAGATCTCTCACGGATAAGCCGCACAGGTGTTTGTCTGGGCGCAGCAGCTTCACAGGGGCGGTGTTGTATGCCATGAAAGTGACACGAGAGGGACTGTAATCATTGTCACATGGAGGAGGAGGTGGAGGAGGAGGAGGGGAGGAGGGGAGGAGGGGGTCGGCTTTTTTTTTTTACCAGGCGACAAAATCGCTTCGACTCAGTGTGTGTTTTTATCTCCATGAGAGTCCACAAACTGATTTACATCTGTCCTCTTTCTGCAGCCGAAGCCAATCATGATTCAGGGGCGGGATCTCCATCTCCAGAGCCGTCCAGTCCCAGTCCAAGAAGGGCAGGACCCGGGGAGCATGACCTCCTGACCTGCGGCCAATGCCAGACCAACTTCCCTCTGGGGGACATCCTGGTTTTCATCGAGCACAAGCGCCGCCTGTGCCGGGGGCCGGGGAGCAGGCTGGGCTCCTTCACCAAACCGGGGGAGAGCGGCGGGGTCGTGGGCATCCAGATCTCGCCGAGGGCTCGGTCGCTCGAGATGGGGAGAGGGTCCATCCCGGTGGAGGTGGGAGTCCAGGTGACCCCCGGAGGAGAGGACCATGAGGAGAGGAGGATGACGCCGGCGAGGGGGATCTGCCCCAAACAAGAAAGAGGAGGTATGAAGAGTGAGTAGAGGAGGGGGGGGAGAGGCGGTTCAGTCTCAACACACACTTTTGAAGAGAGCTCTCATGTCAAAACACACACACACACACACACACGTGTACACACACACACACACGTCTCTCACCTGTCCAGGACTGATAGCTTTCTTTAAAGAATCTCAGCTGCTTGTTATTTTGACAGTGGCCTTCAGGAGGGATTAATGTAGCCCGGGATGATTTCATTAGACTGAGCGAGAGCTGTGTGCGTCTATTCTGCTCCGTTAAAAAGTGAAACATCACACACACACACGTACACACACATATACACGCTAAACAAACAAACAAACACACACTGGCAGGCCTGAAGGACTTCTTCAGCTGAAACCAATTGTGAAAGGCGAGGAGGAAGGTGATAGAGGAGCCGCCCCCAGTGTGCATGTGTACGTGTGTTTGTGTGTGTGTGTGTGTTTTTTTTGGCCCGTGTGAGCGTGTGCGTCACGTGTTCGAGTGTTTGTAAAGAAATCCTGCAGCATTTGAAAAAAAAAAAAAAGAGGTTAAGAAAGCTGATTAAAATTCATCTGTGTGCGTGGTGAGGAGAAGGGGATTAATAAAGCAGCAAGGCCGCTCATCTGGCTACAGGAGGAGGAGGAGGAAGAGGCGAGAGGGAGGGGAGAGGTGGGAGGGGAGGAGGGGGGTCTGAAGACTGCCAGCGCTGCAGGGAAACCAGTTCAAAGTTATCAGAGGAGACAGTCACCATCACACCCGAGAGCTGGGAGGGCTATCCAGGATTACACAGACTAAGAGGGACCGGGTTACAGGAGAAAGAGGCTTTTATTGTGAAAGTTTCAGCCATGTGAAGGGATTACACACAGACACCGGCCACCACACTGTCTTACAGACCGGTGTTTCATACTTTTACATCTGCAGAGACGTCAGGATTTAGTTTATTTTCCTTTTTGAAATCGTGTTTTGAACTTCTGGGATAAGGATTAAAAAATTTGCACTCAGAATCAGGGGCGGACTTAAGAATTTGGGGGCCCTGGGCAGAGGCAAGCATGGGACCCTCTGCATCCTTTACAGTAAAATTCTTTTAAAAGAGCAATTTGGCTGATCGCTGATGCTGTCGTTGTTATTTATTTTCCCGGGAAACAAAAAAAAACCTCTATTATAAAAAAATAACTGAACTGTCTATAAGCCTCTAAATGTGCTGTGAGATAGTGATGCTACAAATATACGACAGTCGCTCAAACATAAATGATAACGCACATTAAAGCAATATTAATTCAAAGCTATAACACTGAATTAATGCAGATAAGTAAAACCTCTGTTTTAGAGTTTTAGGGGGCCCCAAGAAACTCTGGGCCCTAGGCAACTGTCGAGTGTTGGACCGCCACTGCTCAGAATAAAAAGCTAGAAATCGGCACATATGTACAGTGTGTGTGTGTGTGTGGCCTGCATCTGTTTGCGGTCAGTGTGAAAACTGCATTGAAGAGTATAGTGACAGCACAGTCAGAGCTAATATTTGGAAATATAGGTGATGTGATTTTTGTAGAAATTCTTCTTGAGAATCTTAAGAGTTTTTATGTTTTTTTTAGTGTTCAATTCATAAGAAAGAACCTCAAGACAGCACCTCGGTTTGGTTACGCGTTTGTTTTTGTCTTTTTTAATTCATAATTAGGGTGTTTAATGGACACTTAACCCGCCTAACAGCAGAGAAAAAAACTCATTTGGCAGCTCGTGCATTTTTTAAAAAAGACTCAATGAATTTTTTTTTTACACAGCGCTTTGTCTGTTGGGTGGTCAGAGGAAAAACATTTAAGCAGTTAGAGAGTGAGTCAGCCTGTTACAGCGGCAGTCAGTTAGTCCCCTCTCACACACACAGACACACACACACACAGACAGAGTGACAGTCTTATCACTAAGAGAACAGGACATGAAAGCACTCCAAGACCCAAATGAAAGAGAGGAGGAGCGCTTTGTTCAACACATTAGATTGCCACTCAAGGCAGTCTCAAGTTTCAACCAAATTAGATTACATTATTAGGTCTAATTAAGTCCAATGTGTTAGCAGCACACGCACACTGACACACACCCACCCACACACAGACACATGCACACACATAAGGAGATATCGCTGCACTTTCTTGCATGCATGTGGTGTGAAGACTCTGCAAGCGAGAACACACATGCGCGTTTTCTGCAGAGACAAAAACGAGCGTATGCATCATCGATAACACACACCTGCTCGTGCATAAGTATAGAACAGTTCCCATAATGCACTCTGGCGTGTATGAAATACCTGCTGTATGCGTAACACTTAACCCTCTCCTCTCCTGGATTGTTATTTTTTCACCTGCTTGTGTTTTATAACATCCTGTCTGGCCTCTTTGTCTGTCAGCCCCGCTCGCTTAAACTGCAAACATGCTTGCAAGGCTAGCAGATTCAACCCCAAAAGGTGCAAACACACACACACACACACGCACACACACACTGGGTGTAGATGAAAAATGGCCCTTCTGTGCCCTATTTTATTTTCCTTGAGTTTCTCTTGCTGATGCATGCACTCTGCGTGTTTATGTGTGGGCTTTGTCACAGTATGTTAATATAAGTGTGCGCGCCTGCGTGTGCTGTACCTCTGGATGAATTTGTGTATGCGTGCGGCGTCTGTGAAGAATGACGTGTGTCACCAGGAAAGCGAGGGGTTGTCGCTAGGGGAGCGTTACCATGCTAAGACGACCCTGGCCCTGCTTTGAACCCCTCCCAGGACGGCTGGCGGGCCCCCTCGGAGCACTTAAACACATCCGGAGAGAAAGTCACATCATGACAACTCGTCTCTCCTTCTCCTCTGTGTCTGTCTCTTTCTTTCTCACACACAAACACTTTGTATAGAGATCACAGGCTAAATATTTCATGAGATCATGTGAGCGACAGTGACAACATCTTCCCCCTCTCTTTTTTTTTTTAATACCTCTCCGTCCACTTCTGATCTTCTCCTGCGTCGAACTGGAGATCTTGATTTAATACCGATACTGAAGTGTGAACTGAACTGGAGTGACACGAGATTTACGATCAAAGAATACAAATGAGACACCCACCACTTATAAACTGTCACACCTAAGCGTGCAACATATTTGCAGATGTGAAAGTGTGTTAAAGTGCACGGATATTTTTTCATTTTTTTAACCTGGGTGGATCAGTTTTTTTGTCCTCGAGCCAATCAGCATCGAGGATTTCTTAAACGGTGTTTTCTACATGCTGGAAAAAATAACGAAAAACCGAGCGAGACCTTTTGCACCCGAAGAGGTCAAACTTTCATGTTCGACACTTGTCACCCAATATCTGTGACAGCCCAGTTTTCACACCTCAACACTACTGTGGATTTGAAGGTGTCCCTCTCCTCTCCTCTCCTCTCATCTCTTCTTCCCCCTCGCTTTCTCCCCCCATCTTTTTTTTTTCCTCCCTCTTTTTTGCCCCACCACCCAATGCTCCTTTAATCACCTGGCTTGCTCTCATTTCCATATTAAATAGGCTTTAATCATGAAAAGCAATCAGGCTTTTGCATATTCATACCTTCCCCTGTACGCCGGCTTCCCTGTCTCGCTCCAGTGCCAAGCAGCCAGTAATCAGTAGGCAGGCGGCGTAATGCCATAGCCCCGGCCCATCGCATGAAAACACACACACACACACACACATGCGTGCACACGCTGCGCACGCACACACTGCATGAGTTCGAAATAACTTCACATGCTACTTACGTATTATCTCTACTCCAGGAGAGAGAGAGGGAGGGAGAGATAGAGGGAGAGGAAGAAGGGTGAGAGATAAAAAAAGAAAGATGGCGAGACTGATCCCTGATTTGAGCTGCGAATATTTGTACAGAGGCTCAAGGAAAAGTCGATTTGCATAATGACTTTGTAGTTTTGCATTAATCACATTTGCATATGAAAATGCGTTAATTACTCCTGATGATTTTTTTTTAAAAACTTGCTTCATTTGATGTCCAAGCTCTGGGGTTGTGATTAGGGGTTACATGGTGGCAGTTGTGTAGGAGGTGTGTTGTTCACATGTGCGCCCCTGATGCCTTTTTCCGCGTGTGTGTTTATGCGCTCCTACATGAGTGTTTTGAATGCTTGCCAGGGATTTTGTCTTGTGTCTGCTGGTAGGCATGTGTGTCCCTTTTTTTTTTCTTCTAAATATCTCATTTGTGCGAACGAGAGAGTGTGTGTGTTTTGAGTTTCAGTGTGGGGTAAATATTTCCTTATTCCTCTGTGGGTAAAATGAGGACTACTCTCTCGCCTTTTCACCAAAATACACAACATTTTGTTTCTGATTAACGCGGACAAACACTCATCCATGATTCAGTGTCTCCCCCCCTCCACCTCGTTTGTCTTTGCTTTCTTGGACTTTTGAGCTTCAATAGTGGAAAAGGAAAAAAGAAATCATGATGGCACGGATATTATTATTTTTAAAATGTCAACAAAAATGACAGATTACTGGACTTTTGGATCACTACCACCACTTAAGGATGAGTTTTTGTACAATTTTAATTATGATACATTTTTAAAATATTAGATTATGTCTTTTTGTGTAAAAAAAAAATATATACAGGATGCAAGCATGAACATTTTTCCACTTTCATGCATCCTCTCTGGTTGCAGGTGCTTTTGCAGAATTGGTGCAACTGCGTGGATGTTGTTTGCAGCTGTAAAGTGGCCTCTGCATACCCACTCATAGGCCATATTATACGTAAAAATGAAACTTAAACTTAATCTTTTGACGCAACAAATCGTTAAAAGAGCAAACAACATGTTTTACCGCAAACTCAGTGACAGTAGTGGAAAACGAAAGTGAGTTTAAGGACTAAACCCTGGAAGATTTCTCTGATTTGCTCTCTGGGCGTTAGGGTCCATATATGCTGCATTTGTGTGAGTGTGTGTGTGTGTGTGTGTGTGTGTGTACAATTACAGTATACGTGTTCCTGCCTGTGTATGGGCCCCTAGAGTTGTTGGCTCATAACACCGCGCCTCAGACAGGACCACCCCAGGGGCCGTCTGACTCCGCTTGTGTGTGTGTCTGTCTGCTACATCCAACAGGGTCAACCAGGTCTATAAGAAAAGCCACTAAAAATGGCACAGCTGCACACGCACACTCCACCTGACACACACACACACACACACACATGCATGAATGCAACACTCCAACACATAGACATGCACACTTGGAGATTTGTGCAAAACCCTGCGCAGGGGTCCTCACTTTGATAACAAACACAAAATGCGCGCATGCAGGAATGCATACATCTCCCATTAAAGCCCGAACACACTCGTGCACGAGCAGACACACGCACGCACACACACAGCTTAAGGGCTCCCACATGAAGGCATCAAAAGCTCCACAGCCAGCTTTATGGCACTCATATGGCAGCAGATTTGATATTTTCCTACCACAGCGGGGGAATAAAACTCGCCACTAATTTGGACTGCGAGCGCCACCGCTAACTTTCAGCATGTGCCGACTGACTGTGTCTTCCAGATGTGTGGACTCTTTGCTCCTTAACAGCCTTACTTAAGAGGCATTAGAAACCTCACACCCTGGCCCTAGCTACGCTTTGGAGAGCGGCAGTGATGGCGCTTCCGCACAAACACGCCGCTTTATGCGAAGCGCTGATGCGAAGTTCATGGTCTTGCTGCTGTGGACCGCGAGTTGTCTTGTGTCAGTGGGAATCTGTGAATGTGTTTATGTTCTTTGCATAAATAGCTATAATCAAGGTAATTTGACTTGCCGCTCTGTAGTTACTCAAGCTACCCCGTTTGCTTCTGCTCTCCGGTTGTGACATTCGATTACAGGTGTGCTTTCATTAACGCCGAGTTAAGGTGCGAAAATTTTTTAAAACTTACTGTAATTACAGTCTGAATGTATATGCAGGAGAACCTGCTGAGCAACATGGTGATTTTTTCCTTACTTTAGAAACACACCTCGCAGAAAAACTTGAGGCCACGCTGATAAAACTCGTGTCTGTGTGTGTTCAGCTATTGTGCGGTGCGCCATAACATATAATATGCCCCCTTTCAGGAGGAAAATGGCGAGATTTTCTGACCGGGGCGTTCACTCCAGCTCTCTATAGAAAAGTGTTTGCCTTCAGGAGGAAGAGGCCTGCCATTAGTATTTGTGAAAAGGGAAAAGAGATGGTGCTTGTTAGCCAGTCAGACAGGGGTAATCCTACTTGCTTCACTGTTGTTGCTCCTTTCCTCTTATCTTATTAACGTCCCACTCTGATTGGGTGGGATTGTGAGAGAGGAAAATGAGGAGAGAGCGTTTATGGTGGTAGTTTTTTCTTTTTCAGCCCGCTCTGCCACAAGAGATATTGAAAGCCTTTCATGGTACACTTACGATTCCCCTTATTTCATCCACTTATTTGTTTCCAGCAATTACTCAGAAAGAGAGAGAGAGAGAGAGAGAGGAGAGAAAACACACCGGACACAGGCGAGCACATGACAAACGTAAGCTGCCTTTATGTCGGTTTGTCGCTTAAGTATAAATCGGCGTGGAGCTATCACCGAGAAACAGAAAAAAAACAGAAAAATGGAGCAAAAAGAAACTTTTGATTTCCAGCACCTCTATAGAAGTACGTGAAAGTTTAATGGAATCTTATTTTGAGTGTTTGAACTTTTAAAAAAAGGCGTTTAAGAATTTTAATAGCGAAAGCTCCCCTCAGAAGAAGCGTCTTCGCCGCTCTTTAATCCAAAGAACACACTCTGAACGGTTTTCATAGGGAGTTAATTTTTTATTTCTTTATTTTTTTTTATGTTTTCTGTGGATTAGCAAGAGCACCAAGGAAAGACATTCAAATTTTCTTTTTTTTCTGTCTCAATCAGAAACAAAACTACAGATTCTCATGATCCGGTGTTCAAAATTTAAAGGGTAAATCCGCTCAAAATATGAACGAATATGAACCTCCCCCGTCAAACTTTTTAACCCTCGTCCAAAACGTCTGCTCCGGTCTCGTTCTGGATGAAAGAGGGCTTGCACTGTCATGTCCATAGATGGCAATACAGACAGGGGGAGTTAACTGCTCGAGGTTAAAGGGGGCCTGCACCCTCGCTGTATACTGGCGTAATTCATACTTTTCCATAAAGCCCTCTTCTCCGTGTCTGTCTCTCCCCGAGCAGAACGCAGCGAGCCAAAATGAAATAAAGCCTGAGATGTTATCGGGGTGATTGGTGCCAGCGGAGCTTGTCTGGGCCTGTGGTCTGGTGGGGCAGCGCTGGCCTGTACCAGTGTTAGTATCTGTGTGTGTGTGTGTGTGGGTGTGAGTGTGTTTGTGTGTGTGTGTCCTAAAGGCACTGGATAGATGAAAGCTTTCTTTAACCATAAGCTATGCAGGAGCCGTGCCAGGAGCAGGAAATGTATCAGCGTGATAACAGCCAGAAAGACAGAGAGAAAGAAGGAGAAAGAGACAGAGAGAGAGAGAGAGAGAGAGAGAGAAAGGGAGGGAGAGGCCGCATGAAACCCACAGGGGGAAGCCTAAGGCCAGAGGCAGCCCAATAACACACACAAACACACAAATGTCACTTCATAAATATGTCTTGGGTGTGTATGATGAAAGATGGATCTATGCTCATGTCTGCATGAGTGTGTGTGTGGGTGTGTGTGTGTGTGTGTGTGTGTGATAGTGTGGGTGTGTGTGTGGAGCATTCAAGGTTATGTTCTGGAGACGGTTTGACACACCTGAGAACGTATAGGACCGAGAAAGAGAACAGAATACACCTGAAGACACGACCGTTGTAATGCTAACAATGTTGCAGGGTCACATCAACTAAAACAGCGGAAATAAAGTGATTTATTACCTTATTTTACATTTACGGAAAAGTGGATTTTCTTTTTCCATTATTTACGACTCCTTTTTCTAGTTTGCATGCCGTGTAAAACATTCAGATTTGGCTAACTGTTGATCTAAAAAAGATTTATGTTCGGATTATGTTGGAGTTTACTGTGAAGATCAGTATCAACCCTCATGTTTGTATGCTAAACACAAAGCTAACACCGACAGTTAGCTAGTTTGGCCCCTGAAAAGTGTCAACACTTCGCTTAAGAGGTGCTAATCCTGGGATCTTGTTACCTTTAAAAGAGAGCCGTTTAACCCCGAATTAACACTTTATTTCTCGCTGTTTAATCCGTGCCAATATCAAACCGTTAAAACATCCTAACGACGCGCGAGGAAGTCGCTACTCTTCTCCAGGAAATAGCCTGAACCCGGTGAAACCTCGGTGTGAATGTGACTTTTTTAAAAGTATTGTTTGTGTTTGGATTAAACCAAGCGGAGAAGAGAGAGTTGATGCTTTTGGGCTGATTTTATCACCTTTGGGAGTCACAGACGAGCTGCTTCAGTGTGTCTAAAACACAAACTTTTTTACAACTTTTTATTACCGTTCCCTTTGTTTTGTTATTTCCTTTTAGTGAGCTAACTTTCATCTGGTTGGTGTCACACAATGCAACTCTTCTGGCCTTCCTTTCTGTGATTCTTGCAGCTTTTCGCTTCAAGTTCAAGTGTGAGGAAAAGGAATGCATCCTCTCACAGTTTTTTAGTGGCCAAAATCACGTATTAAAATGAAGAAACTAGTAAATAAGAACATTAAATGCTCGGGCTCTGTTTCCTAATCACTGGAAAGGCTGCTACGCCATGTCCAAAGCATGTGAGGGGCAAGTTTTATAGCGGGTTGATTGGGTTGGAAGGGCCTGTGTGCTTCATTCAGGGCCTCGGTGGTATTTTCCTGTGGGCTGCTAGTTAAGTGGGCCTGGCTGCTTGGCTCCAGTGGGCAAAAAGCAGCTGGGGACCATTACTACCGCTGAAAGAATACAGCACCCAGTCCCAGATATACACACACCAAGCATGGGTACATACATGCAAACACGCTCTCCAAACCACATGCGCATACATCACAAACAGAAGCGCAACTCTCTCATATTTTCCTGCTACTTTTTGACACACAAGTAAAGTCAGCCTGGGCCATCTGGCAAAAAAAAAAAATCACGATATATTTTGTCGGATTGTCCGATCTCGATTATTATCACCATCTTTTTTTAAACTGCCAGTTTTAAAAACTAAAGAAACTGGAGATTAGTTCAACATTTTATCAACATACGAAGTAAATAACAAAGAATAAGATTCGCTTAGAAAAATATTAAAACATTTTAACTCAACAGTTCAACAAATGTAGATAAATACTTAATAATACAGTGAATTAGTTTACAGCCCTGAGTATTGAAATAAACAAATCCCCCCTCAGAGATAATGAAGACGCCTTAAAATGTAAACATTAGATGATGTAAACGTAGACGATACGATTGATCGCTGATTTGGTCTGGTAGCTGCACCGCTAGTTGTAGCTAAACTGCTTATGCTACTAATGCCCTCAGCAGTAACAGGCTGTACAGACTCCGCCCACATTTACATACTTTCCTCATAATCACTCGGGAAGAACTTCTTTGAATAATTAAACAGGTCTGTTGTGTTGACGGTTTTTGAGGGCACCGACTGCCAACATACCTCACACATCGGCTTAACTACTCAATGTCACTATGGAGATACCCGAACCACCGCCACACCACCGCCGATCAATAACTTTTCCTCTCAACAATAACCTCTTTGGAGGATGACTCAAAGTCACGGCTGACGTCTATTTCGCTGTCCTCAGCTCCGCGTTTAGCTCCACGTTCGGTCATTCTGTTTACTTCTCCTGTAACAAGAGATTAGTTCAACATTTTATTAATATACAAAGTAAATAACAAAGAATAAGATACACTTAGAAAAATATACAAACATTTTAACTCAACAGAACAACAAATGTAGATAAATACTAAATAATACAGTGAACATGTTTACAGCCCTGAGTGTTTTTGCAGGTATGCAAGACCTAAAATAAACAAATCGCCCCCGATTAGACGTCTATTTTGTTGTCCTCATTCTATTTACTTCTCCTGTTTAGTTTTAAAGAAACGAGAGAATAGTTCAACATTTTATTAAATAAAGTTTTTCGAGCAGGAAAAGCTCGACTCCGCCATGTTTGATCGAGTAAATATGCACACAGCGGATCACCGTGATCGAACTGAAATTTATCACGATCATCGATCATGAGCGTATAACCGCCCAGTCCTACAAGTAAGCACATTCACAGAGGAGGTAACCAGTGAGCGAAGCCGGAGAGGAGTTTGCAGACGGACCTTCACCTCCGGCAGAAACTCTTTGGTTTGATTTAATTTTGTTTAGGAGAAAAAAAACATTCAAATAACAGCATACCGTTACACCTTATATGCTCTGTTTGTATGAAATGATTGATCCGATGAAAAATTTAATAACCTCACAAAACAGAATTCGAGTGTCACTCACATGTCACAGTCAATTTCCTATTCCCTGCCGCTGAATAGGAAATTAACTCCTGGACAAAGTGTGCGCCCCCCTAAGGGGGTATGACTGCAGCTCATTTGGATGTAAAACCTTGAACAAACATTGTGCGAGTCCACAAAGTCGCTCTGCATTTCATTGTAGAAGCAGCGTGAGTTTTTCGCCTTCTGATTTCATCACCTGTCTAAACAGTTTCGTGTTTTCTTTGTTGTTTGTTGCATCTGAGGGGTCTCTTTTCTGGCGTATATCTCACATTGTATTTATTCTATTAATCCTTTAATTCAGCGTACTTTCACCCTGATACTTCCTCATTAGTTCCTTTATTTCTAATTGCGCGGCGCCATGTTTCCCCTGCTGTTGTGTTGTTGTAAAATGAAAAGATTAAATTGGATATCAAAGGAGAAATCACAGGTGATGGAGAATAACAGAGCTTAATTTCTCCTCCGTTCCCCCTTTGCTGCATGTGATCCTCTCTTTTTGTGTCTCTTCTTCTTCTCCCTGTCTCCCACCGCCCTCATTTTCCATCTTTCATCCTCTCCTCCATCTTGCCCCCTTTCCCTCGCTTCTTCTCGCAAACCACAAGCACGATTGAGTGTCATCCATTTGTCAGCGTCACATGACAGACAGCAGACCCCACAAGTGTGTGTGTGCGCACGTATCCCTGAGACACACACACACACAAACACACACACACATGAGCACAGGCGCTGGGACCAGTTAGGAGCTGATGGCGATGAGTCAGGCTTTGAGAAATGCCACAGAGAGCTTAGCTAATGCACTTTATGGAGCTCCCTTTTTCTTTTCATTCCTTTTTTCTTCCGTCTGTATCGCTCCCCTCTTTCTCCCTCCCTCTCTCTTTGTCCTAGAAGCCGAGCCAAAAGTCATAGCTCTTCGCTGACAGAGAGGTCTTTCCAGTTATTTTTCACAGCGCGTCCCCTGTGCCCTCGCCGGGATGACTCGCCCTCACGTCGCTAACATGAGAGCCTCAGCCTCTCGCGCGTTGTCGTACAGCTGGGGCGCCCTCCGTGTCCGTGTGCAGTGGTTGGAGATACCTGATCCCTTTTATTGTTCATTTGACCCGCATCCCAGGAGGCATGAGGGTCAGGGCGGAGTACCCAGATACCTCTGTCGCAGGTGCTGGGTGTGAGAGCGAAGGAAAGAGGAGAGAGAGAGAGGAGAGAGAGAGCTGAAGGGACGAAGTTTAGAGTTTAGAGGTGAAAGGAAAAATAGTTTTTACTTTCCAGCGAACCCATTAAGCAGCACTGTTTCTTTAAAAGTGAGCTGGTCATATCTGCTACACACACACACACACAGATACACACAGACACACACATGCACGCACACAGATGTATATGGTTAGCAGGCCGAAGCTGGTTTGAGTTAGCATGGAGCCAGTCACACTGTGTGAGAGCCTTACCCCCTGCCTGCTACCGCCACCCTCCACAGTCTCTCTCCTTCTCTCCGTCTCTCCATCTCTCTCTTTTTTTTTAATACTGTATCTATGAGGGTCAACCACTCTTGGTTCGCCGTCTGTACCCCCGCCCCCCCCCGGTCGCGCACGCTTGATCTGCGCGGCCTCCTGATTAGCCTCCTTGATGACAAACACGCCGTCAGAGCAAAGGTTGAGACTGAGGAAGGCGGAGGGGACCGATGGGAGATGTGCGGAGGAGGAAGAGGAGGAGGAGAGGAGCAGAGGTGTAAGGGGAGCAGGGATTGAGGAAGAGAGGGGGGCAATCGGGCGAGGTGAGGAGGCTGGGACCCCTGGGGACCCCTAGATCACAGCCATGCTAATGAGGAGCTGCTTTGCCAGCAGCAGAGGTGTCAGCTAACCCCTGACAGGTGCACACGCACACATGCATACTCCCAGGGCTCATGCCTGCGCGTGCATGAGCGTGTGTTTGTGTGTGTGTGTGTGTGTGTGTGTGTGTGTGTGGGAGGGGCTGCAGGGACAGGTTTGTGTCCCAGTGGCCTAGCCTGCGGGCGGCTTTGTTCAGTATGCAAATCCGTAGCTGTGGCGCTCTGTCGCCCTTGATGGAATGCCGAAGCAGAACAGCGAACCTGAACCCCAGGAATGCTGCAGCACGCACACGCACACACACACACACACAGAACACACACACATATATTTACCCCCCCTTCACACACGCATGTGACATCCATTGTGGTACATCCCCTGCTCCTCTAGTCACTTCCTTGTTAACAACCCCGGCTCTGCGCTCGCTGTCTCCCGCTCCTACATTTTTCTTACACGCTCCAAACTTTACTCCGGTTTCCTGTCTGCCGAGGAAGTGTCCGTGTCAGTGAACGCAGCCCAGCAGAGAAGTTGGCGGGCTTGCGTTCAAATCCTTCTTATTTTCAATTACGTTTCTTCCCCCTAAGCTTTTGAGAGTTAATTTGGCATCAGTGAGCGTTCATTACCATCCACTCACTGTTCACTGAGAAGCTCCAGTTTGCCCATCTTGTCGAAGGCTGAGTTTGCGGATTTCTTCTTATTCTTCTGTGGTCTTATTATAAGTCCCTCTGGATTAGAGCGAGTGATAAAGCCCCCAAACTGTAAGTGTAGTGTAAATGGAGGGAGCTCATGCCTTGAAAATATAAATCAAACTCAGACTGCAGGGATGGCATATGTGGATTCCTAAATTAAACCGAAATCCACATGTCTGCACCGTACGCCTGGTCCCTGCCAAGCTCACACCAACTTTCCTTCACTGGCCATATGCAAACAGTCAATATCGTGGCTCCCCTTCATTCACTGGCATTTTGTTTGTACTTTTTAAGGCAAAATAATGGCTATAAAAGGCAATCTGGAAAGAATAAAATCTGATGTAAAGCTCAGATCTCGGTCCCTGAAGACTGGCTTAATTGGCCCGGTGGTTTAGTAAAAAGAAAAAAAAAAAACAACCCAGGAGAGAAGGAGGGCATTATTACTGGCCCACCTCAGCCTCACGCATGTGCCAATGTTTTAATAACTTCCTCCAGGCCTCCTGGCCTTCAGCCTTTGTTTTGTTGCGCAGGACAAAGAGCGCAAAGCTGGTCTCGGATCTGTTTCACGGATCTGTCTGTCAGGATGTTCACCTCTGCAGAAAAAGAGCCGAAGTTACAAACCATTTTAAGTGTCAAACTGAAGCGTTTACGAGTAGTTCTGCCTCGAGCTAAATGACAAAAGATGGCATATTCATTTTATAATGTAACACCAATTTACAGAATCCTGCTGCGACTCCATTTCATTTAACCTTTCATCTCAGACGCATTTACCGACCAGTGCGAGTGTGTGCAAATGTGTGTGTGTGGGTACATGTCTGTGTGCATATGGTGTGTCAGAGTAAATTGGGCGATTAGGTCCGGCATCAGTGGCTGCGTGGAGACGAGAGTGTAACTGTTCTAACTGCTAGTTGACCTTGGCGGTCAGCGGCGGAGGGGTCCCTGCGTGTGTGTCAGAGAGACGAGTGTAATTACCTCAAACTGAAGCGTGACACGGCCCATCGTGATTCTCTAATGAACGCTTTTATTGGCTGGAGCACTACGCAGTGACAATGTTCACACACACCCAGCGTGTGTGCAATTGTGTGTGTGTGAAAGAAGGAAGAATGGAGCGTGCATATCTTTGTGCATCTGTGTGAGCGGGTTACATCATAGTGGTAAGTGTGTGTTGTTGGGGGATTGATTTCATACAGCAGAGATTTGCATCCTGTAGGTTTGGGTTTAACCTTTATTTGACTAAAGGTGAACACCAAAATACATCAACTCTTTTTTTTCAGCACTCAGACAGGCGAGGGTGGAGCTGCAGGAAAATAAGTGCAACAGACCAAGAGGGCTGTCAGTCAAGCGAGCTTGTTGATCTCAAGGCCCATAAAGTGCTTTTGATGAAGTGCTAATTTTGAAGTCTTTGCCAAGACGCACAGTAGAAGAAGCCGAATGAGTCTAACGTGCAAAACTGTTGTGCATTAAAAAGCTAAAAGAAAAACAAAAATCATGTTTCAGTAAGTTGTATCAACCGCAGTTGTGAAAGCACAATTTAAAGGTACAGTATGTGATATTTAGCAAAGAAGACTTGGTGCAAATGGGACATCATCCTCATAAGTATGTTTGGATTAGAGTTCAAGCACTTGAATATAAAAACTGTTTTGTCTTTGTCAACTCAAAACAAGACTTTTATATCTACATAAAGGAAGCTGCCTGTATCTTGTACTGCCATGTTTCTACTACAGCCCCAAAAGGACAAACTAGATGCACCATTTAGGAGAAGAAGAAGAAGAGAGTAGTGTGGATAGAAGTTTTTAAAGGTAATAACTTGAGAAATTAAGGATCTTTTCTATCATGCAGCATCGAGGCTTCTTGTCCTCATAGGCCACCGTCATTCCTCAGACTAGAGGGTTGAGCGAGGGAGCTTTTCGATCTGGAATCTGACTGATCACTCCCACTTCTTTGCACTGTACCTTCAGGGCTTAACACTAACACTAACTTTCAAAAGGAGCACACAAAGAACTAATAATAATGAGTGTCTTATTGGTCGACATAAATACTATTATTTGAAATCAATTTTAGGTATTTTGGTCACATGACATGGAAGCTATTGAAGAAAATGTTCAAAATTTGCCTTTAAATTTAACACAAAAATTTTTTTGAGGACAAATAAAGAGGCGTGTCTTATCGTCCGACCTTAGTACGATTATTTGAAATCAATTTTAGGTCAATTGGTCACATGACATGGAAGCTATTGAAAGAAAACAGCATTTTTGATAACATCAACCAGTAATTTATTGACGGTCCCTTATTCAACACCAGACGTTGACAGTGAGGGTGCCGAGTAGATTTAAGCACCGGTTGATCTGCAGTGAATGTCCATCGAATATCCAACCTAAAACTAACTTCACCGCAGTATTAATATAAAGAAACATTTGTTGCCTCGGCTGATTTTTTTCTATTTTTAGTTGCAAATGCGAGTGAAACAGTCGCACTGTCGATCTCTGACCTTTAAGGCTCTTCAGTATGACTTTTAGTTAGTGTTGACTTTGGCGCCCTCTGTGGACGGTTTTTTAGCCTTTGTGAAAAAATCTTTCTGAATTAAACAAATATGACTCTCAGTAGTGTGCTTTTAACCTCTCCAACTGGCTTCTACCCCCGGACAGTAAATCCAGACATAAAAGTTAACACTAACAGTCTTCATGCTTCATGCTCTGGTTTGCTTTTGTCGCTCAAATAGAAGAATTAGTATCTGTTTCAGTCTGTTTATATAACCAACTAAAACTCCTCTGAGGCCTAAACCATCATATTTTGTCCTCTCTCTCTCTCTCCTACTAGCTATCTCTCTTTCTTTCTTTTCCTCCCCTCCCCCCTTTTGCTCGCTCACTTGCTTGTTTGGGAAGTTGATGAAATTTGTCTTTGGCCGTCATTAGGCAGCAGCCATCAGCTGCCAGTCTATTAGCTGCCACGCTTCCTTTAACAGCGTATGGCACAGCTGTGTAAGATATGACAAGATGCAAATGTGTTGCTGTAGTGCTGGTGGGTTGGGCAGGTTGCGGGGGGTGGTGGTATGATTTGGTGGCGTGTATTGATGAGGCCGTGCGTGCAGAAAAAAAAACGATAAAAGAAGAGAAAATAACAGTATTTGATTAATCATTAGGGCATCAGTCCCTCTGCTTATCTCACATCTTCATTTGGTATTGATCCTTGTGTGTTGATGAAATTAGACAACTCCCAAGTCCACAGACCTCCATTGGTCCCTCGGGGCTTGTAAACGCCCTCTATGTGTGTGTCTATGTGTGTGCGTGTGCCCAGAGCACGTCTGGCCCTTAAAGTCCCTCCACCTCTCTTCTTACCCCCTCTCCTCCTCCTCCTTTTTCCTTCCCTCTCTCGCTCTCTTCTCCCCGTCCAAGCTGTTAAGCTGTCCAGCTCTCCTCTGCCAAGCGGCCGTGTGAAGCCTCGCCAAACTAAACACGGGCAGGCAGCCCGCCACTCGCCCCCCACGCACACACACGAAAATACATCCACATACATGCACAGGCACATGCTCCTACACACACGTTAGAAGCAGGAGTCAGGTCATCTTCCACCCCACACACACACACACACACACACACACAGTCACACTCACACACACATAGTGAGAGTGACGGCTACACTAGAGCCCCACTAATAGCGGAGAAAAACAGACAGAATCAGTAAATGAGCCCCTCATTAACTCTTTCTGACCCTGTCTCCCCTGGGGAAAGCCAAACCAATCACACCGCCAAATCAGCTTCCTGTACCAGACACTCATCCAACATCAGCTTCTGCTCATCTGTTCTGCGTGGTACAAGTGTGGACCAGCGTGTGTGTCGGGGGTTCGAAAGTGTGCTTAGGTGTGCTGAGAAGGAAAGTGAAAAGAAAATATTGCCGCACATGTATCTGTGTCTGTATGCGTGTTTTACATTTCATGACAATGTGTGGCTTTGAGGCACTCAGCCATCCTGAGGGCTCTCTCCTTGATCACATAAGACTTTGGGCGAAAGTAACTCCTCCGTCTTTGTTTCCTCCCTCCGGGCTCCGAGCCGTGGGACCACCGTACCAGCTCGACTCGGCTTGCGGTAGCCGCTGATGATAAAAGTAGATGCAGATGCTTTGCAAGCAAACACAAGACCGGGGGAACGGCCTCTTCCATGTTAGCCTGAGTCGAATTAGACGAATCCAAGCCCGGGCTCCTTTTTTTATGACTCACCAGCAGGCTGACAGGGCTGTGCCGCACTGACTGATAGATTCATTTGGCGTTATTAAGTCGTGCAATTTAAAAAGGCAAGTTGTCAGTTAGTGACGTGTGAGTGTGTGTGTGTGAAGCCACAACAAATAACTTTACTGTACTTGTTATAACGCCAGTGACGTGAGACTGTATTTAATGTGGATGCTCCATTAGGACATGGTGCAGGCTTTACTGTTTGCACATAGACTTCTACACCTCTCCCGTCTCTCCCTTTGTGCGTCTATCTCATTTTCTCTCTCTAATGCCACATCTCACTCTCTCTCCCCCACCTCTACCATATTCCCTTTTTTCCCTATTGTTTTTTTTCCATCACTGCCTCCCCTCGTCTCCATATGGAGATGACAGAGTAGACAAGATGGATCTGTATATTAAAGCCTAGCTGACATTAGAATTAGCATAATGTGTCATGGCCTTAGGGCAATACCTGCCATCTGCATTAGCCTGTAGACACACGCACTCACTCAAAAACCATGCATACACAGAAAATCTACATACACACTTGTACATAACAAAAACAGAGAGTTGAATCAAACGTACAAGTGATTTTCCTTGATTTGATGTATGTTCCAACAGGTTGTCAATTAGTGAAAACGCAGCGCAGAGTCCCGACTCTGGTTTAAATGTTAGAAAACTCAAAACTTTGCATATTAAAAGTCTTCTCGCAAAACTTACATAATTTTCTTTCACTTTGCCAACAGATAAAGATGAGCCATCCAGCTACATCTGCACTACCTGTAAACAGACTTTTACCAGCGCCTGGTTCCTGCTCCAGCACGCCCAGCACACTCATGGCATCCGCATCTATCTGGACAACCACCCGGTCAACTGCTCCCTCACTCCCCGCATGGCTCTGCCTCCTCCCCCCTGCGCCGATGCCCTGCCCCGCTCCCCTCTCCCTACTTTTCTCGGTGACGCCAACAACCCATTTCACCTCCTCCGCATGGCTGCGCCCCTGCTCAGGGAACACCCCCCTCCCCCAGGGTACATGGAGACCCGGCTGCCTGCGACGCCACCCTTTGTCAGCCCTCCTCCACCCCCTAGACCTCCCCTAGAGCGACTGGGCCCAGAGGAGATGGGGCTGCTGTCACAGCACCCCAGTGCCTTTGAAAGGGTGATGCGCATGGCCCCCATGGACACTCCATCCATGGACTTCTCCAGGCGTCTGAGAGAACTAGCGGGCAACACGAACAATAATGGCGGGCCAACACCCCCTCTTTCCCCCAACCGTGTGCCACCTATGCACCGCCTGTTGAGTCCAACGCTATTCCAGCCTGGCGCCAAGCCTCCGGCGTTTCTCACCTATGCCCCGCAACCGCCAACTTCTCAGGGGGGACACGGTTCTTCCAGCCCTCCAGATCCCCAGGGACAGAACCAGACCCCAGGCAAGTCCAAATCCTGTGAGTTTTGTGGCAAGATCTTCAAGTTCCAGAGCAACCTGATTGTCCACAGACGTAGTCACACAGGAGAGAGGCCGTACAAGTGTCACCTGTGTGATCATGCCTGTTCTCAGGCCAGCAAGCTCAAGAGGCACATGAAGACACATATGCACAACAAGTCTGGGTCCATGAGCGGCTCCCCAGAACAGGGAAACAGAGGAGAGGCGGGGGAGGGGGAAGAAAAAAGTAGGGAGGGGGATTCAGGCAGAATTGTGATGGACAATGAGGAAGAGGAGGAAGAAGAGGAGGAGGAGGAAGAGGAAGAAGAGGAGGAGGAGGAAGAGATGAGAAATGGGAGTCGGCCAGATTCCAACCTAAGTGAGGACTCTCAAGAGTTTGGCCAGAATAGGGAGAACGGCCCACGGCAGTCTCCCACAGAGAAGCCCCTGAGTGGGGACAAAGAAAATGACAGTGGTGGGATGGGGATCATCCACCCGTACAACCACCTGGACAATCACCTGAGACTAAACCCCAACAAGAGAGGCCTGGAGAGACAACCTAACGGGGATGGAGGAGAGAGGGGCGAGGTGGAAAGAGGAAGAGAGAATGAAAGGGAGCAGGACAGAGAGCGAGGGGAGCAGGATGAGCACAGGCCCATCATGAACGGCAGGATCAGTGTATCCGAAGCAGAGTCCTTTCCTGGGCTGTTCCAGCGCCGGCCAACCCCCATCACCAGCCCGGGCCACTCCAACAACAAGAGGATCAAGGTAGAGAAGGAACAGCTGGAGCTTCCCCCAACCATTCCCCTCATCTCCCCAGAGAACGTCTACTCTCAGCTCTTGGCTGGCTACGCTGCGTCACGCCACTTCATCAGAGAACCCTTCCTGGGATTTACAGATTCCCGTCAGTCGCCATTCGCCACTTCCTCTGAGCACTCTTCTTCGGAGACGGGAAGCCTACGATTCTCCACCCCGCCCGGGGAGCTGATGGAAGGAGGTAGTGCTTCAGGCCGAAGTGGTAGCAGCACCCCTCACCTCATGCGGGGACCTGGACCCGGCAGGCCCCCGAGCTCTAAAGACAGGAGGAACGACACCTGCGAGTACTGTGGCAAGGTGTTCAAGAACTGCAGCAACCTGACGGTGCACCGACGCAGCCACACGGGGGAACGACCCTACAAGTGCGACCTGTGCAGCTACGCCTGCGCCCAGAGCTCCAAGCTGACACGCCACATGAAGACCCACGGGCAGTTCGGGAAGGAGGTGTACCGATGCGACATCTGCCACATGCCCTTCAGCGTGTACAGCACGCTGGAGAAACACATGAAGAAGTGGCACGGGGAACATTTGATGGCCAGTGAGGTCAAACTGGAGCAGGCGGACAGAGGTTAAGCCAGCAAACATTACTTACACAGTTGACGGCGTACACAAGCAAACACTCACACACATACACACACACACGCATATGCACACACAAAACCCCTGTAACCACTTCTTCAGCTATGGGGCTTGGCTGGAAAATCTCTCTCTTAAAAAAAAAATGAGACTGATTGATGTTCATTTTTTTTTCTTGTCACAAAAAACTGCCACCTGAGAATATAAACAAAGGGAAACTTTAATGAAAACTTGTCTGGAACGCCGCGCTTGGTGTTTCTTGGCAAACCGTCTGAGGATTTTATCAGTTAGGAATCCATGGAGCCTTTCTACTGTGCAATAATTTCTGTATTTATTGGATTTTTGTAATGATATTTGGCATGTGCAGGTACATCTTTGTGGGATTTCATATGGAGTTAGTTTTAAAATGTGCTAAACATTTTTTTTTTTCTAAAATGAGATAACTGGAAAGAAGTCACCCTTAATACAAAATTTTCTTTTTTGTTATTCCTTTAAGGAAGCTTATTATCATGTGAGAGTAAAATTGTGTGAAGCAGTTAGCTTTTAAAAGTAAAAATAATTGTTTTCTATATTATGAACTGCAGCAGCGGACTACAATCCATTCCCTTACACAGGCCTAAAAAGCACTGAATGTCAGCCTGACAATAAAACACAATGCTGGATTTATGAAATCCGACGTTATCTTAAAGACATGATTAGTTACTTTAAATTTTATTCAGGGAGTTTATCCTTTTTAAATATTGGCTTGTGAATAATTATTTCCAAATGCAGTTACTGTATTGCTGTCCTTGCTTCAGCGGGGACATAAATAAAGGTTGCACTTAATGGAGAAACCCTTAACTGATGCTCAGTACATTCCCAATGTAGGATGAAACCACCATATTTAATAGGATGAATAAGTTAAGACTACTTGTGATTAATGTGAGAAGGAGAACAGTCCTGTTTATGTTTGTAAATATATTCTTTTTTATATGTTCAAGTAGCCCCGACTGTACGTGAAAGACGGCCTAAAACTAAACAATCAGAAGACCAGCTGCTTGCATCCTCCACAGTATATGCTAAGTGTACCTACCATTCATTATTACTTTATCAGACCCACCTGATTAACCCGCCCACTCCCCCACCCACCTCTGTTGAACTAAAGCTACTTCAACAGTCGTAACACCGTCTCAATCACGGTCTATCTCCCTCTCCCGTCTGGCGTGGCCGCTCTCTCTCTGACCCGGGTTGACTCCCCTTGTCCCGCAAAACGTTTCCAAATGAAATTCATATCAATGTGTGTGTTAGTGTGTGTGTTTTCTTCTCTCCGCGGCGTGCTCTAAGCCTCTCTCCGACGGCGTCTTTTCACAGTTCACTAGCTCAGATTCATGCATTAGAGCGGCTTTTAAAAGGGAAGCCTGTTCATTCGCCTCACAAAGTGATACGGGTTTAACTCCCAGTAACAGATTCTGAGACAGTGTGCGTGTTCGTGACTTTTGGGGATTACAGTTTTTTATTTTCTGCATCGTTCATCCTGAAATGAATCTGGCTATATGAGTTATGATAATTTTGGAGCACAGCTGCAAAAGGGGGGGAAGGCCAGGCGACCTTGGGTACGGACTATTCTTATGGTAAGAATGAAAGATAGGAGCTGAGAAATGAAGAAAGAAATGGAGGGAGGGAGAGAGCAAGACCTTGACCAAGAGAGAAGAGTCATTCAAATGAAATTGGAAGCATATGAAAAGTGAGGTTTTTTTTTGTACCTTAAATGCCCATCTACTGGCCACATCTTATAACGGACCATCAGAGTGAGACAGCGAGCGCTCGCAAGGAAGAGAGAGAGAGAGAGAGACAGCGAAGCCACATGAAAGGAGATTGAGACTCATCTTTCATTTTAGAGCTGCAACTCTCAATCACCAAAATCATCTTCACTTGAAAGTTTGACCTGCTTTTTCTGCCCTTTTGTCTGGTTTTCATCTGCGCCCAAACATACTTGTTTTGATAGGAAAAAGAATTTTATTTTACTGTATCTTAAATGCAAATTCCTCTCTTTGTGATTTTTTTTTTTTTCAAGAAAAAGGAAATGTTGTTGAGGTCACAGCAGCACTCCATAAGCTATTCAGTTGCAGCCTAGTCGGGTACTTTTTAGAGAAATCACACAAAAAAGAGATCATCTGAAGAGCTGCTTTCAGCTTGCTTACACATGTTGATGCATGAGTGCAAAAATCCAGATCCTTTTGTGAACGCACAGTGAATTCATAGGAGGGGAAAAAGAGTCAGTCAAAAAGAGCCATACAGCTACAGAATATACCACCTTTAAGTGATGAACAGTGCAACCCTGAGATCTAAATCACACATGGACATTCAGTCTTACGATATGTTTACAGTGTTGAAGTATGCCATTAATGAAATACTCTGTGTAAGTGTTTAAAATGATAATAAAGTATTGTTTTCTCCAATGTTCTTTCAAATGTTTTTGAATGCCATAGCAGTTTTGTATGATTATCCTGGTGGAGGGATTTTATCTTCATGGATATGTTTCTGTATGATTACTTGTTCACTGTACGGGGAGACAATTTTCAGATGTAATGTTGCAGAATCATGCCAGATTTTTTTTTTTTTCCCCCAACAAGAGTGGTGCCATTTTTGTTTATTTTTTGGTTTCTTCAATCTTTTTTTTTTTTTAATTTTATTTAATTTTTTAAATGTTTTTGTTTCTGTTGGTTTGGTGAAGCTATCCTTCATGGATGTAAAACAAAGTGGTTTTAAAAAAAATACAGGATGATCCTAAAGGAAGAACCTTTCGGCAGGGGAAATCGATGCTTTGCAGGAACGCTTTTCCAAAATTGATTCTCTGAGACGTTCATGAACTTTATGTTTTTGTTTGTTTTTGTTTTTTTTTCTCATGGTTGGTTGAAGGTCTTGTGATGGCACTTACAACTGTAATTTTAAAAACATTTTCATATTTCACTTTTCACAACTTTCACTTACACTCTTTGTACAAAATAATTTCCTTGGTCTTTTTGGGGGGAGTGCATCATTGTGAAAAAAAAAGTGATTTCAGAACAGTACACATCTGCTGTTTTGGACATATATGTATTTTTGTAATGTGTTGAAAAATCAATACAAGAAAGCCAACACTTCAATAAATGTTGCAATTGCTCTATGATTGAAGCAGCTCTTCTATCTTATTTCCCGTTTTCTTCCACAAATTCCACATCAGATACAGGTACACATAGTTAAAGCTGCAAAAAAAGACTTTTTCTGAACTGAATGAAAAGATAACTGTTCCCCACTTACTTGCAGAGTATGGCAACTGTTTATAAAACCAAACAACAAAACATGTCCTGCGTTTAAGTGGTATATATATCGTGCTTTTACATGCCTTTCTCCGTCTCTGACCTCGAAAAGCATCCTCACACTACATGACACACTCACTCATCCTCCCCGCATTCACACACTGATGGCAGCGGCTGTCAGGAAACTGTCTTCTAGTCTGTAATGATGGGGAACCTTGTTTTACCTGAGCAGAAAAGCCAAGTTCTGAGATCTGCAAAAACTGAGTGACCACTTTAGGAACCCATGTTGGAATCTAACAGCAGATATAAAACTGAAAAAGTGAAGAAACTTTGTGGTCTGAGAGTGTTACACGTAAGTTTCCAAATTTGAGGTTAGGGCTGTAGTAAAATCAGATTTTTATCTCCTGATTATCACGAGAATAAAACATAAATTAGAACAATATTTTGATATTCACGGAAAGCTTAAAAGTTAAACAACACAAGCACATTACTTCATAATCTTAACTAATAAATGCAATTTGCTTACAAGTCATTGTGTATTTCTAATAATGTTCAGGTTTTGTTTTACTACCCTCCTTCTTTTAACGCACTTATTCTGGTATTTATCCGGGTGAAAGTCCAGCATGTGGACTGTGGAGCATGTGCAGAACTCTGAGGGAATAGACGTGTAAGAGATCTCCATCCACTTACTACTATTTCAACCAGACTAACGTGTCAAATTGTATTTTAAAAGTCCAATTTTAATCATTTTACCTCAACCTGCCCGCAAGTAGAGTCTGAAACTAATAAATAAAAAACTCTTACTTCATTTTACTTTTATAAGTTTTATCAGCACATGTCCGGTGATGCCTCAGGGTCTGGGATGAGGTCTGCAAAGTGGGCATTTTTACTGCTGAATCACACTAATAGAAATCTGATGTTTATCCTGCGTTAATCTGGAAGACACATCTATTTTTAAGTTTGTTTTTTTACTCTTGTGTCTTGATTTAAATTAAAGCAGTCGCCTCAGACGCAGTTGGTGAATCTTTAAAACATATTTAACACTGTTGCAGAAAAAATCAGAGTTGATGTCTCGAGAGCTACGAACTCTCATTTTCTAAAGGTTGTAACCATAAAGTGGAGTTTTTTTGGGGTGTTTAAAGGTCTGAGTGTTGATGTTTTTATGGTTGAAATTCAAGAAATAACCTACCTATCATGTTGTCAGTGAGGAATCTTACTCGCTCGCAGCCATTTGGCCAACTTTCTCAGGGCAAGACAAGACACAGATAAGATACCGAACCCTGATCAGAATCCGACAAATAACACTTTGTATTCTGCTACTACATCCACGCTTTCATTTTAAATGGCACCACAACAACTTTTAAGTACAGGTAAGACTACTTAGACGACAACTCTGTTGTTCATGGACAACAATACCGATGAGACAGTGAGTCATAGTGTTTAATTTGTTAACGCAGCTCCTGAGCGTCTCATACTTCATAAATGAGTCCTGGCATGAGTGCGGGGACCCGTCAGGTATTTCTTGATACTAGGCCAACAGCAGTCAAGCCTGTCCTCGCTTTAGCCTCCAGGCCATTGGATAACATAACAGAGAGAGTGAGAGAGAGAGAGAGAGAGAGAGAGAGAGAGAGAGAGAGAGAAGAAGCAGAACAATGGAGCTGAGATAGAGGAGTGAAGAAATGAAAAAAGAGGCGGGTTTGTGTGAGAAAGTCAAATCAGGAGGAATTCCTGCTGCTTGCCAGCTCTTGCCACACACAACGGCCCATGAAGTGTCTCAGTTATGTGTGAGTCAAAGTGAAAATATAATTATAAGTCAGAATATTCCAGAAATTATCAAACAAGCAGCTACAAATTGCTCACATGGATGAAGTCTGGAGGGTTTTGGGTGTTCGCAGTACGGGGATTGTTTTGGACTTCCTTAGCTGTGTGAGAGAGTTTGTGTGTGTTTGCGCCTGAAGGCTGACATCTGGGTGCCATGTTGATGATTTTGGTCTTCTGGTCAGCAGAAATGTGCATGTTGAGAGGATGTCACATTCCCACAGCTCTTATCCTAGCAATGGCAGAGCTATTGGCATAACAATCGGAGAAGCATGACTTTTCTGTGCATTCTTGCGGCTGCAGATGGTTGAAATTATTCAAAATAGGTAGAAAATAAAACGACGTCCCCCGTGTCGGTTCATGAAACCAGAAAATAAAGGAAGCACCTCATATTTTACTCATCAAACTTGTCTGCTGGATTGTGTATCTGCTTTGCGAATCTAACTGCAACCTCATGCATGTGATTTCATAACTCATCTGACATTATTCGGTACGTTCTGAACTCTCTATTTGGTTAAAGGGCCATTCCGTTCAATCAGAGGCCACACAAATGTACTCACAGTCCGGATCCGGCCACTTTTCCACCACTAGCCCATCTTGTGCCGGCCACATGTGACATGAGGTTACATAGTTCTCTTTTAAGCTTGTTTAGGAGAAGGCCCCCCTCCTGTGTGCCCAGCTCCGTGGGAGAAAAGTGGCCTGGAGCGCCCGCGGTGAGGAGGTGCCGTATCCTCTTGAGCAGTATAAGCGCTGGGCAGAGGCCCTGTAGTCACAGACAGTGAGTCGCAGAGCGGGAGATGGGAAATCATGGTTTGGAGTAAAACCACGTCCTCGGGGAACAGGGTGTCAGCAGGGATGGTGGTCAGCGTCCTGGGCCACACAGAGCCACAAGGCGGCCGCAGAGACCAGACTTTCCACTGGATCACAGGGCTCAGGCCCCACTGGCCTCTCTATAGATATACAGTTACTAATCTACTGCTCCTGACCAGTACCCAGTCAAATGACGCTGCCCGCCCAACGAGCACACTGGGCTTCAACCAGAGTAAATCCGGCACAGCTGGCTGCTCCTGGGAAAACAAGGGGGGAGAGAGAGGGAGGGTGGATGGAGGGCGAGCAGGGAGAGGAGGGTGGTCAGGAGACAGAGAGCGGTGTGGTCGAGCGTGGTCACTCAACAGCTGCGGTTTGGGAAGACTCGCTCTTCTGGGACAATCTGACCTCATGGAACAAAGGCTTCGTGGTCATGTCGAGCGTGTAACTATAGGACAGGAAATACAGACTTTTTCAGAGGGAGGGAAACGCTAAAGCCGCTCGCTGGGAGGTTTCAGTCGTTTACGACGCGACCATGTCGTCGAGCATCAAAACTGCACTCATCAGAATACAGAAATGACAACTTATGGTTGTCATTATATCATCTCCTATACTCAGACAACCCTACAACTAAAGCCAGATTGAATCTGCATTGACTCTGTTTCACTGCACGGGGAAAAATGGAGGCTGTTGCTCTTTCCAGTAAAGGAAACTTTCAGTTTGCGTTGGTTTCGGCGCCCCCTGTGGTCTCTTGATTACTCAGTCCAACAATTGCACCCCGTCAGTGGTGCAAACATGAAAATTAACCGATTTAACGCCTCAAGGACGTTGGAGTCATGTTTTCAATTACAAAGGATCCATGAAAATAATAATTTTAAAGAATTATTTTTGATAAATGAGGTGAAAAGATTTGACAGTGAAATAACACTCACCCTGAATTTCCACCGCATCCAGAAAGACGGCGATTTTCTCTGTCCACCAATTCCTACCGGATCCAACTGTGAGACAAATTTCATGGTGGATTACGGACAGCGGGTATCGCGTGAACTCACAAGAACTCATGAATTCAAGTGCAATCGCACAATGAGTTGTCTCTGTAAAGACTTTTAGAATCAGCATCTCCTCATCCATGGTGTCATCGCACTGAAAAGCTGCCTGAGTGTTTTGTTTTGAAAAGAAGCCGGATGTTTTATTTTGTGTCAGTGCCCAACTTTGTTTCCGGCACGGGTTAATCGGTGCTGAATTTATACAGCATGCTCCTGCGTCCAGAAAAAATAGAACTTTTGTAATCAGCAGTGGTAATCAGCCGGTGAGAAGCCGGTGGAAATTGACACATTGGGCTCTATTTTCGTGCCGCAGACGCGGCGTAAGTCAGGTCCACCGCGCCGACAAGGCGTTCCCAAGCACAATTTGGTATTTTGGTGAGCGGCACAGCCCGGCGTAAGTATCCCCCCTTCCTAACTCAGCTCCTGCCAGTGGCATAAGTCGTAGCAAGGGAGGAGAGAGGGCGTGGAGTGGGTTTAACGCATCCGAGAAAGCTGACCAGGTTTGAATCGGCCGGCTTTCAACGCACTTAACATGCCACTGGGGAGCACAAAAATTTCACTGCGCCCTCTGATTCTGTCGACACCTCCCCCTGCCACGCCACCACGTCCAGCTTGGCGGATCTCGGTTAGCCTCTGTGCGCCTCAGTCCACGAAAATACCAAACTGGCTGTATGCCGGGCTCTGCCAGACGAAAATACAACTGCGCTGGGTCCGCCACCCTCCGCTGCCTCACCGGGGTACACAAAAATAGAGCCCATTAACTTGAATGGTTACGATCAGCTACGTTTGGTGGATACAACCTTTTTGTAGCCGTTCCGGATGTGGTGGAAATTGGGGTCAGTGTCAGAACTGCTCTAAACCAATCTGCAGACTCTTCTGCTGGTCTCCTGAAGTTCCTGTGAGGAGTTCAGAAGCAAATGAGACCGCTGATATTAAGATTGACCATTTTCTCAGTGTAATTTTCAGCATCTTTAGCTGTTGTTAAGGATTGAGATGCACTTTGTTGCTGTCTCATAGTGACCACTTTGATCACAGGGGGCGCCAAAACCAACACAAACAAAAAGCTTCTCGCAGGAAAAGTAGAATACCTCTCTCTGCATTTTTGGTCACACTAAACAGAAGACAAAAAAAGGTCTAAAAAGTTTGTCATAAGTTGTCGATACTTTAAGCTACTGAGATGCTTGACCCAGAGTAACCTGGTTGACACGCAGCTCCTGGTTTCTTAGACTTCCATGAGTCTTTTGATGATCAGTGAGTCTGGACGCTATTCTAACAAAAATTTATTGCGATGAACATTACCAAAACTGAACAAAGAGAAACGCTGGCATTTTGCGCCGCAGCGGTCAAAAACCTTTTGCCCTTCCAGGTCAATCACCTGCCCACAACAGGGACATGACTACCTTTATTCCAAGTTCCATTAAGTGCTTTTGCTTTCTTCTATAGTTTGGTCCAATTTTTTGGTCCAACAACAGAGTAAACGAGGGAACAAAAACGATCATAAAGACACCTGAGTGATCCACTTTCACCCTGATTTCACTCCAACTATCCTTCTTCTGATCTCTGAAAACAACTCTGTGGGTCATGATGGCGAACTGTCCGTCACCTCACCATGGAGACACAATCAAGCAAAACATTTATTTATCTTTTCGCTCCCGCCTCACCCTGTCTGACTTTCTCCGACACTTGAAACCTCACTTGGATCTATTTTCAGGTCTTTGTTCTCTGTTTCCTTTCCTTTGCCGTCTTCCACTAACTTCCTCGTAACCCCTCCTTCTTTTCTTCCCTCTCTCTACCTTCTCTAGCTCCTCTTCCTCCTCTCTCCTGTCCCACTGTCAGCGTAATTCCAGTGGTGTCAGACCTCCCAGGTGGGCCCAGACACAGGTACATAGCTACTGTGGCGGGGGAGATTCACTGTGTCGGCTTCCTGACGCCCTACCTGCCCCCCCACACACTAACACTAACACACACACACAAACACACACACCTTCCCTCAGGGGGGTCAGTGTCATTGTTGGCACTGGGCACATGCTTGTCGTGGCGCAATATTAAATCTTCTCATTTGATTTGGACTGTAATTATGTCGTAAAAACAAACTGGCTGTGAAGCCGTGGCCCGCCAGTGTGATCTACTTTCATCAAGTGCAGACTGGCTTAATTATAGAGTGCGCCATACACCCATCTTTCACTGGGCAGCTTTTCCTGCTGCTTCTTTAAGCCATCACATTCTTTTATTGTGCGTTAATCACAAGGCAATTGGGCCGTTCGCGGTGGCTGGGGGTAGATTTTTAACACTGGTCTGTACACATCCTGGGTATTCTTGGAAAAAAAAAAAAAAGAAAAAGTAAGCGAAGAGTTAAGCAGTTGTACACGGTAATGGAATCTGATGCCTCCTGTGTTGCGGTGCACTTAATGATATGGTTTTCATACCACAAAGGTATTCAAATGTGAGGAATCTCTGCAGAGAATAAAGGATTTTTCTGTTCTCTGTGCGCTTCAAAACTGAGTGTGTGAGCTCTGATAGATAAATAAGAAAATTTGACAGTAAATGACCAAATCTCATCAAAAGAAATCACGCTGATGAGAACGACTGTAAATAAAACTCAGATCTTTGCCCCGAGGGATTTTATTTCTGTTTCATTATGTTAAGAGGGAGCCATAAAACACTTGAAGGAATAACACTCAAGTATGAAGATCTATGAATTTTACGAGCAAATTATTTCCCTATATAGCCGCGTCTTTTTATCCCGGTTTTACAGCCAGACATCTGAAATCCATGTTTGTTTAGGCCTATATTTGCCACATGGCTAAGTCAAACCAGATCCCACCTTCACATCTACTGGCACAGGAGGACGCCAGATGCCAAATCGCAACATATGGCAATATGTAGATTCAGTTTTCTCTGCGCTGCATGCAAAACGCTTTGAAGCACTGCTTAAATGATTTGTATTATATGCACAGTCTTAATTTTTTCTTTATACGACTCGAGGAAAGACGAGTAGTTGCACTTTAGAAGTTTAGTCGTTAAAATAATCGAAACATAAAGTACCATAAAACCGAGACAAGGCCGTTTCATTAGAATAAAAATGATAATCTTGATGTGGATGCTCTGTGGCAGCCAGTGAGAGAACACTGAAAGGTTTTATGTCAGGGATGAGAGGATGAGGGGAGGATAAAGGATGGAGCCGTCTGGGGACTGACCCCTTTATGTCTTAATAGTCGAGCTGAAAAGGAGGGGAGACTATGAAAGCTGAAGGGTCACCGGGGGAGAACTCCCTCGTCTTTGTCCCTCTCCACCGGCCTTTTATGATGGGTTCATCTGTGTTGTGACAGGTGTGTGAAGTGGGCACCTTACTGGAGGTAATTGCCATTTCTCTCCTGTGGGTCATTGTTTGTCCCTTTGCCTGAAAAGACCATTAGAAAGAGAGGGTTTTAAGGTTGTTACAGAGGCAGAGGACCTGGAGATGAAGACTGTAATTCTCCTTTCCTCTCTGGCTTCAATTGAATAAAAAAAGTCGCAATTATGAAACGTCCAAAATATCCTGAAAACCTGAAGGGGATCCATTAATAGTGTGTGGAGCTGTACATAAACAGAGACAGTAAACACAGGCTGCTGATGCTGCTGTTCTGTAGCTGGAACAGACCGCTGTGGCTTCACTGCAGAAACCATTACAGTGCCACTGAGGAGAGCCATAAAGGTGATTAACAGCTGCTTCTAATTAAAGATCAATGGAGAGTCTTTCTGAGGTGATTTGTTATATGAATTAGGATGCCCACTGTCCATTAATGACATCAGGCAATGTCACTGTAACAGATTGGGTATTGATTCACTCTTGTTTGAGACGCAACTCAAACAAAACTATAGATCAAGACTACCTTAGACGCCGCCATTTGTTTATGAATGTACTCAAGGTGTGATAAAGGAAAGACCTTTTCAACGCCACGCTTTGGTGTGAAGAATGTATGGCTTTTACTTAATGTATGAATCGCATCAGAAGATGGATAAGCGGTATACATCTTTTTAATGCCGGGGCTGAGGTGGCTGGATTGAAAACCTAAAGTGCACTCCCACACCCTCATCCACTCATCAGGTACAGCAGCAATGCATCACAGGGGGTAAGAGGGCCATGAGTGGGTGGGACGACATGACCACTTCTGATCGGATTAGAATTGGACAAATGGCCCAATCTGGATGAAATGACTCATATAAACCTAATGGTCGGGGCAAAACTACCAAACTGATTGGGATTTTAATGGGGAAAAGAGGCTCAACAGGAGACTAAGACAAAACTACCAATCCACGCACAGATGCTTGACCTCCATCTCTTTCATTGCGTCCCTCTGCTGTGACGCCATGTTGGAGGGCAACACTGGGAGCCAAGCAAGTAGGTCACTTTACTGAAGATATCAACGCCTTTAGCATGTAAACACAGATCAGAACAGAAACGTTAAATCTAACAAAAGGTTTAATAAGACAAGAAAAAAGGTCTTTGGTCAAGAGTAAGTTCTCATGGATTAAATTTTGGTTCTGTTCACTTTGAGACCCAATAATAAAGGAATGCTGATTTTTTTAACTCTCCAAAAGTAAAACATGAAATTGGAATTAAGAATTGATCAGGGCTGAAATGAAATGATACTCACCCCTAATGTAATCCACCAAATGGTCCAAGTTGCAACTCTATTTAAAAGGTGCAAGTTAACAATTTATCTAAAATTTACCTGAAATCAAGAGTCCATTCATCATATCATTCTTGCACATGTTGCTTTCACATCAGTGTAATTATTGGCACTTACTTGGATCATTTTTAAATCATTTATTGCTAATGTATTTATAAGTCTCTCTTCTGACATGGTAAAAAGTTAACATTTCATCTATTCAAAACCCACCTTTTACACCACAATAGGAGCCAAATCTCAGATAGCTTTCAAAAGGTGGGCAACAAAGAATGTAAATGATTTCACGACAAATATAAAATCCCTTTGAGTGTCAATGTCAAGACGGATTCAAAGTCTAGTCTGGCAACTGGGAATGAACAGTAAGAATTGAGTGTCTGAACTCAAGCAAATCACTGGCACCACAGACAATCAGCACAGAGATTCCCTGGTGATGTCCAACAGATTAGAGGTTGATTCACCTGTAAAATGGAGCAAGAGTTATGCAAGCTAACAAAACAATTTAACTTGGTGGGATTAGCTAGTCAATTGTGGGGACAAAGCCTCACAATGTCAACCTCAACCATGTTTAACACAAGCAGACTGAAATGAAAGGGAATGCCGCCGCTTGCATTGACTTGTGGGCTTCGTACTCCCATTTTTACCAGTTTCGGGCCTCGATAGCATACACATGTTTGCTTTTACAATTGGACTAGTCTTAAGATGAAGGGTCACTTGAAGAAACTCTTGGCCTGCCAATCATAAGCAGTTCTACTCAGTTTCTTGAAGTAGACTGTTTAAAAATTGTCCAACTACCTGATCAATTTGTGCCTTTACGCTACCATCAATGCAGACACTTCAGAAGAATGATTGACAAACTTGCAGATGGAGTTCAAACTGTTTTATTAAAGTCAGAGAAACAAAGTCTTCAGAGAGTCTCAGAATCCACCCTGGAAGACAAGAAAGCCAACGTTAATATCATAGTCAAGCATCGGAGACCTTTATACCAATTTTATAGGCTTACCATGCCAGTAGTTTGCTTCACAGGTGCATTTGGCGTCTTTCCCTTGGGCTCCTGGACGACAGGCTGGATCTCAGTGAGGGTGTAGGAGGGGATGTAGTACCTCTGGTAGTGGGCATCTTGCCAGTGGTCGGCCCCCTGCTCGTAGCTTTCACTGGAGTGAGTAAGGGTGCCTGGAGGGTACTGGCCGGTCATGAACATGTAGTCGTAGAGGTAGGAAAAGGCAGGCCAACCTCCAAAGCCCATTCCTCCAAAGCCGCCAGGGCCTACTGGCAGAGGACTGACGTACACCTGTTCGACAGCTGGAGCTGGAGCGCCACGAGACTTGGATTGGTAGTCGAGTCCATGGGTCTCGGATTCAGAGTTGCCGTGCTCATAGCTCCCCTCATACTGGGCCAGATCACCTGGATGGTACTGTGGCTGAGCCCCATAGCTAGCCCCAACAGGCTCAGCAGCGAGACCTGCTGCGTTACTTCCGGCAGGAGCGACACCAGTAAGGAGACTGAGGGGTTGAACTGCCCAGGCAACATCTGAAAAGAGATAGCAAGTTAAAGCAGGAGCTCAAGCAAGTGGAAGTCAGTCACATTACTGCGAGTTACCTTCAGAGGCGGCATGTTGGAAACCTCCAGGAGAGCTGCTAATGTAGCCTGAAGGTGCAGGAAGATTAGTGCTCTGGGACATGGCCACTGGTTGCACGGAGTACTCAGGCTGAGCAGGAGCAACTTCCTCTGGAGCAACTGGTGCCGGAGCTGGAGCTGGAGGGACACCAGAAGAAGGGTGCTCAAAAGTTCAACTAAAACAACTTTCACACATTTTTAAGCATGATAGTCCTACCTGTTTTTGAAGGGAAGCCGTAGCTTGATCCAATCAGCACAACAAGGAGCAAAGCCCTGTTGGAAAAACAGAGAGCATGACAAGGTATACAAAATCAGAAAACAGGTAAAAACTACAAAAGAACCAGAACTTACCCAGAGGTGAGGAAACCAGCCATTGTGAGTAGATGAATGTTCGAAGGAGCACACTCTGATGCCACCATCAAGCAGGGAGAGGTTTAAATACGCTGCAGGTGACCTCCACTGACCAATCAGACCACAGTGAGTTAACGACACACAGCTGCCAGTCAGTCAGTCCTGATGAAGGTGGAGCACTTTTCACAGGTGTTGATTGTTTGTCTGATTACCACAGTAGGTTCAGGAGGTTTTTAGTTTCCTATCATCAGACATTCATTCATTTTACTTTGTCTTTCATTCAACATCACATTCTTGGAAATCCTTTATTCTTTGAAATAATTTATGTTTTTGTAAAATATTGTATTAGATTTCCAGACTGCATCAAACTAGATCCTTTCAGCATATGTTTTAGTACAGAAATCCTTCACTTCCAGATTGTGTTCAGAGGCTGTTTGAAATCAGGGAGAGCAGGTACTTTTTAGAAAAACAAAGACAAGGACAAACATGAAGCAGAAGTATGTTTTACTTTCTCTTAAAACAGAAAAGAAAAAAAATCTGCTTAGTTTTGAGTTTCTGCAGAGTAGATTTCAGACTCCTTTACAACAACATACTCTAATAAAAACACGAGTATACATCTTATTTTCCAGTGCAGAGAAGAAACTTTGACGCAACCCATGACCTGGAGAAGATACCCTGAAGAAAATGATGCACTGCGCAACCATATGAGAAATCTAAGAGTGTTTGATAGCGGCACATCCCTTCATTAAGATCTTCCTCCTCTATACCCAGCTTGAGACTGTGCCAAATGTGCCGTGGTTCTGCATTGTGACAATTTCCGGCACTTCAGATGTGTATTTCCTGGCTTTCTAATCAGAATGCTATTTTGTATCTCAAAAGGGGCTCCATTCAGCCCAACATTAACAGCCCTCGTCTGTGATAATGTGGATGCTTCGGGCCATAGGCCACCAGCTGCATCCACTTGTCAGTCTTTGGTACAGATGCCCTGTCTGTCTGCTGTGGCGAATGAAACTCATGGACTAAATTGGCACTTATTGTGCAGAATGATTTTATGTACGCATTTTAATGTGCCTCATCCAATTCCTTAACATGGTTTAATTATATCTGCAGACAGCTATCTCAGATTTTTAAAATGATTTAAATGGAAAGCTCCTGTCCCTCTTGTAATTTATGTCTTTGAGTAGCCAGTGGAGACCAAATCGAAGCGCTATAGATCTTTGTATAAAACTCGAATACTCTCAGGCAATTTATCCAAATCTGCAGGATTTTCTGTGCATCATATTAGTTTCTCATACAAATCAGATGAAGAGAACTCAATTATGATGGATCAATAATTCAGCATTCTCAATTATGCTTTAATTGTAAGAAGCAATATCATCCAATCTTATTGTGTGCAGAGGTGTTGTTGCTCTGCAGAGCTTTAGCTGATTGTTTATATGAGATTAGAGCTGTGTATCAAAGAAAAGATCAGGCAATGTCACACAGCCTTGGATAGCCAGCAAGTGACACGTGCATCCACACACTCAGATAAACCCCCAACACACACATACGCACACACGCACACACACTCTTAATGACACAAACACATAACATAAAGCCAAATGCTGCCACTAAAATTTGCATGGTGCTCAGTAATGCATTAGTGAACATCACTTGGCAATCTGTTCATACGGGCTTAATTGGATTTTAATACCGCCTCTGATCTTGTTTTCTAATTAACGGCGGTGGCTGGCAACCAAGCAGAACCATGCACCCAGCAACACCTTTGATCCCGGCCATATGGAGTTCCTCCAAGCACGCCGGGGATGTAAAAATCCCTCACCTAGACGTGGGCGAACAACAGGCCCCCGAATCAAAATGGATGGGGTGAGGAGAATGAAGGAGGGTGGAGAATGGAGGAGTGTGGCACGGGGGGGTGTTGAAGGAAGAGGAGGGAGGGGGGCGGCGCAAGGTGGCGGCGGGGGTGGGCAGTGGCATGTGTCATCCACACATCCCGGCGGCTTTGTTATTGATTAATTTCTCTCACGATCATTTGTGATCACAGATACATAAAACATGAGAGGGGGGACTGAATGCCTGTACACCTTATCATCCTCGCTGCCATTTGACACCCCTTCCTTGCTATGTGGAAATGTCAATAGCTTCTCTAATCTGTTTACTTCTCCCCTTGTGGCCACTGCTTTATGCTTTTGATGAAGGGCTGCCAAAAATGTGTCCTTTTCTACCCTTGCTTTTCCTGCTTTGGCAGACAGAGTGCGGGTATTAAACTTTACATCTGCACAGCCGCCCTGGCTCTCTTGCTCTTATTTAGTTATTTAAAAGGATATTACACTCAAAACCTACCGCAGTTTTGGAAATAAAAGGTTATTTAAGAGGAATGAGTGCAGCTTCGAGGCTAATTTTTGCGGTCTCTGTAAGTTACTGGAGGCCTGATGCAGGAGGCGAGTTTATACCTGATAATTTTTTTTGATACGATTTATTCTGAAGACACCTGATAAACTTGATATTTGATATATGATTAAAAATAGAAGACATAGGGGCGTGCAGATGGCAGAGTGGGTTAGTGCACCCCACGTATAGGGACCACAGTGCCCACAGTGGTCGTGGGTTCAAGTCCAGCCCCAACCATGTGCTGCATGTCCTCCTCCTTCTCTCTATCTCCCCACATTTCACCCTGTACTATCAGTAAAAAGGCCGAAATCGTCCGAAAAATACTTCAAAAATAGAAGAAACTAAGAGGAATGAAGAGCTTTTGATTTGTGTGCCCTTCTACTAAACTGAAATTTGTAAATATATATATATATATATATATATACATATATATATATATATATATATATATATCTATATATTTAAGGCTGTGAGGTTGTGTTGTGTAACCTTATCTTCTCTGACTTTTTATGCTCTGTGTATGATGTGGATTATGGGTCAAATGTCAATGCATAGTGTACAGGGGCCTACGTTGTTTATCGACTAAGGCTATATGATTGGCTAGAAGTTGGTTTGGATAACGTACAAGATTGTGGTTGGTCGGGACATCATGGAAGTAGTTTTCGCCAGATTAAGTTTCATGCGATTGTAGTTCTTGGATGAATTTTATGAAGCAATCTATCGCTACTTATCAAAGGGGATTTACGACAGCGGGACTACCGCCTCTTCTAGGTCGCCAAAGAAGATGTGGAAGAAAAGCAAAACTATTAATTGATAAACTGAGATCCTGCTTACACTTTTGTTTCTTTTTCCTTTAGGAAAGTTAAAATATACAATTAAAACCATCTAAAAATTACAGAACAGTTAATTGTAATTCTCTGTGTTATATGAAGAGAAATTTCCAAGGTCAACTAAAAGGACAAACAGAAATAAAGAAAACCAGAAGGGGCTTTCAACCGAGCACATTTGCATTATGTCTTTTGGTCACATGACATGAAAGCTAATGAAGAAAATGTTAAAAATTTTGCCTTTCAATTTAACACAAAAATTCTTAAAGGACAAATTAGGGAAATAAAGAGGTGTGTCTTATTGTTCGACCTTCATACTATTATTTAAAATCAACTTTAGGTCAATTGGACGCATTACATGGAGGTTATCAAAGGAAAACAGCCTTTTTTGAGAACAGCAACTGGTAATTTATTGACGGTCCCTTATTCAACACCCCACATTGACAGTGTGGGTGCGGAGTGGATTTAACCGCGCTGCTGTTGCTGTTCCCGATATCCAACCTAAAACTAGCTTCACTACGGTATTTTCATGAATAAACATTTGTTGCCTCTTCTTTTGCCTAAATACATTTTACAATTCGCACACGTCTATTTTTAGTCGTGAAACAGTCGCACTGTCGAGTCCTGATGATGATGTATCATAGACATCTCATCATATCACATCTTTATCATATCGATATTAAATTGTTTTGTATCATTCCTAATCTTTGTACTGTCTAATGTATTGTTGTATTATTTCTTTCTGTCTTTTCAAAATAAAAGCACGAGTTTCGACCGGTTTGCGTGAATGAGGGTTTTTCCCAAGGACTCAAACCCTTTTCCTTTTGACTCTCCGCCTGTGTAATCCTTTGTTGGTTTCTTTTGAAGTATCACCTTTTGCACACCGCCGAAGGGGGTAACTGTACGCCCTGGAGACAGTGGACATTCCTGAACATCCCGCAATTTACTGACTGTTTGCAGTATATCTGTAAGAGCAGTTGATCATGTCAAGTCGAGGCAGCTGGACTCTCTGTGTTCAGTTACAGACATTTCCTCCTGAAGGCATTAACGGTTGAACACTGATGTTGGGGGGAGGTCATCCGTTTTTAACCTCTGCTGGTGCTGATAACCTTGACTTCAAATGAGAAAAGGGATAATACATAAGACAATACTGCAGTCATCCATGCATAGAGGGGCTTTTTTTTTTTTTTTTAAGGCTGGCAGGCTGCCATCTTTCTGCTGTCTAACAGAAAGCAGCTCATTAACTATGCATATCAATTAAAATATCTGAGAAAATATGGAAAATTTCTTGTCTGCTGCAGCTTGATTGGCAACCAGAGGGTCCTGTCGTGGGGTGTTTTTTAAGGTGGTTTTACACGAACAGTACTCAGACCGCGTTATCCGGCTTTAATAGCATACCTTAAAGTGTTGATCATAGCAGCTCCAGCTCAGATTAAACAGTGTTTAAGTCAACACAGACTCTCTCTCTCTCATGCTGCTGTTTTGCAAATCACTCTGTGTTTCATTCTTACTTTTGCAGAGAGGCAGGCTGTCATCAGATGGCCTTCTGCAACAATGGCAAAGAGGAGGAAAGGCCTGAAAGTCCTCGCCGGTGATTGCACCTGAATAATGATGCCTTTTTACATGCTGCTTGTTTGTCCTTCACGGGGCAATTATTGGAACAATGTGTACATACTCTTTTGAAGAGGATTGTGACATATTGTGCCCCGGCTAATGACTAGAAATGCATTAAGACTAAAGTGGAGTTTCTAATGAAGATGGCTGACGAGGCCTGAAGGCCTTCTCTTTCTTTTATATGGAACTCTTTCTTTTATGAAAAGAGAAGTCCTTGCCCTCCTTAATTT